TATATATACATATATATATATATATATATATATATATATATATATATGTATATATATATGTATATATATATATATGTATATATATATGTATATATATATATATATATATATATATATATATATATATATATATATATATATATATATATACATATATATATATATATATATATATATATATATACAGACCCCGACTTACGACAGGGTTGGGGACCAAATCCGGTGTAATCGATATAGATAAAATTTTTTTTTTTTTAAAATCTACAAGTAATGAGAAATACAGTACAGTAAAAGTATGAATAATGATGAATGGATACAGTACAGTGAAAGTAATAAATAATAAGGAATGGATACAGTGTGACTGAGCACTTAACCTTGTATGTAGTCAGCTGAATGCACATGGGGCCCACATAATTTTCTAATATACATGGAGACTACATTAACTGGAAACGTTTCGGTATAGAAAATGCATGTCATTGAAATTTTTTTTTTATCTATATCTGAGAAGCGATAAAGTCACGTAGTAGTAAGTGTCTAGGTGTATATATATATAGGCTTGTGGGCATGGTTGAATCTCTGGGGGTTGATTGTTGATTGTATGTAATCGTTTATATATATATATATATATATATATATATATATATATATGTATATATATATATATATATATATATATATATATATATATATATATATATATATATATTATATATAGTGTATTGTATATATATACACACCAAATCCATGTACTCATTTTAATGCAATGTGTGCCATGCAAGGGCAACTTTATCTTCTTATTATAAAGGTTAAATCATTCATTATTTTTCCCAATAACCGATGTGCATAGTATACAGAAATTATGTAATAAACAATTGCCTGTTATCTTAATATTACTTTACCCTGATAAGAATACTTATATTCATGTTTTTGTAGTCCAAGTTTAAGTATGTAGTACTTCAAGTGAAAATTGTATGTAAGTAAATTTTCAGTGGTAGGCTAGCTGACTGGATATTGGGACTAAAACATTGAAAATAGCAAATTGATTTTCTTTCTTTTTCACCAGGGCAGTTCCTGTAATACAGGCTGCTTACTTGGTGTCATGCCATATCTAGTTGATGTTAACCAATATTGGGTATAGTAATTACACAACCATTGCCCCAAAATGGGAAGCCAGGAATAACTTGACCTCTGAATATAAAAGGTCTCTTTACAGCCATCTTCCTCCGGTGAATCAGGTGTCATGATGTACTTGGTATTGACAAATATATAAATCTTTGTAGACAATGCAACTGCCCAGCAAAATGGGTGTGCAAATACAGTAATAGGAACTTAAATGTAGAAGAAACACATCTTCAGTCAATCCTCAAATAATATTAATGGAGAGGGACACTGCCAAACTGTGTTGCACCCATCAGAACATCCTGTGAAGTAAAATTACAGGATACTACACAAAAGATATTCCTATCAATACATAAACCTTTGTCTTGACAATCAAAATTGTCCTCTGAGCAAGGAATCAGCATTCCCAAGTTGCTCTCCAAGGGACAGAAAGTCTCGCTTACATAACAGGGAAACTCCTAGGTTATAAAACAGGGATTCCCAAACTAGGATAAACATACACACCCCTCCCCCAAGTACAGCAAACGAAAAGGTTTCCAGGGGGGAGAAGTATGATTGATCAAAATTACAGAATGTTTCAGTCATACTTTCCAGACCTAAGCAAGGTGGGTGTTCACTACTCAACAGCATGGAGAAGTAGTTTGCAGTCAGTGAATGATTCGATGAATAAAAACTTTCCTATGTCAAAATTTTGGTCCCAAATGAGCCAGTCATACAGTAATGTTGCCAATCTGGCCACAAAAAATCTAATCTAATCCACAACAAATTTGTCCAAGCATAAATTTTGCCACATACAATGGGATACAGTTAATATGCAGCTATTAATTGTTCCAACACCAAAATTAACAGAAACCTGTCTTTCTTTAGATTTCTAGAGGACCCAGAGAAGCGAGTCATACACCTTACTTCTGTCGACTGTTCATTAGTATTTATCAGCTGTTTCTTTAATTAATTTAATATTGATAACAATGCACTCTTCACAACTGCTAGTGAACATCAGAGTATTAATCAGTGGCCATAAGTAATGGTAAATAATCTGAACTTTCTTTGGCAACAGTCAATAGGAAGCATCCCCTTTAAAATGTCTAGATCTACCACTGAAAATTACAGGCTAAATAAAGGGCCGTCTTGAAAATAAACATCGGACAACGTTGTCGGCCATCTTAGGTCAAATTGTCATACTATTTACCATTGTTGTATATCCGCACTGTCTAGGCACATAGGAAACTAAACTCCCATAGGCACATAGGAAACTAAACTCCCATAGGCACATAGGAAACTAAACTCCCCAGCCCACATGTAGCATATAAGTACATTGTTTACAGTATATTCATGCTCAACTGTATAGTTGCATACTTTATATACATGCCTATCCAATTGTAAATTTAACTGACAATTTCACTGAATAAATATTACAGTATTATTATTTTAACATCAAACAATGTAGCCTGATCTTCAAACTTTTTTTCCTTTCTAGCAGCCTAATCTTAAAACCACTTCTTAGTTTCCAACAAGGGATTGGTGGTGGTGTAGTTCTGAGGCTGTACTGTTTTTGTTTTTTTAAACAACATTGGTCATCAATAAACTAGTGAGCACAAAATAAGATGTGAAAAGGTAGTGGCACTGCTACTGTTAGCAACTTGTAAAAACAGTGTTCTTTATATCATAATTAAAATAGTAGTTTTTCAAAACAACTAAAATAAAGTACATTGTTTAACTCCTTTTTTAAATATTAAAATGGTGCAAAACTCATGTAAAGCAGTAGCTACCGCCACTGCTTCTACTGAAGAACCAAAGGGAGTACATTCCCAAAGTAGGCAAACATCTCTTTCTGCAAAACAATCAATGTGTTGCTTTGAGACATTACTAGATCTGGATGTCAATAACCTACAGATTACCTGTACAATGTACATGTACTGTATATATAAATCGTTTTTACTGAATAATCTGGTGCTATCGCACAATACTTGCTAAGATGCAATGTTCTTAACTGAGTTTATACTTAGCAGCTAGGGGGATAAAATGTGTTAGCAATGAGTGAGCCATCCTCCTAGACATAGTGGTTCTCAACTTCCCCCCCCCCCACGTGGTTCCCTCAAAATTACCATGGACCTCCCTCATTTCCCCATCCAAAACATATGAAAAATATATTATTCTGATCAGATGAAAAGAACATCATTCTTGTATTTTTTAAATCATCATAAATTTCCTCCAACTTAACATTACTGTACTTTGATTTCTCACTAAGTTAGCTTGACAACAAACCTGAATTAGGTTGAGAAGAACAAAGTTCATGTTACATAACTCAGAGATAAATGATATTGCTCCTTTTCAATCAGTCCTGGCAAATAAATATGAGTGATAAAACTATGTTTATAAATTTCTCAGAATTTCATGATAATTTACATATTTTTGTAGCCTACAAAGGAGGCAAATACACACACTGTCCACAAAGGCAATAGTTTAGCCCTTTGGAAATTATTGTTTTGACCCTTTGAGGACTGTGGAATAAACTAACCCATTTAAGAACAATGGTTCAATCCTTTAAGGATTATGATTTCACCTTCTCAGCCTGAAAGGGTCAAGTATTTCAAAGCCTCACTCGAGTTATCCACCGACAAGGATCCACACTTACTATTCACCCTCTAGAAAATTCCCAAAAGAGTTTGGACTGTTATAATAAGCAGAGAACATTTAAATTCATCTTCTACGTGCTTATGTGTTGATCAAGGTGGACCCTACAAAGCATCCAGAGTATGACCAGCATAACAGAAAATGGTCCTGACCAAATCACTGAATCACATTACACTTACTCAAGGAAACCCTGGTTCTCTAATTTTCATTTGAGGTACTGAAACCCCCAAGACTATCAAACCCAAAGAAACTCTGTTCCAAGATAAGCATATAGCCTCAATATTCTATATCAAACACCTCTGCTAAGTAAAATAAATGATGTGCATGTTATGTGAACGGAGAGAATGAATCACATCAATTTCCAAATTCTTTCCACTGAAAGTATCCCAGCAATGCTCAAACATTTTATCTAGAATCACACTGTTAGTGGTGTCATCCACAATTCTTGCTGAAACCCAGCAAATGATGTTGAAAAGCAAGGGAAAAATGTCTACATACAGCCAACTAGCAAACAAAGATAAAAGAATTGCCTCCCACTTGAATACTGAATCAAGAGGTAAACAAAATTTCACACGGCCTAAGAGTTTCCACAGAGGAAATAATTCAATATAGCAGAGATATAACTTTGGCACAGTGTACTGACTGGTTAGATAAAGAGTTCAAAGTGGACCTGTCACCATAGAATAAGTTATACCCGTTTTCATTTTTTGGAATATGTGTAATTGGAAAAAGAAGGTTGATTGGTTTAACCAAAATGATTTATCACACCAACTTGGGCTGCTGTTAAGGGAGTTGTCAAATGATACTGAACCCAAGTAAACACCAAGTAAAACAGAGTTGCCTGGTTAATGAGCTTAAGATAAACCTTAGCTTTTCCAATAACAAACTGCAACAGAGCTGCACAAGCTGGGGATATGATTGGCAACCCTGAGATGTGTTTCTAGGCACTGGCAAAACAGTAAAGATGGCTATACTGCTTGTGTTGGGATTAATATTTTGTTGTAATGGCAGTGGCAGTTTCCAACAGTTTACCGTTATTCTACAAGATAATACTCTCTAAAGCTGAAGCTCCACGCATCACCCCTCTTGTAACACTGCATATTCTTTGTAGAGAATGAATTTGAGGGCCATAGATCAAGTGATGATGCAGCATTTTCTTACATCATTTGCATATTGGTATACTTGGAGGATTGTTGTTGAAAATGTAAATGACAAACATGATATACAGGAGTCAAAATACTAAACAATAAGTCTTAGTTTATTTATTCTAAACTACATGAGCAAGCTTTTCAATCACAGAACCTGAAAAGTAAAAGGAGACCAACCTCCTGAACATGAGTTATTGATCATATGAGAATGATATATCTGAATAAATTCGTAAATACAAAATTTTCTCCTCATATATTCCAAATTCATGTTCACAAGAGAATACAATGATTTTTTTTTGTCCTGGAATAAGAGACTTGTATTGAAAAACGATCATAATAAATTACATGGCTATTTGCATTAGAAGGTACTATACACAAGTTTGACCGGTCTTTGGATACACTAGAGTCTAATTATGACAAATTGGGTTGCAACTTCAAACGATGGGCAGTGCAAGGCAGGTGCTGAAAGAGAGAACAAACCATAAAAAATATAGAGCCTATCTTTTGGAGGGACAAGCTTTAACACAATGGAATTAAGATATACTTTATAAGTGTAATGCTTCAATGAAAAATTATCACATAAGAATGCTCATTCCTCAAATGTCCTCAACTTAAATGACTAGGATGCATACCAAATAAATGGAAGCTGCCTGCATTCATTCTCTCCGAATAAACTAATCATCTCCCCTTCATACACTGGAGAATAATTTCCCTGGGTTGGCGACAGCTGGTGATGACCTGAAACTAAGCGTACAGAGACACCTTCACAGAACACAAACAACTTACCTTGTTATGGTCTTACCACAGCACTCACGATAGGACCTTCACTTGCCTACGATGACGACCGGGATCTTCTTCTCGACTTCTTCGGGAGTGACAAGGAGGAACTTCTAGACCGAGAGCGATGGCGTTTCTTTGACCTCTTAGGAGTTCTTGACCTGGATCGAGATCTGGATTGATAGCGATCTCTCTTGCGGGAATAGCCTCTGCTGCGACTTCTGCTTCTACTGTATGTGTGAGAGCGCCTTCTACTACTTCTTCCTGACCTACTCTCCTCACTTCCATCTCTATAACTTCGCCTATGATCCCTCCCACGAGACCTACTTCTATGACGGTACCCAGATCGACTCTCATTACTCTTATCTCTATAGCGTTTCCTATCCCTTGATTTACTGATTTTTCTACCACGAGACTTGCTTCTTCGCCTATCCCTAGATCTGTCCCTTGACCAATCCCTCGTTCCATTTTTCCCCCGAGACTTATCTCTACCTTTTGACTTCGAACGATCTCGACTGTACTGCCTACGAGAGCTCCTTTCCTCACTTGGGCTCCGGCTTATGTCTCTCCTCCTCTTGTAACTCTCCCTACTCCTGCTCCTACTCTTATACCTACTGTACTCTTCAGGGCTTCTACTTCTACTACGGCTAACCTCTTTTCGTTTCTTCTTCTTCTTGTGTTCTCTCCTCTCCTCCCTCTCCCTACTGCCTGACCTACTCCTCTTCCTTCCCTCTTTTTTCTTCTTTTCTTTTTTTGATTTCCTTCTCTTTTTTTTTTTCCCTTCACTAGAATGAGAGTGATCACTCAAGGAGGACTTAGAGTCTTCCTCAGTGTCTATACTATGTTCTGTATCATTATCCCCTCTCATGGACCCACTTGGGGTGCCACTGTCTGGCTGTGTGGAATCTACTTCTGGATCTTGAGGTGGTACAAACTTCATAGATTTCACATTACCTGTAGAGAAAATATTGAATATAACAGTATATGAAAACAAAAGAGGTACTATGGGTTTGGGAGAGAACATGTAAAATATATATATATATACCGGGCCCCCCCCCAAATTCGTGGGGGTTTGGTTCTCAAAATGGCCTTGAATCACCAATTCCGCGAATAACATTTGCTGACCCAGGGGGGGGGGGGGGTACATTTTTACTTGTGTACGAAGAAATATATATTCCCTTATGTGTTTGCCCTTAAAACAATTATTTATTTTATATATATATACAGTAGTACCCCGATTTACGCGGTCAATTGAACCCACAGGGTACCACGGAAAGTGAACAACAGAACATATGGGATAAATTCCAACAGAGACTGGCCCGACCCCCAAACTCCACTTTTTCAGACACAATACCTATGTTGTAGTAAAAATAACATCTAAATTTTATAATGGTATGCTCACACAATTACAGTGACCCCTCGTTTAACGTAATTTCGATTAACGAACTGCCTTCCATAAGGATCTTCAATTCGGTTAACGGAAAAAATTTCGCTTAACGAACTTCTTACAAACCGACCTCAACATGTTTTCGCTTGCACTGACCGGGCAACCAGCTTTAGTATCAGTCCGCCAATACATTAATCGGTTCTAGGATTTAAATTCCTTACTATTTTAGTAAATATCAAGAAGTTTATACTATTCAATAATTTTAAAAGTTTAATATTCAATTTTTTAGTCATTTTAACAATTACTGAACAAAATTGAAGGTAAAGTGACTAGTTTAATGCGCGGCATCCAGCCTCTTAACACAGCAAACAGGCGTCAGTCTCTCTCTGTTTTCACTGGAGGTAACATCTTGCTTGAGACTCTCTTCAACCAAATGCTTTTTTTCTGTGTTTCCAAGCAAATTATTGGTCATTTTGAAAATTATTTTACATATTGACAATATATAGTGCAGTGCAGTGTTATTTTAAAGAAAATATTCTTTATTTACAGCTAGTTTAACTTTGAAAAATACGTGTTGCCATTGTTTGAATCCAGCATGGGGCCTAAGAGATCAAGAAAAGCGATTTCAATCCAAATAAAGCAGGAAATAATAAAAAAACACGAACAAGGTATTAAATCAAATGCGCTATGCAAAGAATATGGCATGTCGGCATCAACTGTGTCGACAATTCTTGCACAAAAAGACAAATTTAAGGAAGTGAACGTGAGAGACAAATCTACAAGAGTGTTTAAAAGTAGATTCCTAATCGTAGAAACTGAGAGGTTACTTCTCATCTGGATTAGGGAAAAACAGATGAAAGGTGATTCAGTTTCTGGTGATTTCATTTGTGAAAGAGCCAGGGAGATTTATGAACATTTAAAGGCAGATCAACCTGGTTCTTCAGGAACAGAATTTGAAGATTTTCGGGCTAGCAAAGGCTGGTTCAAAAAATTTAAGAAAAGAAGTGACATTTTAAGTGTTGTTAGGCATGGTGAAGCTGCTAGTGCTGATAAAGAAGGGGCAGCAAAGTTTTTAGTGGAATTTAAAAAACTGATGGAAGAAGAAAACTATCTTCCACAGCAAGTGTTCAATGTGGACGAAACTGGGCTGTTCTGGAAAACGATGCCCAAAAGAACATTCATCACCAAAGATGAAGCCTCTTTACCTGGGCATAAACCCATGAAAGACCGTCTCACTCTACTGTTGGTGCCAATGCTTCAGGGGATTTCCGACTGAAGCCTATGCTTGTCTACCACTCTGAAAACCCCAGGGTGTTCAAGCAACAGAAAGTGGTAAGAACAAAGCTTGGAGTTTATTGGAAGTCCAACCGTAAGGCCACCAATAAACTTCCTTTAAAGGCTCTTCTCCTCATGGATAATGCTCCTGGTCATGACCCTGACCTTGCCAGAAATTTGGAGTATCAATTTGACTTTGTGAAAGTGTTGTTTTTGCCTCCCAACACTACATCAACCATACAGCCAATGGACCAGAATGTAATCAGCAACTTCAAGAAGTTGTACATGAAGAAAATGTTTAGGAGGTGTCATCAGGCAACTTCCGCTGATCCTGAACTAACACTGAAACAGTTCTAAAAGACACAATTCAACGTCCTGGAGGCTGTAAAATTGATTGTGTCATCACGGCAAGAAGTCTCCAATAGAACCCTCAATTCTTCATGGAAAGCACTGTGGCCATCAGTAGTCCATGATTTTGAGGGATTCGAGGATGACACAGAGTTGGACCAGGAGATTGTGTCCATTGGTCAGTCATTGGGCCTTGAAGTGGAGGAGAAGGATGTGGAAGAGCTTGTGATGTCTCATGAGGAGGAACTTACTCCTGATGACTTGAAGGAACTGGATGAGATGTTACGGGTAGAGGCTGACAGTGGTGAGGAGGAAATTGAAAGTGATGACCATATGTCAGATAAACAGTTGAAAGATGTGATTTACCACTGGGAGAAGTTCAGGGAACTGGCTTCAAAGCACCCAGAAGTGGAAAAAACTGAACTAACTTTGTGTCATGTTGAGGACTCAGTGGTCTCCTTCTTTAAACATAAGTTAATGGTGAGGAGGACAGATGCCCCACAGACCACAATTGACACTTTCTTCAGAAAGAGGCAGAGGGAACAAGATGCTAGCCCTCAGCCTTCCACTTCAAGAAGGAGAGAGGATGTTCATGGTGGAGAATCTGTCAGTCCAGAGGTTCCTGACATTTTCATGGAAGGTGACTCACCTTCCAAGAAGCAGTAAAATGCTTCTCCTCCACCTCCCACTTCCTTCTCTTCTCCTTTCTCCTCCTGCACCTCCCACTTCAAATGCACATCATCACCATCATCCAGGAGCCTTCTACATACACACCTCAAAGTAAGTAAATTTTTCCGCCATTTTTGTTGAAGTTAGGAAATTTTCGGTGAGCTGGAACCAATTACCCAAAAACCCATTGAAACAATGGTTTAGGTTAACGAACGTTTCGGTTAACGAACGACCTTCTGGAACGGATTGAGTTCGTTAATGGAGGGGCCACTTTAATATTTAAGAGAAATACAGTCGCCAGGTTAATGTCCATTCAAATAATACTCAAATCCCTTCCACAGCTCACTGGCCCCTACCTCTCTGAGAAATGATTGGGTGAAACACTAGATTTTAACATTTAGTAATAAATAATACCTCAGACTAAAGTTAGGATAATATAATTGACATTTCTGAATTCCTTGCAGGTCAGGGAATATTTTGAATGTAAACTTCATATATTTTGCACAAAAGATAAAATACTTGCTTTGTGTAAACCAAATTACTACATTAGATCTATAATTTGTATGTCTAATGCAAAATCCATGATGTTTATATTCAAAATGATCATCATATTGTAAGAATTCCAGCAATGTAAATTATATTCTGGCCGGGTAACTTGTATGAATTTTATGAGCTAAAAAAAAAAAAAAATTAAAACTTCAGTATATGAGTAGATGCATGAAAGTGAAAGATGCAATCATTATATATATATATATATATATATATATATATATATATATATATATATATATATATATATATATATATATATATATATATATATATATATATATATATATATATATATATCTGTGTGTTAAATATACTAGAGGAAATTGTATGGTTAAGCTGATCATGAAAGAACTATAGCAAAAACAGAATTTACTGAGGGAATAGTAGTCTTGAGTTCAGAAAGGAACAGGACATATGGATCAAGAGTTTGCAGTAAAGGACACATGTGAATGCTTTCTGGAGCTGTAGAAATTGTTTCTGGCATGTCTGGATCTACAAAAAGGAAATGTGTTATACACAGAAGACCATGGGGGAAAGTACTGTACTTTTTCTTCTTTTCTCTCTTAAGCCTTTTCCTACTTGATGTAGAGTGGCTACAAACAGCAGCAAACTCATTCACCATTCTCCTTTCATTTGCAGTAAACCAATCATTCCTTCTTAATACCTGTGCAAGGGGTCCTCACTATACATCAGGGATGTGTTCCAGCTAATCACGGATAACCCACAAAAGTGTGGAAAATGGCCATAAAACACTGATGATAATGATAATACAAATGGTCCACGTACACAATAAGCCCTCAACAAAAAAAAAACAATTACAAGATTCATTTTTAAAACAATTGCCCTTTGTGACTTACCAGAAGTTGGAGGTGAACTGACATCTTCCTCAGAGTCTTGGTGATTCTGTGGTTGTTCCCCAAGCCTGTCCCCATCCCCATCCTTGCTAGCCCTTCTCTCATTTCTGTTTTCCTCTTCTCCCTCCCCTGCCTCCTTTTCATCATCTTCAGAACCAGACTCATGAACACCAAATTTCCTTTTCCGTTCTGCCATTTCTTCTGCTTGCAAACGCTGCAGTATGTCCCTCTCTGTGGCCTGAAAATCTCTTCGTTTACGCCTGATGGTCTGCCGTAGCTCCTCATCACTGTCAGTGTCACCTCGACCACCGCCTCCTTCACCACCCGAACCCTCGCCATCGCTCTCGCTGTCACTGTAGATGCCAAGCCCTGCAATACAACTTCTTGTTAAGCAGTATCCACATTAAATAAACATCATTCATTCATTATCCTAAGCTTTTCAGTCTCCTACCTACCTTATGGCTAAACATGGTTACCCCAAAGTCCTATTAAATTATATTTCTCTCCAAAATGACAAGTAAAAAATCAACTACACTTTTAATTCCAATCAGCCATTTTCACTTGTGAAATAAAGAAACATCAAATAATAAGTCTTTGATACTTGAGCCTTTCTGAATGTACTTTCTCCATAATTTGAAAAATAAAAAGTTATCACTACATGCACCTTCAAACTTGCACTCTACACTTACTTTAGTGTTGTTCACTTTACTACTGCATTTTTGTTGCCCAAATGTGAAATGATAACTAGCATTCTAAATACTATAAACACTTCTTCCACTTACTATAAGCTTTTATCTTTACCAAAAAAATAAATAAATAAATACAGCTGGGTCAAGTTTTCTAGTGTTGCCTATATCTCCCTCTTCTATTGTCTCTTCACTTTAGGACAATTTTTGAGTTGGTGTATTATAATTATTGCCTTATGAGCTACACATTACTAGCATACCCACAAAAGCCAGTACCATAGCCTTAGATTACTTATCACATGTTTAACACAATATTCCCTTCAACAACCAGTACAAAAAGTAAATAAATAAATAAACTAGAAGCAAGGCTGCTTAGTAATTGCATCATTCATAATTTTGACCATGATGCTTATAAGCTAATGCTCTGAGAGGATATGAAGCGATATCCCTCAAGAACGATTCAAGAAGAACCGAGACTAAGAGCGCTATGTCTACTCCATCCTCTAACTACAGGAGAAGCTGAAACCTGTGTACCCACAACTCATTTTACCTAATGACATTTAGAACACTGACTCTTGAAGCTTCAATTTACACTGCTCACAGAAAAATGCTGCCTTCTTCCAGATATTAGATAAAGCTTATAAAGCAACAATCACAGGAAGCAATAATTAATAAGGTACAAAAACAGCACAATTGAATTTTTTTTTGGAGGAAGTACAGTACACCACATACACTAACATTTACTTGGGTGAAGACAGCATAAATAAATTCAAAGCAGAAGTCTGGCAATAAATATGAGCCAATAAATACCACACCCACACCACAATCAATCAAAATTTTAGCACAGTGTACAGGCATTACCAAAGGAATCCTTAATAAGTATAAGGGTAAATAAATAAATTAGACTTAAAAGCCACAATGTTACAAAACAGAAAAGGTTGGTTTCAACTTACCAATGCCGCCCGACAAAGAGGCTAGGGCCGAGCTCTTCTTGACCTGAACTGCCGGAGCTTTAGACAAACACAGGAAGTTTAGTGTGTTGCGGGAGACCCCGGCAGACCAGCCTTACCACACTAAGCAGAGACAAGCTCACCTCTATAAGGGAATTGACTGTTTATTCAGAGGGAAGAGGCCTCCACAACACTCACTACTTGATGTCCATTCCACAACTCAAGGGGTGGTCTTAATGGATCTTACTCACTTGTTTTCTTTAACTTATCTCAACTTCTTTGTAGATGAATACTGATGATACCAATCACAAAGTTGTCTTTGAAGTTCAGTACATAGTTCTTAAGCCACTATGCATCTGGATACAAATGGCAATGTAGACCTTTCACTGAAACCTCTTCCCTAATTTCCTTTTCATCGTAACTTAGTAAAATAACTTAATAAAAAAATTCAGCAATTAATTTACATATCACATTATACAATGTCTAAAGAAGTTAAAGGATTAATCATGGTAATATTTTTTTTCTAATGGTTGAAAAAATAAATAAAATAAATAACAAGGGGTATCGCAAAACGATACGAAACCCCTCGCTTCCCACTTTTACTGTAAATATAAATATAATGCCCTTTAATTGACTAAACAAAGTACATGCACTTGTAGAATATAGCAAGATGCATTTACCTACAATGTTTCAACTATATATCAACAATAGTACTGTATTAGACATATCAGTAAAAACAAACCTTAGGCGAAATTCTTAACCAACAAGTGACAGACGAACGAACATTAAAGAAATTAAATCTCCTCCAACTTGGTTGGCAAGGAGATGAAAACACTGTCAAGTTTCTATTGAAATAATATTGCTTTCAACAATAGATATCTACCAGAAAACCATGAAAGATGTTCAATCGAAGGGAAGCTCAAAACTTAACGAGTAAAAACTGACAGCTATGCTGGTGCTTATTTTATAAATTGTGCAACATTTTCCTAACCATAAACTTGGCTCGGGTACGGATATACCTTTCATACGGGCACGATTGAGCACCTCACCACAAACTTCTTCCATCATACCCGTTGTCACATCTAATAGAATTTCTGTCATCCACCGTCTCAGCTTCAACATCTGCAAAATAAATTAAAAGAACTTTAGGATATCAGATAAAACAAAATCAAAGAACTTTGATAAAACCTCATGTACATGAATCTAATGGGTCATACCAAAATACTTCCATCGAGAACAACGTAAAATGAGGTACTCCAGATCATAAGCAGCTGAGAGCCATATATCATAGAAACGAGTTATGTATTGTAATGTATTCCCTAACCCCTCCTCTGCCCCTGGGTAAGTCTGTGAGCTGATTGGGAACCTGTACATGTAAGTGACAGTCCTCTTAAAAAGACTATTGCATATTGCATACAGGAGCATGGATAAACAATGAAAACAGTATTGATGACTGGAAAACTTGTAATGTTTAGCAATAACTGTTCAGGCTAAAATAAGAACATTAACATAATCTTAACTATCTGCATGAGAAGCTTATGAAACAGGTGCTAGACACTGAACATGTATACTCATGCCAGGTGATTCATACACGGCATGTGCCCGTGCCTTTGGTGCAATAGAAAAATGCATTAGTCGTTATGGGCACCTATAACATATAGCTTCAATGCACCTTGTGTCATCATAAAGACTGCCACTAATAAGACCTATAACATTGTGAAAATGAGGCAGCAAGACTTTCTGAACTTTGATCAGCTGGAAAAGTATATAGTGCAGAGAAAAGCATGTGATCAACAATACAAAAATACCCATAAGTTTGTGTTTAAGCTTTGTTATAGAGAGGGCTATTACATTATGGTAGGAATGACTATGATGAGTCAACCATGACACCAATTATATTGATGCCAAGGAAAGCTAAGTTTAATATTGAGGCATTCATCCTCAACGATGTTAATATTGTGCAGAGAAAATTAGGGCTTTAAAGGCACAAAATGAATACACTGCACTGTGTATAGTGATTATTTTAGTCTGATTCTCGATGCACAAAAACAACTGCAACATCCACCAACAACTGACACAGAAACTGATGAAGAGGACGATGTTGAGAATGAATTGATGGATTAAGCAGTCCAATTAATTTCATAATAGTTCCTGTTTTCCCGTACCTTCAGATAAAGAATATTAATGTTGGTTGGGCCTCACAGGGAAACCACATAAAAAGACTATTTGTGACCACCTCAAGGGTGCTGTGGAAACATCACACCAGGTGGACATCGATTTTATTAAATTTATCATTAAATCCATTTCTTCACTATTCATGTGCTTAATAATAATATACATTCTAAATAAAGTTACATTACTCAGCAAACCTAAAAGTATATATTTTATAGTTGATATTGTTATAACCATACCCTTATAATTGTTTAAAAAAATACTATTTTTTATTATACTATACAGTACTGTAAAACCTCTGATAACAACGGTTAAACTAACGAAGATTCAAATCTAAGACCCTGGTTATTTTAGGAGCCAATTCAATTTACGCCATTATTTTCTTCGTATTTACGACAAAATAAAAAATATATTACTTTTTTTTAAATAACTAAATCCCGATATTATAAAAAAACACGCCTTGCGCACGGAGGCTGCCGGGCTTGTTAGTGGCGACACCAGCATCACCAGTATAAACAATCGCAGCTGGCAGGCCCTTTGTTTTCACGCATCTGAACAGGAAAAGGAGAAAAACTCTCAAGTTTTGTACAGCATTTTTCCATCCCTATTCAACATAAGCAAGAGAGCAAGTGATGGTAGTGTTGTTTCAAAAGCTAATAGAAAGTGTAGAAGCTTAGCCGAAAATCTAGATGTTTTAAAATATGAAAAAGGTGAGAGGTCTGTCGATATTATATAGAGCAAGCAATGAACATTTTCTGAAGTGGATCCATTAACAGAACAAAGCATTAAATTTTAAATAAACACAAATGACCTCTTCATAAATATGTACAGTATTACCCCGCCTAACGCGGTTTCACTTAACGCGTTTTATCATATACGCGGTGCCTCGCCAGAGCTAAACTTTCACTTAACACGGATTTTTTCCACAAATACGCGGTAAGTGTCCGGCTCGAGACGCTATTTTTAGATTTGCCCCACCCGCCACCCTGCCTGACTGCCTGTTTTAGCTCATAAAATTCATACAAATTACCCGGCCAGAATATAATTTACATTGCTGGAATTCTTATAATTTGGTAATCATTTTGAATATAAACATCATATATTTTGCATTAGACATACAAATTTTAGATAAAAAATTTTCTCAGAGTAACTATGTTATCTTTTGTGCAAAATATATGACATTTATATTCAAAATATTCCTGGTCTTACAAGGAATCCAGCAATGTCAATTATATTATCCTAACTTTAGTTTGAGGTATTATTTATTAAAATTTAGTGGTTATCCCACACATCTCCTTGGGACGGTTGGTGGGGGGTGGGGGGGAGGGAGGGACCGACCGACCATCTGTTACCCAGTGAAGAATTATTTTTTTTTTTATTAACTGAAGATATTTGTTTTAGCTCATAAAATTCATACAAATTACCCGGTCTGAATATAATTTACATTGCTGGAATTCTTATAATTTGATGATCATTTTGAATATAAACATCATATATTTTGCATTAGACATACAAATTTTAGATAAAAATTTTTCTCAAATTAACTATGTTATCTTTTGTGCAAAATATATGACATTTATATTCAAAATATTCCTGGTCTTACAAGGAATCCAGCAATGTCAATTATATTATCCTAACTTTAATCTGAGGTATTATTTAATACTAAATGTTAAAAACTCTGGAAGGGAGGATTGGTGGGGGGTGGGGGGGAGGGTTGGGACTGACAGCGTGGTTGGAAGAGGGGGGGAGGCAAGGTGGGGTACTTTGATTGACAGATAGTGTCCTGAAGATTATTTTTTTTTTTATTAACTGAAGATATTTGTTTTAGCTCATAAAATTCATACAAATTACCCGGTCAGAATATAATTTACATTGCTGGAATTCTTATAATTTGGTGATCATTTTGAATATAAACATCATATATTTTGCATTAAACATACAAATTTTAGATAAAAAATTTTCTCTAGGTAACTATGTTATCTTTTGTGCAAAATATATGACATTTATATTCAAAATATTCCTGGTCTTACAAGGAATCCAGCAATGTCAATTGTATTATCCTAACTTTAGTTTGAGGTATTATTTATTAAAATTTAGTGGTTTTCCCCCAAAAATTTCTCTGAGAGGGAAGAGCCGGCAGTGTAGTGTGAGAGGGGGAGGGAGTTGAGTCCATTATTTGAATGGACATTAACTTGGCAACTGTATTTCTCTATTTCTCTTAAGTATTAATTGTGTGCATGTACCATCATAAAATTAAGATGTTATTTTTACTACAACATAGGTATGTGCCTTCAAAAAGTGGAGTTTGGGGGTCGGGCCGGTTTCTATTGGAATTAATCCCATATGTTCTGTTGTTCACTTAATGCGGATTTCACTTAACGCGGGACCCTCTGGGTTCAATTGACCGCGTTAAGTGGGGTACAACTGTATAATGAGAAAAGAAAGCAGCTGTGCAAGGTTCTTTAGACTGCTTTATTATTCGAAGGCCTAAACCATCAACTTCAGCTACACCATCAAATTCAGCATCACAAGCAGCTTCAACAGCTTCAGGTTCAGTAACAGTTTCAGCAACAGCTTTATGGAAAGCTACAGCTTCAGCCAGAGTTGAACCTGATGACTGCATCATCTGAGTAAAAACTCACAATATTCATTGGCTGTCCTTATGTTTCAGACGTTACCACCATTGGTAAGTATAACTTTTGTTTTACATTCATAAATATTATTTAAAACATATATGAACAGTAAATAGGTGTTGCTGTCATATTCATATATAGAGAAATGACGATATGTTTTCATTTACACATTTACTGTTCATACGTTGGCGTTCCCAATCATCTCGCTTTATTTCTTTACCATTAGTCGTTAGCTACTTCTAGTGTTCCATTTATTAACATTAAATAACATTACTTAAAACATACATACAGGTATTCAATTTTTTTACAATAAGTTCACCTCAGCTACAACCAGGGTCTTATTTTCTTCAGTTTCTCATGTAGAACTATTGTCACTCACGAAAACAATGTCATCTTGTCTCCTCGTGTGTGTTTTAATATTCTGTGTATTATTAATGAATTGTATTGTTCATTTCGCACATATAAAGATTAATCCAATCAAATACATATTCAATAATAAACAATAACGAATCTTTTTAACATATTCTTAAAAAGATAAATGACGCGGTATCCTTAAATGCGCACGTATATGTTGGCGTTCCCAATCCATCTCACTTTTTTTCTTTACCATTCGTGGTTAGCTACTTCTGTTGTTCCATTTATTAACATTACTTGAAACAAATATACCCTGTATTCATTTTTTTTCATTAATTTCACTACAGCTACAACCAGGGTCTTTATTTTCTACATTTTCTCGTGTAGAACTATCGTCCCGGACTCCCGGCTGTAAATACAAATGAAAATAATGGCGTCCCATCTCTTGTATGACCATATTATTCATTTATATAGTATAAGGTGCATTCAGAAACACTATTTAAAGAATATAGTCTGCAATTTTCATTAATTGTATTGTTTTGGGGGGAAAAGATGGTAAAAAGCCACACAAAAGATATGAAAAGAGCACACTTAGGAATGCATCTCATTATTATTGCTTTATTTTCATGATAATTAATGATTCGCGATACAATGATTCACCTTACACTGCAACATTGGAGGACACATTACCGTCGTTATTCGAGGCTTTACTGTACTGTATTGCATAAAACTACATGTCCTTAGCTACATTGTGCAAGAAAAATCAGTCAGATATATTTATTGGTGAAAATGTGATTGTAATTTTAATACAGTCAACCCTCGCTTTACGCGGTCCCACATTCCGGGCTTCCATGTTTACGCGGTACCCTGCCGAAACAGGAATGCTCACATTCCGCAGTGCGTGTACCCCTTTACGTGGAGAGCGGCTGGCGAGCCGCGCCATTTTTGGATCCAAACCTCCCGCCATCCGCCATGTTGTTTAAGTGGCGCGAGCATGGTGCGCACAAGGTCGCCCAGTCATCAAAACATTACCGAGTTCTTCACCCGCCACCCACCACAGCCGGCCCAAGTCAGTGATAGTGATAATTATAGTGAGGATATGGACTCTGAGGGGTTTGACAAAGAGGCCCTGCAAGCCAACCGCCCATCCCCGTGTGCCCAGCCATCTTTTCTACTAATGTAAGTGTTAAAAAACCTAATATTATTGATATTTCTCTTAATTATTAATTGTGTGTGCATACCATCATAAAGTTAAGATAATATTTTTACTACAACATAGTTGTGTGTCGTCAAAAAGTGGAGTTTGGGGGTCGGCCCGGTCTCTATTTCAATTAATCCCATGTTATGTTGTCCACTTTACGTGTTTCTCACTTTCCACGGTACCCTGTGGGTTGAATTAACCGCGTAAAGTGAGGGTTGACTGTACTGAAAATCTTCAGCTGCATTTTCCTCCATTTTCTTATTTCGGCACTTAAACAGATTATGGTCTGGAGCGCCTGAATTAAGATACTCACACCATTATGAAAACCTCAAATAAATCACCACATCCTATCCTCATTACACAGGAAATAATTTTAGCATATACTGTAATTACACTTTAATAGCCAACATAATTTAACACAGTATACCCAAAAGATCTTTATTCCCATATTAATAAAATGAATCATAAGATATAATATGCTGTCTCAGTCAATTCCCAATAAAAGTGTTACCATGCTGCACAATGTTCAAAAACCTAATGGAACAATAAGTAAATTTAAAAGATGTAAACAAATATCCCACTGACCATATCCTGCATCCGTTCCTCCTCTGTTTTAACTGGTTCAGGTGATGGTAATCTTCTTGGACGTTTTTTTTCATCCTCTTCCTTCTCCCCTTCATCCTCCTCCTCCTCTTCTTCCTCCTCCTCATCATCTTTTGTACTGTCCTCATCTTGAATTTCTCCCTTGCCATTCCGAGGTTCAAACCTCGAGCGACGCTTCCGTGCCATGCCCAATCCCTGTGTGCCTGCTTCAGGACTTGCAGATCGACTATGGTCAGATAAATCGCTATCACTGTCCTGTAAAAGAAGACAATATATATAATCATCACCTAGTAACATGAGACTGCAGAAGAGCTTCACTATACTCATTAACAAATATATTTTAATATCAAGCCAATTCATGAGTCAAAAACAGACTTCCATTCAATTAAATATTGTAAGTTGGACACCAACATCAATTAATTTCTTAATAAGTAAGGACCCACTTAACAAAGATGCCATGTTTGGTTTAATCTGTCACAACACAGTAGATAAAACCCTGCATAAAATTTAACAATGAAATGCTCTCTCATCAGCTAATACCACCAGGTCCCACCTCATGCATTTAAGAGAATTTTACAGCATACGTGATTTTTGCTTAAGTAGTGTACAGTTGGGTCGGGATATATCGCGAGATAGGGTCCAACGATGTTCGCTATACTGTATACTAAATCGCGATATATAATTACATGCAATCAACGGAGAAAATAGGGTTAGGTTCTGGAGGCCAAAAAGAGTGACTAAACTTGACTTAACGAGTTCATTTTCTTACTAACTAAAGCACCAATGAACACTAACAGGCTATTTCAATATCAATAAACACCAAACTCAGGAACACTAGACTCGGCAGCTGATGCACCATCCTGGGGGGAATGGGACAACTGGCCGCCGCCATCTGGCCGCAGCCCAACTGGCCGCGGGAAACTCGCCGCGGCCGACTGGCCGCCGCGGACTGGGGGTAAACTGCAAACGCCTAATTTTGCGCTCTCAAGGCAGCTTCTTAAACCCCCACCAGCGAACGATTGATTCGCGAATGATTAAAAACAAGTCAATTCTGAATTCAACATACAAAAAAACAGTAAAACTATGTACTAAAAAATAAAATAAGAGAAACTTAGATAATAGAACTGATTCTTGTATTCTGTATTCAGTCCTGAAGATGTAATATACGAAAGCTGCTCATCGAAGACTGCAAAATGAACTTGGAATGCAACATCCTACTGTTTGGAAATTTATTGATGGTTTGAAAACAGTCCAACGTGGAAGAGACCTATATTACGAGCAGCTGATCGCAGGGCAAGAGCCACCTGTCAAGTTGAAGAAATACAGACAAGCAGATGAAAGAATTAAAGCAATTGTCAGTACATTTGAGTCGAAATCTTGTAGAATATCTTAGGGGAATTGCCCAGAACTTTTCATAGATTTTTGCAGTTGAATCTTGTTTTTTTTTTAATCAATAAAGACATTTTAGCATGCTTATTTTTTACCAACAATAATTTTACTAACAACATAACTTTTCATAGATTTTTGCATATGTATCTTTTATTATTTTATTCCAATAAAGTACTTCATAAAGAAATTTTAATCCTCTTTTTTTTTATCACACTTTCTTCAATTTTGTCAACAAAAAGTTCCATATGGCGGCCAGTCGGGCTGCGGCCAGATGGCGGCGGCCAGTTGTCCTAGACCCCATCCTGGGAACACCAGGCTCGGCAGCAGACGCCACACTGCCACCCTCAATTGACAATCCCACACCTACAGTCTGCGCGGAAAGTTAGGTCGTAAATAAGTTCATATGTTGTGAAGGCTGTCCCGGGATGCGAGATGTTAGTACACTTGGTTGGTTGGCAAATGGTGACACTTGGCAACTGAGCACACATCACGGATTACTCTTAGCGCGCCTCTGGCAATCGTGAGGGGAAGATTAACTCTGCGGGTTTGCGCGCCCTGTGGCCATTTTTTGCCTCGTTTACGGTGCATTACTCCGACATAGTGACCATCAGAGATGTCCAGGAGGGTTACTACAAGGGACGACATTGCAGCAGTGATTGCCTTGTACAAAGCAAACCATGAACTAGGAGAGATATTTCTGCTCAGACTGGTGTGGGGTTGTGTGTTGTGTAGAAACTTGTAAAGCGTTACCGTGAGCTTGGAGAGGACATGTTGCCAGCTCCCCTACCCAAGTCTGGTAGGCCTAAATTATTGTCTCCACGGACACTTAAAATATAAGTTACAGTATTAAATCTTTTCCATTAAGCTTTCCATTATCTTCACTTCATTTTTCACGTTACTAGCAACCCATTTACACTCGCCTTATAAGTCGTAATCTGCAGCTTTCTCATCACTCACTCAGAAAGACTGAGCGGACGAGCGTGAATGCATGAGTGAGCAGCCATGGTGGGCAAAGAACGTATTTGTTTGCCATGGCGGTACATTTGAAATATTTCTTGCCCAATTTCCCTCACGAAATAAAAAAAATTATCGCTATATATAGGAAAATGTCGATAATTTTGGTAGCCACGATATAAAAAGAATCGTTATATAAAGTCACAATATATCCCGACCCTACTGTACTGTATATTCTTCAATACTTTCCGGTTCAGCTACAACTAATCTGATCTACTGTTGTAATATTGTAGATAAAAGTTAATTAAATGTCAGCAATGTCAATCTATCATACTGCCAACACCACCAGTTCTTAAATACTGTTGCTAAACACCTAGCATTGACAGGAGTAAATAGTCAAGTTTTGGGGTTACAGTTATATACAGTGCTCATATGACAATCATAAACTTACCTAGCACTGAATGATAATATCCAACACCTTAACAACCTTATTTGGTTTTCATTATTCTATCTCACACATCATGAACAAGAAATCTATTCAAAATACTAATGTACAGTCGGCTTATTAAGTAAATATATAGTACAGTAGAATGATAACATGGAAATTTAATGAAAAGATTACTATAATTTCTGTTCCTGAATACTGTACTCCTCAGAACTTGTCTACTGTATGTGAAGGGGTCAGAATCAGTACCTCTGAAGGCTCACCCACAACCAAAAATCTCTACAAAACTCCACACACCGGTTAAGAATCATTCATCATACAAACTGACCTCAATTTTTAATGAAGTTTTCCTTTCAAACTAGCAGTCTATAATAAACAATATTAAGTAACACTTACAAATTTGCTTCTCCTTGGTATGCGAGGTTTGCCATCATTGGCAAGATCTTCCTCAAGGATACGTCTTGCTCTTGCCTCATCCTCTCTTTTCCGTCTCAACATTTCTTCCTTTTCTGACATTTGTCGCTCCTTCTCAAGCTGTAATATCAGTTGAGTACATCATGATTCATGTACAAAAAACTAAATTGAAGATCCATTTACCAGAATCTTCAACTTCTTAGTCAACCGTTGAAGAAACAAGTCTTGTACAATGGAACATTTCTGAGGTAACTTCTTCAATACAAATCTCAACATTATGGTAACACTTTACACTAAGAACTACATTAGCAGGACAGTATTATTCTTGAAACAATTACCTCATACTCTCAATGACGGTACTTACTCTAATTACTACAGTACTGTACATTCATTCTTTATATTTATCCCTTGGGAGTGGTAGGTCACTTGCAGCAGTCTGTCAGTCCTGTGGTGCTCCACCTTCAATCCATACTTCCACACATATACTTTATATATCATATGCATATAGTAAGCCATTTGATGCTATGCTCTTCTATCACTCCTGTATACAAATGCTTCCTGGATGTCTATGCCATTAAGCCAATCCTCCCATCTCTTCCCTGGGCTTCCCCCTTCTTACCATCTACCTTCTTTTGCCAATCTTGCATTTTCCATTCTCTCAAGACTCGGCAAACCACGCTCGACTCTGCCCAGTTCTTGAACATCCACTAATATCTGTATTTCTTATTCTCTACACCTTATTCATCCCACCAATCGCTCCTAAACACATCACTTCTACTGCTTCACATCTATGTGAAGCTATTCCTTCATACATTCCTATCATTACCTCCTTTAACACAACTCTCAATCTCCATACAATTATCAATACACCAATTATCTTCTGCACTTCAGCTCTTCTATGATTCACCTACTATTGCACTAACTGACACACACAAAACATGAGTGCTATTACTCATCACAGACCTTCCTCTGCTTCTCCCTCTCCATTTTTTCGAGGCCTTCTCGGATCCAGGCAGGAAGTTTTTTTCTCTGAGCAGCATCCAATTGGAAGTCTGCCTCCTTAGCAGCTGCTCGATCCTGATCAATGGTACCAACTTGAAACTCCCTTCCTCGTCTGTCCCTTCCATCACTCCCCATGTAGTCACCTTGGGCATTATCACCTCCCATCATAGGCCATCCATATTCACCCTATAAAGAGAATAATTTTATCTTCAAGCACATGAATAGAATTCCCCAATCATTACCAATTCCATTCAAGCACATTAACAAACTATCTGAAATCTATAAAACCACAACAAAAACTGTAGAAAAGAGAAGAGTAACAGTACCTTTTGTAAGGACGTTTGTACAGACAAAGGTCACCACACTATATTTAAATGTCTAAACAGTGAAAAAGACTTGGTGTACTATTAAGAACTGAAAATAGAAGTTGAATATTAGAAAAGGCAGCTTAATCAACAGAGAGAGAACGTTAGATTTAATTTGAAACTACAAATCCCTAATACTGTATCATCTTATCTATACAATAAAACAGATGATTAGAAAGTAAAATAATGCAGAGGGGAAATTAAAAATTTAGAAAAAAGTTAATTATAAGGTTTTACAGGCACAAACTGCTCTGGAGGGAAGTACACTGGGTGAGGGAAAAAATGGAAAGGATAGTGGCGACGACGACAGGGGAAGATTGAAAAAACAGGAAATAATAGAGAGGTGAAAAGAAAGTTTTGGCCAATTACTAAATGCAATGGAAGAAAGAGGTTGAGCAATCATGTTTGGAACAGAGAGAACCGAAGAGCATTAAAATGAATGAGGATGTAATAAATGAGAAAGTGAAAAAAGCTGTAAGCAAGTTAAAGAGTGGAGAAGTGCCAACAGTTAATGACATATTAGTTGCTAAGATTATTACAAAAATAAAGAATGTATTTTAAGAGCAGTTTGGGATGAGTAAAGAAGAATGTATATATCAAGTGTATACCAAAAGGATTACCAGTATGTGCTAAATGTTTTAAAAGAAGGTTAAAAAGGTGTTTGTGGCATTTATGGTTCTGAAAAACACACTTGCTGAGTCAACAGAAAAGTGATGTGGAAAGTATTGAAAATATATAAGATAACCAGCATCAATTGGTTTACAGAGAGGATACAGCAGTGTCTTGATAGTTGACTAAAATAGAGGAGTAAATATCTCCTTTTGATCTAAGATATCTGCAATATAGTGGAAAAGAGCCAGAAAAACCAGAAAGCTACTTCACCCTAATATAGCAGGGACCACTGCATCATACCAAGACAAGTTTGTCACGTTTGTAATAACTTCTCGAGACTGTCTGACACTATACATACAGTGAAAACAGAAAGCAGGACAGCACCATAAGGTATTACCACCCAACAAATAACACCTAATAACTCAACAATTGAGAATCATTATTTTAAGGGAGTGATACATGAACAATAACATATATGTCTCTTGTTACTGCTGATGATCTGAAAGTTTTTGCTTTAAACAATTCTTTAAGTAAACTGTTGAAAAATTCCCTTCTCTTGCCTTCACTCTCTCCACCCCAGACACTCTTGAACCAATTTCTTCAAGTCCCCCATAAAAAGCCTTCCTTGGACTTGATATTAAATCCCACCATAATTCTATGAAATAAGCACACAGACCATACCACATGAAACCAATCCAAATATCATTACATTAAATCCGTCTTGAAATAAACGTATAGACCAAGCCAAATTAAAGCAGGCCTAATATCTTAACTCATTCACAAGCAAACACAGGGTATAGATGGACTTCTCTAGGTTAAGTCTAAAAAGTTAATTTATTGATACCGTGGCGTCTGGTCACTTCAATTAAGGGTCATATCAGATTCTCAAAATTGGCACAACACTGTTTATCAAACCTGTGTTCATTTGTGCAGAAAAGACACTTAAATTGGCCTGAAAATCAGTGCCATGCCAACTTTGAACCACTAAACATCAAATATGTACAAAACTTCAGGTCCTTCAGCCCCAAGCACCTGATTTTTTGTGATCACTTTCTCACCCCACCTTCTCTTTTCATTGAATCACTTTTCCAACAGTTTGTTCTTTTGGAAAAATGCCTCATCTTTCATTTCTTCAGTATACAACACGTATCTAAAACTAGTATTTTAACATCAGTGTCCCTTTGACCACCAATGAGACAAGAGCAGAAGAACGAACACCTAAAGCGCAGTGCTGGATACAAGGTAGAGCATCCAATACGCACCTGCACAGCCATGCCCTGGATGGCTGAAAACTCATTACCATACATGGTATATCCTGCTTGGCTTACGTCTTTTCCGCTAAACTGATGACCAAGTGCCTCTTGGTTGCCAGATGCATTCTGAGAATACGAGTCTACTGGCCAGCCCCAGCCCCAGCCCATCCCGGACTGAGATGGTGGCCAGTCTCCACTCCAGCCTGCCCACGGCTCTCCTGCATAATAAATAAAAAGCTGTCGTTAAAAATAATATAAAAAAATATATATATATATATATATATATATATATATATATATATATATATATATATATATATATATATATATATATACTGTATATATATATATACTGTATATATATTATACCTAAAAGACTTATGTTAAATACATGAGATAATAATGGAGTTAATTGGAGATAGGTTCATTAATATACTATGCATAAACTTGCAGTAAGTAAGCATCTGGGTACAATCCAAGTTTCATAGAGTATGATACTGTACAGTGTACAGTAGGGGGCAGGGAAAAAACACTTTTATTTGAGTTGCAGGCTGCACTTTTCAGGCATCGTTTGTATGGCTGTAACAAACACCTGTGCAAAATTTCATGCCATTTCATGCATACTTACCCTGCCGCATCGCGAACGACTTTTTGTCAACTTTTAGTGTATACCAAAAATTAGGTGTCATTTAATGTTTTCCAGGATAATGATAAATTTTACATGGGTGACATCGATTTAATTCACATGTTATTTTACAGGTACACCGTATAGAAAATCATTACAAGTTCATATTGAAATTCTTTTTTGTGCGGAACCTTGGCATCATTTTCCTAGACAATAATCTTTGCCTTATATATCCATCTCTCGATTCGTATCCCGTCACTTCAGTGCAAGCTTCAGTCATCACTTTTATGCCTCTCTCGACTGCCTGAGTGCTGTTTGGCCACTTGGGCACCACTAATGGTGTCTCAAGAATGTCATTAACCTGTAGATTTGACAGAGAAGCAATGTAAGGAGGCTCAGTCTTGAGTTCATTCCTCCAGTTAATCATGGAATGATAGTTTTTTGCTTGCCACTTTAGTTTCGGAGTCACCACCTTTCTCATGTTGACTACAGGAGGCACATCCTCATTCCCATCTCCATCTTTACCCTCCTCATCAGTATAGTTTAACAAATTCTCGTCAACAGCAGCATCAGAATCTTCCTCCTCCTCTTCAGATCTGCCAGTGCATTCTTCCTTTTGCTGATTCTCCTCTCTAATTTTTCTTATCATTGAGACAGCTTTTTCTCTAACAGTCATGTCCTCATCTGCACACATACCAAGAAGAAGTTGATCTGTGTGGGCGAAGTATGCATTTCTCTGGACAGCCTTCTTCACTATCGTCTCCTCCTCACTATTCAGGTGTTTCATATATAGCAGGGACTGGAATACGTTCCTTGAGCCGTGTGTTACGTAAGGGTGTATCTTGATGTAAAACCACATTGGAGCACTGAACTTTATTATTGTAATGACAATTCTTTTCAACTCATGGCTGGGTCTTGATGTTGCTACATACAGCCTGAGGATTCTACTCCATAAGGTGTTCCACCTTGACACACAGGGAGGACCTGGCTCAATAGCAGCCAAGTCATCTTCAACAACACCTGTGATAACTCCTTTACAAATCCTATACAGGTATTTCTGATCCCAGGACAGATCTTTCTCCACTTCATCATTAAACACAGGGAAATCAGGGAAACTGACTGGCTGGAAGGCGACAACTGGAAGCTCAGACAAAGACTCCTTGATCTGCTTTCCAATGGGACCACGCCAATGCTCAGGACCACTTGGTTTACCATCATAGTGATAAAAAACTGCGCGGAAAGGCAGCTCATTTCCGTGAAGCTGACATATGAAATAATGGAGCGGGTGACCAAGTAACATTTCAAGATGATGAATGACTCCATTTTCTGATCCTACATTTACATTGGTTCCATCACAACCAACACACACAATGGGCTGCTGGGTTAGATTTTTCTCCACCAGAAACTCGTGAATAGTTTTGGCAATCTGCTTTCCGTGTCCAGTCTTGGGAGTCACATGTGTGAGATATTCATTGCCAGGCTCAACCATGATGACATAATGATCTTTCACCATCATCCTCGAACTCCATTTCTCGGTCTTCTCATTCTTTATCATCACACGAGTGGCGGTCTTCTTACCATCAAAATAGAGTGACGTCAAATTATCTAAACTAGCCATCTCAATTTCTTGCCTCTTAAATCGGTATTTTTGTCTCGCATCCCGCAGCTTATGTGGTCCAATAACCTGACTCTTGTCATCCTTTGTGATAATGCCATAGTCAGTTAAGGTGGCAGTAGCAATGGCAGCTCCAGCATAATCACTAATCAAGTATCGGTCACAAGCGGCAGCCAGTGTAGGGAGTCTTGTCCGGTTCTGTGACCTGGTGTCTGTCAGAGCCCTTGGATCAGGGACAAAATCAGCATCAGTATTGACGAGAGAAATATCTCTTGAATCATCTGAATTATCCTCAACATAAGGAATATCTCCAGCTACCAGATATCTATGTTTTTGCTCAAGCTGTCTCCTAACTCTGTCCGCATCATGCTTCTCTCTTGCCGTCACTCTGTCCCACATCTTCGTCACTTTCAGTAGAAAATGCGGCAGACTAAACCTCGACATATCAGCTTCAAATTTGGCATGGAGTCTTAGATATGTATAAGGAACAATGCCTGAAGAGTGCAGCTTTGAGCAAAATTTCACTGCCCCCTACTGTACAGTATACTGTTTACACGAGATTACATACCCAAAAGTCCTGGGAGTCTACCAAACAAACCTCTTTAGCCTTCTGTATACTTTATCCATGGGGACAGTTTATACAGCTACAGAACTTTAAACCTAGTTAAGTGTAACATTAATCGTGGACCCACCGTTCTGCGGCTCTGTACAATTAGCGGAAGGACCTTTGTCATCTTCTATCTCCATATCCATCTCTCCTCCACCGGCAGCAGTATCTTCAGCTGAATGACTTTGCGTAGAGGTAACAGGGGCTGGAGGCTGCTGAGGTGGCTGCACTGGTTCCTGTGGGACTGTCTCCTTCATCTGGATCCATTGCTTTGCTAGAGCTGCCCAGTCCACTGTTGATGCTAAAAGGCAAAAAATTATGTAAATACTGTAATGTAATATAAAATACATAAATCAATTTTAACAATATGTACAACAGGTACATAAGGCTATACTTACTATGTACTGGTAGTTCTCTAACACAATACAATGTACTGTACTGTACAATCAGAAGCAGTAATTGCTACCCCCCACCCCCCTAACTAATAGCCAGAGCCACAGCCAGTGAAGGCCAATATTGACACACTGCAACATCGCCAGCCAAGACAGTTCCAAAACTACCCAGCAACTTTTAAGACACTTGCCATGGCTCCAGCTATTGAGGGGGTAGTAATTACTACTTCTGACTGTACAACACATACTTCTCATGTCTGACCAATCAGGAAGTTTACAATACACTAATCTCAATATTATCAAGTGTACTGTAATACATTAAGCAAAAAAGAAATAAACCTTAGACATAGAGACAAATGTAAACCTAAATCCCTTTTCATATTTCTTGTTGGTATGCTTCACATATTGATTATCTACTATAATGGTAGCAGTCTTAGATTGAATTAACATTCTAAAGTTAAAAAAAGGTAACACTAACCTTAAACTTAAGACCTGGCTAGACCCATTTCTAAATCTGTAGCTACACAACACTCGTGCAACACTTACAATGTAACGTAAAACTATAATGGCACTTACTCTGGTGTTTGTGTTTGTCAAGAGTTATTGGCAATGCAATAATTTACCTGGCAGCTATAAATCTACTAAATAGTAATGTCTTCAGTATCTAAAATAAGTGAATATAAAGATACAATACAGTAAAGTACATCCGTTACTCATCTAATTTTTTCACTACATCTTAATCTGCAGCACTCGTAACAGTTTTAAAGATACAGTACAGTACTTTCATATTAATGAGCATCAGCTTTAATAAATAAAAAGTGATGGACTGATCCTGGAAATCATATTTTACTACTGTACTGAGATTGATCTAAGTATAATCCCATAAGCCAAGGATGCAAATTGATACTGTACTGTACATCCGCTTGCCCAAGGTGACAAAAATAATGTAAGGGCAACAAGATCACACTAATTGGCTGTTTAGTTATCGCCTGGCAGACAAATTGGCCTGCAGCAGAGGATTAAATACGTACAGTATTGAATTTAGTAAAGCCAGACTAAGTAACGTTAGGTTAGTTGAGCTGTATGAAGATTAGTTGGGCTAGGTAAACAATATAATTTTATCAAGGTGACATGTGGCAGTGTCCAGAGTGGTGATGAATGAGACTGACAGCCATTTCTTGATGCTACATACTCTCAGTTTCTTGAAATTATGTATGGATCACTAAGTTCTTCAAATACACCTAGACCCCGACTTACGACTACGTGGACTTACGACCGTCGGGACTTACGACCGCCTCAGATATAGATAAAAAAAAAAAAAAAAAAAAAATTTTAAATGACACGCATTTTCTATACCGAAACGTTTCCAGTTAATGTAGTCTCCATGTATAATTAGAAAATTATGGGGGCCCCATGTGCATTCAGCTGACTACATTAAAGGTTAAGTGCTCAGTCACACTGTATCCATTCCTTATTATTTATTACTTTCACTGTACTGTATCCATTCATCATTATTCATTACTTTTACTGTACTGTATTTCATTGTAGATTTTTTTTATCTACGTCGGACTTACGACCTGGATTTGGGTCCCTAACCCCGTCGTAAGTCGGGGTCTAGGTGTACCCCAAGTTCTGCTTATATCCTTTCCTAGATTCTGCACAGGTTAAGTTGTAATATCTCTAATCAGCCCTTTTTAGCACTTCCCACACTTCTTTTAATGCCGAGACTTTGCAGCCATCCTCAATCACTCAAAACAACACAGCTGTCTATGAAATCAGTGCAAGAGGTCTAATGGCTGAATATTATTCATATGAAATATTATATTATTACACAGTTCCCACCAGGTATATAGAAAGCTCTGTTTACTGGACATCTATAGTTTATTTTATATTTAGAATAGCAAATTACCAGAAACTATGTAAACCAAAACTAATTATAATACTGAACTGGAAAAGATACACATCGAAAAAAAAGCTAAACTTGTTACAAGCAACTATTTATTGTATGGCATCTGTCACAGTTCCATGTTATTGTTACTGGTAGTCAAATTTGTTCATATTGATGTTGACTAGACATGTGTGGCTCATGACTGTTTTACAAGATGCACACTTTGATTACTGCTGGCAATCATTGAACTGGTAGACAAGATCTATCCTCAGTCATCAATGTAGGGTTGTTTGACTTGTGCAAAAATGTTCAAAGCCCAGGGAAATCCTAGATAATGACACCAGGAACTTATCCGGGATGGTGGTACTGTACTTGTAGCCTCTTCATACACAAACACTTCTTCGTTCATGCTCACACCCAATCACTAATGCATTACATCACTCAAGTTCTTTGTCACTAACAGTCCACCAGTCTCCTTAAAATATATTTTTGGGCCTATCTCTATCACCTAACTCATTTACATTTTAGTTGGACTTAAAATGCTCTAAACAAGTTATAAATAACATAGATACTGCTCTTAAATTCAGTCTTCCTAATAACTACTTTCAGATTTATCAGTAAGAAAACATCATTAAACACATTCAGATAATCATAATCACAAAAAAAAATTAATTCAAATCACTTTCACATTATGATTCACCAAGCATGACTATAATAGATACAGTACAGTACCTCAAGAAGTTTTAGGACTTTACAACACAGGGAATACAAGTACCTTCTTCTGGCTTCATGTTCTGGTAGTGCTGGGGCTGCAGGGCCCATGAGGCCCATTGTGGAGCGCCCGACCACATGCTGCCCACTCACCAACACAACCTAGTTAATGAAAAATTAATAATAATTAACTGTATTCCATAAAATGCTTTAAATTACAGTACAGTACTATGATAACTTTTGATGTGTTCATCTCAGGTATGGTAAAAATCTGCTTCTAAAACCCAGAATTAAACAAAGCACTATGAAATCCTGCATAAATAATTTAGGCACAAGTTAATAAGTATGAACACCTCATTACCTGTAAGTTATAACAGTCTAACAAGACTTCTTACAGTGTTTTAGTATGCAGTACAGTACTACAGTACAAATAACGCAAATTCAGATGGAGACAAGAGAGAACTATAAACTTGAGAAAAACAATCCATCTACAGTGGTAGCGGAAAGTTTGGGCGCAAAATTACAGGCGCCCAAACTTTCCGCTATTATCAAAACATACGATAAATACCAATTTCCGCCCAAACTTTTCGCTATATTTCAATGCTAGGGTTTGTACCGCTATTTAGGCGAGACAATACGCACTACTTGGCAACTCTGATTAGTCGCTTCAGTGAGCACATGGGTGCAGTGTGTAAACTTCTCTCACGCGGACTAGTCGTTTTTTTGCGTTTTGTTCTGTTTGTGCCTCAATATCTCTGTAATGGGAAGTGGTACAGAGCTGGGAAGAGAGACAATTGTTGCTATTATAACCCTCTATAAGGAGGGTTATAAGTGTAAAGATATAGCCACTCGTGTGGGAATAGGAGTGTGCCAAGTTCAAAAGTGGATCAAGAAATTTAGAGACGGCGGAGGTGAGGATATTCCTACCCCCAAGCCTCGCTCTGGTAGGCCAAGGAAAATACAAAATCGTACTTCCAAGGTTATAAAGAGGCAGTTGGATAAAAATCCAACACTCACAGCTCGAAAACTGAAGGAAAATAACCCTGCACTGCTCCAGGACGTGTCTGTAAGATGTATTTCTGATCATTTACTCAAAGATTTACAATATCGCAGTTGTTGTGCTAAAGTTCTTCCCCTCTTAAGTGCAAAAAATGTATGGGATCGCATTGCTTTTAGCAAGAAATATAAGGATTGGACCCTAGAAGACTGGGAACAAGTCTTGTGGAGTGATGAGTCAACGTTTGTGGTGTCGTCTGGCTGCAGGTCCAAGCGTGTCAGGCGTCCCAAAGGATCGGACCCAAATGACCCCCGCTACACAGCTAAAGTTGTAAAGCATGCTCCAAGTGTTATGGTGTGGGGATGCTTTGCATTTGGTGGAGTTGGCAATTTAGTATTTTTTGAAAAAAATGAGTGTAAATCAGCACAGTTATTTCGAGTTATTGTGTGATAACCTGCCTGAAAGCTTTGAAAAGTGTAACGCTAGCTAGTTTATGCAAGATGGAGCTCCTGCTCACACAGCTCGATCTATTATCCAGTGGTTAGAGGACTGTGGTGTAGATTACTTCAAAAAGTGGCCTGGGAATTCACCAGACCTAAATCCCATAGAGCACGTGTGGCATATCATTAAAAAAGAGCTTCAGGATCGTGACGCTTCGACAGTAGCGAAGCTAAAAATAGAAATACAGGGTATTTGGGATAATATCATTCCCCAACACGTAGAAAAACTGGCAAGATGCATCCCACAACGTTTGGAGAAGGTCATCAAGCTTAGAGGAAAATCGCTTGGCAAATAAGGTACGTCATGAGCCCTTTAAATGTCTATTTAAATGTCACAATTGTTTACATTCGTCTTGCGCCCAAACTTTCCGCTACCACTGCAGAGGACTAAGCCATTCTAACATCACACAAGCTGAACCTACAAAACATGACTTAGCATTCAGTAATTGATAAAGCTGTATTGCTTGTCTGGTGTACACAACTACACTAGCTAGGTACTTAACTGTACCTATACTACTGTAATTATGAAAATCAATATTACAGTCCATTTACATATTGACAGCTGGGTTATCAGGCACTTTTAAAACCATGTAAAATTAACCCCCTAAAAAATAAAATCTAACCTAACAAAGAGGCATGAACAGTGTGTGTCACATAATTACCATTCACCAGATTCATAATCTGGTGACAAATTACTCTTTACCCAGTACAATGGCTATTTGTCTGATCACGGATCATTACTTCAACTATTTGTCCGGGATTCATTCTGATTGGTCAAGGTTGATGATGACAGCATTACACATCCTAGGTTACTGAATTCAATCAATTGCAAACATGGTAGCTGTGGCTGTAGATGTTTATACATACAGGTAGGTCATGTTTTCATATCTTTTGTGTATTGAAGGAAGTGACTATTGAACTGGGTCGGGTGGCAAATAGCTCAAGAGCTATTGAGCCAGATCACATGAAAAATAGCCTACAGTTGTATACAGCAAGGTTGTTTATTTTTACCGACAATATTCCTCACCTCGCCAAACCTAGGATCGGAAAGTGATCTGACATGTCTCAAAGACAGGTAAGGGGAGGATGCTCACTTGTGTGCACGTGCCGGGTTGAACAATAAAATAGCTATTGAACCGGGTCACCTGGTTAGGTTAAGGTAAGTTAGGTAAAGTATATCATTGATAAAAAACAATAAACCAGGCTGTATACAACTGTAGGCTATTGTACTGGGTGACCCGGCTCAACAACCCTTGAGCTATTTTACAGTACAACCAGACTCAATTGCCACTTCCTGTAGTTAAACATGCTATGGTTAAAGTGTAAACGATCTCAGTTCATTACTCATACAGGATTCCAAGTTAGGTTGTTTCAAGAGAGGATGAGCCAAACTAATACCCAGCAAAATAGTCACCTATCATCTGCCATAAAAATGGGAATGTTGTTAACAGTCTTGACCAATCAGAATGAATGACAAATACTGTATCACAAGTATAGAAAGATCCATGACTGGACACTCTCAGCCTCGGACATCTTGTGGTCTCAGAATTTTACCAAAGACCTCTCAAGGCCACAAATTAACTTCTTAATTTCCTGGTCAACTGGTTAAGTTTGGGTTCAGGTAGTGAGATACCCAGTGCAGTATACCTCCCCCCGTGTCACTTCCTGGACCATTCATCCATAATAAGTTAGGATTTCTTGGGTCACCATCAATTTTCTAAGGAAAAATCATCCATGTAACAGATACAACTTCAATTCAGTTGTGACAGCAAAATAAAGCCATGTTTCCATCACTGACCATTGTAACTGCTCATGCCCCTAGTACTCTAGTTGAGTGTATAGTATATTGAGCCTTGGGAAGGATAATAGTAAGGCCCCCATAGATGCAAGACACCAACATCTGGACAAAAATATCAAGACTATTTTTCGCGGGGAGGGGGTAATTTATGAGAACACCGCTACCACCAGAAAGAGTTGTTTGATTTTGTCCATATTTTCCCCAGATGTTATTACAGTGTCATTATAATAAGTATTTGTAAAGAGGCGACAACAAACAGGGAGGTACTACCGCCTGGAAAGATATTGGAAGCATAATGTGTTGTCTAATGGTAGACCCTGCTGCCATATGGCATCACAAAAATCCAGCCCATACGTGCACGAACTGATCGCTATAAGAACAGCCCAGTCCCAACCATTGTAAAAATTATCAATAACTTGTAATAAACCAGTGTATTCACTCCCGGTAAACACTACTCCTTGCACTGTCACTATGTTGAAATGAACTGTAGTTTGAGCTTTTCCCCATCTAGTTATTATATATCTTATTTGTATCACTTATGTTACTTGTATATTATTTGTAATTCGAAACCCATTCCCCAAATATGTAACTGTATATTTTCAGCCTTCTGGCTGCCAAGCGCTTTCAATAAACCGTTAATTATTATTATTATTTAAATTGTGACCAAGTTCCAGGTTGCTCATCTGATTTTCTGCCTCAATTACACACAATTGCAGGGTCTCAATTGTTTCTCTTACTATTGACAACACAACATACATACGGTGCTGTTGTTTCTCACTCTTGAATTATTTTTTTTTATTTATCATTATCATCATTATTTTTATTTATTTTATTAATTATTATTATTATTATTTTTATATTTTCGCCCCCCAGGCCCTGATGTGGGTAAATGACCTGTGCCTGGGTGGGATAATCCCCATAAAAAAAAATAAAATAAAAATTATTATAATTACGTACATGTATGTTTTTTGTTTTTTCTCTATGATCATAAATCACCAGTAATAGCCATGGCACGAAGTATGAGGGAAATTTCGGGGTAAAACAAGAAAAAACTGATTACATGACACTAAAATGATGTCTCCATGCTTTGTACGCGGAAAAATTTATTATTTGCCGTAAATATTCATCCGAAAAATCTGCCGTGTCTGCGCATGTTGTCGTCTACTCTGTCATTTATTACCAGCATGCTTGGTCTGAGCATAATCTAAGGTCGAAAAAAAATTTAATTACACCATGATGCCTCAACAAAGTTGCTTTCATTGGTACTGTACCAGATATCACAATAAGTACTTTATTTAATAAGGAGAGGGGTCCAGGAAGTTAGATAAGGTTAGGTAGGGTTTTAGTTAATGTCGCATCTTTTAAAATACTTATTATTAACGATAAGAACATCTGTGTAAAAAATAAACCTAAAGCAAACAACACCTGTTGGTGGTGGCGGTGTTCTCATACATTACCTCTTTTAATTACTCGTCCACTTTTTGGCCTTCTCATGAGGTGCGAGCACTTGTGCTACTGGTGTAAAGTGTTACTCCTTTGCTAACAATGTGCAGTACATACTAAGACTGTTAAGGTCGTGTTTGCTGGTCTCATTTAGTCTGTTTTAAAATGAGGTTTGTCAAAGGATACTATGAAATTTGAAAAATGCAAAGTGTCGGAACATTTGTCAAAAAAGGGGCCATCTTTTGTGTTAAAATCTACCATGAAACTGATCTTGTTTTTTTACCCCGCCAATCACCTTCACACTGACGAAATAAATTTAAGATACAGAACAATAAAGTAATGATATACATAGTACTGGGACCTAAAGCTGACACAAGTTACAATCATCTCCCCTTAAACACCACACCAAACAAACACCAAACAACAGTCATAACCACAGTAAATCAATGCAAGAGAAGCTACAGTAAAGTGTCTTAACCTTCTACACCGGTAAACTCTAAGTACTATAATACAAATATAACCTGATGGTATTTCAAGCACCAACTACCATAAACGGTGTCGGGTCAGCCCATCAAATTTATGACAGACGGGTCTTGGGTCTTGCCTTTGCACCTCAATAACACCTACTCAATCCTTAATTAAGAACCCTTCTCTCTAGTAACTCACCACACCTAAGTACTCGCCACCAACGTCCACGTGGTACTTCTGGGCAAGTCTGTCAAGCCCGGATGCAAAAAAATGTCCCTAAGACACAGATTCTAGTAGTACGCTCCACCACGTTACAAATCGGCGGCACAATGGCGACTGCTGTTGGTATAAGTATAGATGGAGGGAGGCTGCGGGACAGACGCCTCCGCCAGCCTTTAAAAACATAAGAGCATCGCTACTTTAATTAAATGCTGTCTATCATGTAATCTCTCACTGGTATAGTGGGAATCATTAACTCGTATTGAATTCTTTTTCATAATCGCTATATTCGATTGGTTAAACATAGTGTTATTATATACTGTACAGTAAGTATATCAATATTTCCACGGATAAAAGCTAATTGAAATGACATTCACTCATTCCACAGTTTCTACAATATTTGCTTAAATTCTTCTCTCATATACTTAACTTGTACAAAAAAATCAACTTTGTACACACGAGTCTTTACAAGCTCATAACTTCCTCAATGCACATGTCAGAAACAAGAATTAGGATATTATCCCTAACAGGAAATAGAGGCACAACTCTCCCATTATCGCAGGTGTTTTGTTTCCATCTTCATGAAAGTGGACCACATCCTCAAGGTCATCCACGGTGGTTGAGCCACATTCTAGTCTGCCGGATTATCACTTCATTATATTTCTGCCTTAATTCAATGGGATCACCGCTAATATTGCCTTTACTCAATCGTAAAGTATGGTGAATTGGATATGACAAACTTTATTTATCGTACGGACAGAAGTTGGAATATTATTACTTGCAATGAGCATTTACTGTATGCTAATACTGTAGGACTAGAAACCCTTCCTAACATTTACTTAACAGATAGTAAAGAAACGAGTATTTTTGTAGGTGGACCTCCAAACATCGACGTGCACATTTACAGTATATACTTAAAGAATCAGAACAAGTTGAATTCATGGTCATTTCCTGTAGCCTAGACCATCACATATGCCCTTTAATTTATCCTCTTCGTCACTGATCGGCTTGTGAGCCTCTATGGCGATCGGTAACGTCTCTGCTATAGGCACTCTTGGCAAGTACTGTTTATGTACTGGCTCCAGAATGTATCTGTACCTGTACCAGTGTTGAACAAGTCTGGTCTTGAATGAGCTCACATTCGTGTGCCATCACAACACTCTCTGGCAGATTGTTCTGAGGTCACAATCCTCTCTCCGAAAAAGTTGTCCTGGCAATTTTTTTAACTTGTGACTTCTTCAGCCTTAAAAGTGTCCTCTTGTTAGGCAGGCATCCGCCAGTTACATATATGGGCTTTCGACTGAGGAATGTCCTCCGAGGTGTTTAAAGACTTCTTTTAAGTCACTTCTTGCCCGCCTACTGTAATAATGGTTGCCCCTCGTGTAACGAGGATGGCCAGCCCTAGGGCCACCTAGGCGTGAATTTGTTTAAGGTGTGTCGCCAACACATCAATCACACCCTCCCTAAGTTAACGAGCTGCATGACCCAGTGTCAAGGAATAGTCCGAGAAGACCGTGTAGTGGATTTCTCCCCTACAAACGCTGTTTGTCGCTGAGTAGCCGACCCCACCAATTCCCCAGTGTATGCCTCATGGTCTAGGTCAACCAGCGCCGCCATACATCACGGAGCGGGGGTCAACTGCTAAGCCACGCCTACCCCCGCTATTTAAGACCTGACCTCGTGGTGACCTACCTCTTTCTACCTACACCAACCAGCCAGCAACACCTCCTCCCCCGCCTGCCTGGCGGTCCTCGCTCCCGCCGGCGAGCATGGCGACCCACAGGCTGGTCCTCCTCTGAGCACCCTCACCAACCAGCTCTCTCTACATCACGCTTGTAACCATGCTGCCTTCCCAGCACCAAGCTGCATTGTACATCCAATACAACATGTATATAGAGAGCACATTGTGAGTTTCCTTTCTCCATTCCATCCTGAGTGTGAACCAAACATCCTGAACCCCACAACCGGACAACTCGCCAACTGCACTGGCTAACCCTTACCCCGAAATACGATCCGCAAATCGATTAACATCCAGGTTGCCAATTACTGCTGGGTAGACAGAGGCAAATGGCGTTACGAAACTTGTCCATAGTTTCACTCTGCACGTGGATCGAACTCGGGTCCTTTTTCCCTAGTTTTGTTTTGTTTTATCCTTTTCACCACTGATCGGCTCGTTAGCCGCTTGGGCGATCGGTCACGTCTCTGATTACTAACCATTGCACCACAGTATAAGCTAGAAAGTTGCAGGTGTTGTAACTATGGGTAACTGAGGTGCCGTAGTGCAGGCTCCCAAATGAAACCGCGAGAACATTCATAACTTTGATTATGTCATTAACCCTTTTGCTGTGGCAAAAGTTTGGAAATTTTTAATGTGATTTAATGTAATCACACATCCTTAACACAGCTAAATCTGCCTCCCGAAAGTTGGGAATGCTGTACAGATGCCGTAGCTACTTCACTCCTGAGAAGTTGCTTCAACTATATAAAGGATTCATTCGTCCTAACTTGGAGTACTGCTCTCATATCTGGGGTGGCTCTTCTTCTATCCAACTGTTAGATAGGGTGGAATCAAAGACATTTCGTCTTATTAACTCTCCTCCTTTCGTTGATAATCTTCTTCCCTTTCTCTTCACCACAATGTTGCTTCACTCTTTCTCTTTTACAGGTACTTTAACGGGCAATGTTCTGTGGATTTGGCATCCTGTGTACCGCCGGTAAGGCCGAGGGCTCATAACACGTCTTGCCCGCGGTGCCCACCGTTTCTCTGTGGATGTCGGTCACACTAGAATAACCCGTTTTAATACATCCTTCTTTCCTCACACAGCCAAACAGTGGAATGCTCTGCCTTCTTCTGTGTTCCCGTACTTATACAATCTGTCTCACTTTAAAAAGCTGGTTTTCCGGTATCTTCGTGGTGTAGATTAACACAGTATAACCTTTTTCTTCTCTATTTTTAATTTATTTTTTCTTATTTTTTCTCCCGTTGTGGGTCGTTCGACCTGTGCCCGGGTGGGCTAATCCCCGTAAAAAAAAAAAATGCTTGTTTTGTTGACAGAAATATAACGGAAAGATAACAGCAAGTTATTTGGGGAATCAAGAACCAAGCTGACTGTGAAGAGCTGCAGAACATAAGAACATAAGAAAATAAGGAGTCTGCAATAGGCCGGTTGGCCTGTGCATGGCAGCTCCTGTCGAGAGTTACTACCACTCTCTATCATCCATGAATCTATCCAGCTTCCCTTTGAAACTTTCCAGCGTTCCAGCACTTACTACAAAGTTGCTAAGCTTGTTCCACTCGTCCACCACCCTATTTGTAAACCAGTTCCTTCCTATCTCCCTCCTAAACCTAAACTTAGCCAACTTGAATCCGTTGTTCCGAGTCCTATCCTGCTCGGATATTATAAGAACTTTATCTATATCACCTTTATTGATTCCTTTCACCCACTTGAATACTTCTCTCATATCTCCCTGCACTCTTCGTCTTTCTAGGGAATGCAAGTTTAGTTTCCTTAACCTATCCTGATATGGAAGGTTTCTAAGTCCCGGAATCATTTTCGCCATTCTTCGCTGCACCGACTCTAGTGAATTGATATCCATTCTATAATAAGTGCACCAGAAGTGAACCGCATAATCGAGGTGCGGCCTGACTAGCGCAAGATATAGTTGCAATGAGACCTCTGCACTCTTATTTCTTACACTTCTAGATATAAAACCCAATACTCTGCCTTATTTCGAACATTAACGCACTGTTTTCTAGGCCGTAGGTCTGGGCTTACAAGTACCCCTAGGTCTCTTTCACAAGTCGACTTCTCTAGGTTGATGTTGTTAAGGCTGTATACATTGACAGTATTTGTTCTTCCAATATTAAGTACGCTGCACTTGCTGGTGTTGAATTTCACTTGCCATTTTTCAGACCACCCCTGCAGTTTATTTAGATCCTCCTGTAATGCATTTGCATCCTGCCCTGAATTAATCTGCCGCCTTATTTTGGTGTCATCCGCAAACTTGCTAATGTCACTGCTGATCCCAGTATCTAGATCGTTTATGTAGATTATGAACAAGAGTGAGCCTAGTACTGACCCCTGGGGAACCCCACTGGTTACACGACCCCACTCAGATTTAACACCATCTACGCTGACCCTCTGCGTTCTATCGGTGAGCCATGATTTTATCCAATTTAAAACTTTCCCCTCGATACCATGAGCCTTAATTTTTCTCAGAAGCCTCTGATGCTGTACTCTGTCAAATGCTTTGCTAAAGTCTAAGTAAATAACATCGTAATTTTCGTCATTATCTACTACCTGGAAGACTTTCCTAAAAAATGTCAGCAGATTTGTTAGACAAGATTTTCCCTTTGTAAACCCATGTTGAGAGTCGTAGATTAATTTGCTTTTCTCTAAATGCGATCAGATGTTATCTGCTATAATTGATTCAGGAAATTTCCCCACTACTGACGTCAAACTGATCGGCCTGTAATTTGACACTGATGCTCTGTCTCCCTTTTTGAATATGGGTACTACATTTGCCTGTTTCCACAAGTCTGGCACAACTCCCGTGTCTAATGATTTTGTAAATAAGTTTACGAGGGGTCCGCTAATCTGTTCCCTACACTCTTTCAAGACTCGAGGGAAAATTTCATCCGGCCCTGGGGATTTTGTCTTCTTTAGTTTATTTATCCTCTTAAGAACATCCTCTTTTCTAATAGTGATATTCTTTAATTTCTCTTCTTCCTTTCCCTTAAATATCAGTTCCACCTCTGGAATTTCATCTGGAATGTCCTCTGTGAAACCTGATAAGAAGTAGCTGTTCAATGCTTTGCTTATTTCTTCACTTCCATTTATCACTTCTCCGCTCCCTGACTTTAAAGGCCCAACTTTGTCCTTGACCTTTGTTCTATATACCTGGAAAAATCCCTTGGGATTCGCCTTGGATTCTCTTGCTATTTTGATTTCATAGTTTCTCTTTGCTTTCCTTACATATTTCTTAACATTCCTAGATAGTTCATTATACCTATTTCTGAGCTGCTCCTCCCCTCCCTTTAATTTCTTATATATTCCTTTCTTTATTCCTATGTCATGTTTAAGTTTTCTGGTCATCCACCTTGGCTCATTCTTATTTGACCTAATTTTTCTGTATGGTATATTTTGTTCTTGTGCTTTATGTAGTATACTAGTGAATATATTATAGTCATGATCAATTGTTGTGTCATCTATGACCTCACCCCTTCCTACTGGTGACTGACGTGACTGTTCCCAGGTGACTTCACCTAGGTACCTTCTTAACCCCTGATAATCCGCCAACCGAAACTTTGGGACTCTGACCATATTGTCATTGTTTTTCGTTTCCCAATTTTGGGTGAACCTGATTTCACTGTGATCACTGTTACCTAGTTCTTCCCCAACTGTGATATCTCTGATAATATTTTCTTTATTTGTTAATACTAGGTCTAATATATTGTCACCTCTAGTAGGTTCTGCAAATAGTTGTTTCAAAAAATTGTCCTGTACTGCGACTAGGAAGTCTTCAGATTCATAGTCACCTACAATGTTGTCCCAGTCAATATTTCTGAAGTTGAAATCCCCCATAATGCACAGGTTGTTATATTTCCCTGCCCTACTCATTTCCTGCCATATGGGCTGAGCTGCTTCCTTCCCAAGACTTGGGGGCCTGTAAATCACCCCCATAATTAGTTTTTGTCTTCCTTCCGTGATTTCTACCCATACAGACTCGGTTCCTATTTCACCCTTTATTGAATTATTAATACAACATTTTAATGTATCCTTGACGAAGAGTGCGACCCCTCCCCCCTTCCTACCTTCCCTGTCCTTGTGAAAAAGGTTGTACCCTTCTATGTGGTACTGTGATAAAAAAATTTTGCTCGCCAGATTCATCCAAGTTTCGGTGATTGCTATGACGTCTACATTCTTGGTACATACAACCGCTCTCAGCAAGTCTATTTTATTTCGAACGCTCTTACTGTTTGCATAGTATACATTTAAACCTACCCTTCCCTGGTCCTGTTTTACCCCTTGTCCTGAGGAACCAATTTTACTTCCCAGGACCAGCATGTTTTTTGACTCCCACTTACCCCGACCTCTCTCTACTGGCGAAACCCCCCCTTTGGAGTAACAAGTTCACGCTCCAGGGATGCAGACAACGTCTTTACCCCAGCACGAGACAAGTGTACTCCGTCACGACTGTACAGGTAGTAGTTGCCATAGAATCGTTGCCAGTTATCAATGAATGTGGGCTCCAAAAATGGTCGAAGAAATGGCTGCTGAGATTCAACGTCACGAAGTGTAAGAGGATGCACCTGGGGCGTACCAACGGTAAGGAGGTGTATCATATGTCCCAACGGGATGAAGAAACTGCACTATTTGAGACTGAATGTGAGAAGGACCTAGGTGTGTATGTTGACAATGAGCTGAAGTTCTCGGGCCATTGAGAGAAGGTAAATCAGGCAAATAAATTATTGGGTCTTATAAGAAAGTCGTTCAGATATCTAGACGGTCCGTTCCTTGTAACGATCTTCAAGAGTGAAGTGCTTCCCCATCTGGAGTACTGTCACCCCGTCTGGTCCCAGGAGTTATGCTAGGGACTGTCAGTTGGTTGAAATTTTTCAAAGGAGGGCCACCAGACTGGTGCCTGCACTTCGGCACCTCAGCTACCCTGAGAGATTGGAGCGCCTGAACTTGCCTAGCTTATACTGTGGGGTTATGTGATATTTGGTTCACACTCAGGATGGGATGGAGAAAGGAAACTCACAATGTGCTCTCTGTATACATGTTGTATTGGATGTACAATGCAGCTTGGTGCTGGGAAGGCAGCATGGTTACAAGCGTTGAGTAGAGAGAGCTGGTTGGTGAGGGTGCTCAGAGGAGGACCAGCTTGTGGGTCGCCATGGTCGCCAGCGGGAGCGAGGACCGCCAGGCAGGAGTGGAGGAGGAGGTGTTGCTTGAAGACTGGCTGTAGGTAGAAAGAGGTAGGTCACCACGAGGTGAGATCTTATATAGCGGAGGTAGGCGTGGCTTAATAGTTGACCTCCGTCATGTAAGGCGGCGTTGGTTGACCTAGACCACGAGGCATACACTGGGGAATTCGCGGGGTCGGCTACTCAGCGACAAAAGCGTTTGTAGGGGAGGAATCCACTACAATACTACAAGACGGGCAAGGGGTGACCTAATAGAGGTGTATAAACATCTCAAGGGGCACTACTCTACTTGGAGCTGACGGACGCTCGTCCCACAAGGGGTCACAGCTCAAGATTGAAGAAGCCACAAGTCCAGAAAACTGTGAGGGCAAACTTTTTTCGGAGTGAGGGTTGTGAACTCTTGGAGCAATCTGCCAGAAAGTGTTGTGACGGCACCGAGTGTGAGCTCTTTCAAGACAAGACTTGGCCAACACTGGAGCGGGTTCAGGAACATTCAGGAGCCGGTACTTGCCAATAGTGCGTAACAGAGACGTGACCGATCGCCCAAGCGGCTAACGAGCCAATCTTTTGGTGAAGAGGATAAAAGAAAAGGAAAAGTAATCAGAGACGTGACCGATCGCCCAAGCGGCTAACGAGCCGATGAGTGGTGAAGAGGATAAAAGTAAAAGTAACAGCAAAATTGATTATATGCAAAATTAGGTTTTTGAATTTTTTTTATCATTATTTTGGTATACTACTTCTAAAATTTCACGAAAACAGTGATTTACATAGTAAAATAAAATAATTTATCTTGAAAATAGTTGAAAACAGAGTGTAGTTGGATTTCTCCCCTACAAACGCTGTTTGTCGCTGAGTAGCCGACCCCACCAATTCCCCAGTGTATGCCTCGTGGTCTAGGTCAACCAACGCCGCCATACATCACGGAGCGGGGGTCAACTACTAAGCCACGCCTACCCCCGCTATTTAAGACCTGACCTCGTGGTGACCTGTCTCTTTCTACCTACACCAACCAGCCAGCAACACCTCCTCCCCCGCCTGCCCCGGGCGGCACTTTTGGGTCTGCTCATCACCCATATCTGCAGCTACTGGAGACGTTAATCCATCCCTTTGTATCGGCGGCAAGTTAATCCTTGTCGTGTCTGACCTAACACCTGACCCACATCATCACGGCCACGTCATGAGCTACACCCTTGCTATGCGCCCCCCGCCACACACACAACCTGTAACCTGTTGAGGATTAAGGAAACAACTTCAAACAAGTACGCCAGTGAGCTCATGTGGTGTGGGTCAGGTGTTAGGTCAGACACGACGAGGATTAACTTATAAAGTTTAAGTATGTTTGGTGTGTATTTAAAGCATACTATATTTGAGTATGTGAAAGTACAGTAATATTATAATGGTACACAAACTATATATATATATATATATATATATATATATATATATATATATATATATATATATATATATATATATATATATATATATATATAAGAGTGAGTCACTGTGCAATATGTATTTTTTGTGGGGGCACGGGGGGGGGGGAGGGGCGGCAAACTCAAGGGCCGCCCCGGGCGGCACACACTCTACCTTCGCCACTGCTTCGCTCCTGCCCCGCCTGCCTGGCGGTCCTCTCTCCCGCCGGCGAGCATGGCGACCCACAAGCTGTCCTCCTCTGAGCATCTTCACCAACCAGCTCTCTCTACATCACGCTTGTAACCATGCTGCCTTCCCAGCACCAAGCTGCATTGTACATCCAATATAACATGTATATAGAGAGCACATTGTGAGTTTCCTTTCTCCATCCCATCCTGAGTGTGAACCAAACAATTTTGAACCCCACAAGAGCTTAGGTTGCATGATATTGACTCTCCGTAGTCAAAATTTTCCCGGGCTTTGGCTCCCAGAGGCATGGTAGGTAGATACCTACTTTGCCCAGAGGGGCGCCAATCTCTAACTTTGCCCCCGAGCGCCACGAACCTTCACTACGAGACTGAAGACATGTTGGTGCGCCAGTGATCATACCCCGTGAACACAAGAGAACGGTTATTGTATTAGTAAGCAAGTTTGTCCCGGGAACGAGTCTCACTTCACAGTTCACACTATACAAACGATATATTGGTGAACATAAACAATAAACACACCTTCGATGAGGTAGGAGTCCAGTTCTGTGTTAGGTTGTTATATGTACAGTATTGGGTTGATGTTGATCATGTTATATTCAACTTTATAATAGTAAAATAATAAGGTAATTGGGCTAATATATGACTAGTGACTGTCAGCGGTTTGATAATTATGGAGGGTGTTTTTAGACAGCTTTGTACGTTGATTACTTTCGGTTCTATTCATTTTATTGTGCAAATGCTTAGTTTTCTATATATAAGCGAGTTAAGATATAGGTTAGGTCAGGTTTTCGGTAAATGTGCATTTTACAGCAACTATGGAGTTTGAAAAAAGAGAGGAAACAAATGTTTTTCTGTGTAGTTTTGATGCGATTAGCTCAACTTGACCTTCGTTTTTGTCGGAAATCACTCGTTTGTGGTTTAGACACCTCCCCCCCCCCTCACAATAGTTCTATGATTGCATGTTCTGAATTCCTGGTACTCTGTGCTTGCTAACGTATACCATATAACCAAACTAAACCTTACCTAACCCTGGAGGCTTTGCCCCTTGACCCCAAACGCTATGTAATAACCCTAGAGTCACGTGGGCAGCTTCCACGAGAATATAAATAGCCTTTAGAATATTTCTTTCCTTACTCTGAGTCAGGGACCAGAATGCGTCGTGGGCTCCTCTGTTCTCTAAAGTTTCCTTATTTTTAGAATGAATAATACGATAAACTTCCAATAATCGAAATCGCACCCAGCACGTTATGGCTCCATGTTGCAACTGGTTAAAAATGTCCCGCATCCTACCACCCATGCAGAATATCGAACGCTAATTGGTTGAATCAAATGCTGCAATTTTTTATTAGATTTGATTGGCTGACGCCCCCCGCCCCTCCCCCCATGGTTAGGGGTCATATAGTTCCTGGGTTTTGTGGCTAGGTTAGGTTAGATTAGATTATAGTTTAGATCTCTAGATACAGGGGTGACCAAAACTAAAATCTTACCAAATGTCCTATGGTTGGTAGTTGAGGAACACAGGTAGTAAGACTGCAGTCCAAGGTTATGACTCGGTAAAAGACAACCACGGAACTCTATATTGATTTTTATGGTAATCCTGGATCTGATGGCTGACACCAGAATACATTTAATCTTGTTTATTTTTTCCACAGATGTTCTTTGGATGATAGTAAGTAATAAAAACGATGCAACAATGCATAGAACCTAATAGAACCTGACCTAACCAACCAAAGAAACCTACTTAACCGAACCTAACTTTTTAGCTGGGGGGGACTCTGACCCCCCTGGACCCCCTGCCATATTGAACCAAAAGTACTTATTTTGATATCTGGTACCAATGAAGACAATTTTGTTGAAGCGTTATGGTGTAATTTTACGTTTACTGTAGACGTGAGAGTATGGTTGGCACGAGCAGGTCAGTCGTAAACAAAATGCAGGCAACATTAGTAGATTTTTTTGAGGAATATTTACAGTTAATAATTTTGTTGTGTACAAGGCACGTGCAGACATTATTTTAGTGGTATGGTCAGTTTTTCACCGTGTTTTACCCCACAATTTCCCTCATCTTTGATACTCTGTCTGCTACAGGTGATTTATGATGGTACTGTAGATAGAGAAAAAATAAAAAATGAAATTAATAATATACATTAATTTTAAAAAGTTGAATAATTTTTGTTACTATCATCTAAAGAACCTGTGGAAAAGCTTAATAAACCAAACAACTCCTTCTGGTGTTAACCATCTGCTCCATTACCCTAAACTATTTTTTTTATGGTAGAAAATGTATATTAAAAGGGGAATGACCCCTTCAACACTAGTAACAACAATGATTTTTTCTAAAATGTGTAGGGAAAATGTAGGGTTAAAACACTTAAAAACACCAAACAAACCCTTGAGAGCATTTTGGTTTCTCTGGTTAAGTTAGGTTAGACATGCACTGTAGACTGACATTTGAGTCAGGTTAGGGTCTTGATCTTTTTGTGTGACAAAAAATTATTTCCTCCATCGTTTTGGGGATGTTCTTGATAAACTGAAGAACTTTTCTTGTTGAAAAGTTTACCTAACTCTGCTTCTTAACCTGAACACCTGCTATAAAATATTGCACTATTTTATTTATTTTTTGTAATTACTTGGTTAAGTTTACTTTTGTCAGTATTTTTGCATGTTTTCACACCATAATTTCCCTAGGTCAAGATTCGGAAAAGGTCGACCACAGAACTTCATATTTATGTCTATAGATCGGTAGAGGAAAAAATAACATAATTTTATAATGTTTCCTTCACAAATTTTTATTTATTTTTTTGCATTTTGGTCTTTGAGTTCACTCAAGAATTTACGCTTCGGCAGGAGACGCTGTTTCCATCCGAATCGTTCGCCAATCACAATAAGTCTCGGTGTCACGTAACTTTGTCTAGCCAATCAGCATTACTCTTGGTGTCACATGATACTCCTGGACATCCTCAGAGTACCTGTATTGAATTTGAGCTGGCTCGTCGCAAGATGGCTTTTCTCTGCATAGGTGTTCTGAGGATATCAGTCAAACACTGATCCTTCGCCTCACTGGATTTTTAAGCTTAATGTGGAACCGGGGGTGTTGCATGCAGTTCTGTAGCTGTTGCAGCATAAAAGTGAGTCTATGGATGACCGTGAATGTCTATGTGTTTTATCTTTTGATGAAACAAGTGTTGCACATGAATGGACCTATGATAAAGCAACTGATATCCCCTATGCATCTAAAAAGAGAGTTCATTGTGTAATGATATGAGGAATGATTGGCTCATGGAAGTATCTTATATACAGTATTACAAATTTACAATTTGTATTCTGATATGACCAAGGATATTTTGTATGACATAATTGTAAAGGAAAATGCAGCTGGATATCCAGTAGTTGCTGTTGCCCCACTAATGTGAGATTGTAGAATACCCTGGGTGTGGGTATGGATAAGTCCTCTTTTATAAATCCAGCTGCTTCAGATAGGGAAATGTGCATACAGGTATTAAGTAACTTTTTCTACTTTCCCTGACAAATTTATAGATGAAATTTTCTTGCCTGGATTTTAGAAGGGAAAAGTAAAATAAACATCTTAAACAGCCAATGTTATTGTGCAGTACATGTAGGTATCAACTCATAGATCACTTGTCTAAATGGTATCAGTAAAGGTAAACCTTGTCATGTGAGGTCATAACTCCTGTCACCTCACCTCACACCTGCAGGCAGAGGCAGCACCTGTGATCACCTGCCCTAACAACCACTCCTCTCTATAATACCTGAAAGAGTTTTATGAAAGATTTTTATGAATTTACAAAGCATTTCACTTTCTATTTACTTTAAAATAGAACAAACAATATGTAAATTCTAGTACATGCATGTATATTTAACAATGATTCTACACTGAATGTTTAGAAACGAGTTGTTTTGGATTTTTTTTAATTCATCATTTGGTTTATCTCTTCTGTTGTGGGAAACATTATATGCAGAGAATTAATCCTTGCATTAATCTTTCAGAGATAACCATGGCTTGCGAAGTAAAACAGCTGTTTTCCTGGGACACTCAGTACAATGCTGACTCAGTTGAATTTTGTCCTGTTGAGCCTTATCAGGAATACCTAGTAGTAGGCACTTACCAACTGATGGACCAGGAACATAGATTAGAGGTTTGTGCACAGGTTAATCATGAAAATACAACTGAAGTGGAATCAAGTTTGCAGAAATGTGATGCACCTAAGAAAAGACTTGGTCGTCTTTATTTGAAGCAGATGACAGAAGAGAAGAAACTTGTGTTAGTTCAGCAAATTGACATGCCTGCTATTTTGGATATGAAATGGTGTCATAACAAGATAGAGAATGATCCAGTACTTGCCATTGCAAATGCTTCAGGTCATTTACTTCTGTATAAGTTACAACCAATAGATGATGGAACAGTTAGATTAAAATTCTGGATTAAGTCTGAAATAGACGAGGAAGACACTCTTGCCTTGTCATTGGATTGGTCAACTGGGAAAATTCAGTGTGAGAATCCATTAATTTCACTTAGTGATTCAAAAGGGAAAATAAGTTTATTACAACTCAGTAACCAGGAATTAATTTTACAAGATAGATTTCTAGCTCATGAGTTTGAAGCTTGGATCACTGCATTTGATTACTGGAATCCTAACATAGTTTATACAGGGGGGGATGATTGCAAGTTTCGAAGATATGACGTGAGAAATGAGCCAGCCAATCCAACATTGACCAGTAGGGTGCACAGTGCAGGTGTCACAAGCATTCACAGCAGTGCTCACTCTGAGTACCTCTTAGCAAGTGGTAGTTATGATGAAATTGTTAATTTGTGGGACACTAGAACGATGAGATCACCATGTTCATCAATATCCCTCAGTGGTGGGATATGGCGTCTTAAATGGGACCCACAAGGAAGAAACTTGTTACTGGCTGCTTGTATGCATAATGGATTTCATGTTACCGATACCTCCCCATCAGATGTGCAAGTAGTTGCCTCATTCACAGAGCATGAGAGCTTGGCTTATGGAGTGGATTGGTGGGCAGGTGCCACAGATGCAACCAGTGTTATTGCTTCTGCCTCATTTTATGATCATTTACTGTGTTTGTGGGAGTTTACAATAAACTAAATACAAAATTGACTTTTTTTTCCTATTAACCATGAAAGTTTTTTGTTTCAGTCAAATAAAGAAATAACAATTTTGTAGCCCCCTTGTCTATATACAATAACTTGAACAGGACATATACACAGTGGTATAGTTAATATTGATTCATGCCATGTTTAGGGCTCTGACAAAGTAAACTCAGAGTGTCTACATATAAATTAAAAAGTGACTAAAAGAAGCTTTGTTTATGAAATATTTTTATTTTTTTGTCTGACCATAATTATTATGCTACAATATTTAAAGCAAAGGGACTCAGAGCTAGAGAATCTTTCTCTTTCTGCAATGACTTCCTCTCACATACTGCCATATTAATTTTATTTCATGTAAAGATTATTAATCTTTTTGGGCAAACCTCAAAGACAAGGAGTCTACATTCATCACCTAACAGATGTGAACATAAAATGTATACAGGAACACAAAGTTGAAGTACAGTATATGGAATCAGTTTTCATAACAATTGTTCTCTTTATTACATGAAGTATTGAAATGCAACGTCAGTTCTGGAAAAACCTCCTTAGTCTGCCACTGGATATTATGTAAATACAGTATTATTCGAAACATCCTGACCAATAAATATATAATTTTTTTAAGATTAATAATTGAAACATTCCAAAACTTTTAATTCCATCAACTAACAATCCCCATGTTAAAGGTACTGTATGTTCTGTAGTCACATGCATTAAAAAATCTTCAATGTTTACCTTTACAATTTTCTGAACCCTCTCACTGTTACTATGCTGTATTTCTACAGAGCTTATGTTCCTGTAATTATTACATTTAATCTTCATACAGTTTTACATTTATAATATATCATACTTTTTGTTTGAAAGTGGTCAATGGTCAAAAAGACCCCCCCCCCCCAAAAAAAAAACTACAAAACCATTTTTTATGGCAACCTAAACCACCCAAATTTAAGTACAAGTGCCTGATCATTATATTTAGGTTAATTTAATGTTTTGAAATAAATGAATGGTTTTGTGATCATGAAAGTTAAGTGTCCATCTTGATTCATTCTCGAGACTTAAGCAGATCCTGTTTCTGCAACAGTTTCCTTAACCCTGATCTCAGAACTACACCATATTAATCATGTGATTTTGCAATAAAAATCATCAGTCACATGTTGGACAAGCTGCAAACATTTCCCACACAATCTGCTACCTACAAATATCAATCATGTGATCTATTGGCTACAGATAAAATCAATCCCATGATTTACTAGCCATGTAATGCACTAGCTATAAAAATTTTAAGTCACATGATCAACCACCAAAAAGTATAAAAAATTAATAAGTATTGGCTACAAACTTCAATCACATGATTTACTAACTAAAACATCATCAATCACATAATCTACTAGCTACAAACATTTTAAGTATAGCTACAGACATCAATCACATTATGTACTAGTTACAAGCATGGCGTTGTGACCTGGATACAACCATCCACAGTCACATCTCATGACCTGGACACACACGTTGCCCACTAAACTTTTTCCTTTCTAAATCACTAAACACTCATCAATCCTTAACATGTCTTGCCCCTCCCCCCCCATCTTTTTGTAAGTATTGTGCTCAACCTGCCGAGTCACATACCTAAATGCCTTCAGAATTTAACCTGTCATATGTTTTCATTATGGCAACATCCAGAGCTGCTATATTTTGGTGGTTCAAAAGATTAAGGTCACAACTCTGCTAAGGGTACCATACTGCATGAGTTTGTACCTCATTAAGTATAGTTTAGTTTTATTCAATTACTATAAATTACAGTATTTCATTTTAGTTGTATAAGGTAACTCTGATCTTATAATACGGTACAGTATTATTTATGCCAAAAATCTATTGCGCACCATATTTACTCTTTACTCCTAAAACACAAAGACTATTTTAAAAAAAACATTATTGAGCTATGTGCTTCAAAAAATTTTCCAATGATAAAAAATAAATAGGTAAATGAAAATTTCCTTTAAATCTTCTCATTTAATAGATTTTTTATCCAAGTGCCCATTGCATAAAACAGTGATAATAATCTTTGGAAGTTGTCCTATATCATAAAATTGTAAATTTAATTCAGTACCAGAACACAAAGACATATCTAGAAAATATGAAATGAGCATCTGATCTAAAGTCCTTAAAAAATACTTCAACTAAATCGGATATATTTACAGTATATCTACAATATTCAATAGCTAAGAGTTATAAATGTGCATATAAAAAATAACAGTAGTACCAAGAATTGGTACGCGAAACAAAGTGGTAAAAGAAGTCATTTACTTACAGCTACAAGCTTAAGTTAAAAGTTCAGGATATCATGGCAGACTGAGAACACACACTTAAAATACCATCTGTACTAGTGATCACCATATCATCTTCCATGACTCAATATCACTCTCCACAGAGAGTGTCACTCAATAGACCATTAAGCCAGGTCCACAATCACGAAATCTGACTATAAATATCTGTACAATCTCCAGTTGGTTCCACAGGCATTAGAAATCCAACTTCTCTGGAATGGGAATTTTTGCCACTTCAAAGAAGACCCTGAAAATCCAAATAATTTTATTGTTTTATTCTTTCATTTATTTGGTTGTTACATTAAATATTAAATATATATTACCCAGTCATATTAAAAGCTATAGTATGCATAATGAAATTATTGACTTTAATATGATAAATATATTGCAAGTTAACATTCTCATTATGCATACCACAAGCATATAGTTTTAATTATGACCGAGTCCATATTTCTCCTATAATATGTATCGTTTTAAATACAGGAAAGTAAAATTCCAATAACCTTTACAGCACCTCATATCAAATACTGTTATGTGCTGTCCAATACAGCTTTGTCCATGCACTCCACTCCTCACATATCTCTTCATATGTTTCTGTACTAGATCCCTCTTATACTCTTTAATCACATATTTTTTGCTTATTTTTGGCACCCCTTACCATTTTTTTTAAGGTAAATCTAATTTTAAAATAATTTTATTAAATAAATATACCGTATGTATCTTCAATTCCACTAGTTCCTTCACATTTAAATAAGCAAAGAATATGTTTGATAAGACAAATTAGAAGGCCTTGACAGATACTTCATAAATTTGTCACTATTTTTGAAAAAGGTCATCTTTTGACAGCTGAAGATGTTTTAAACAACTTGAGGACAGGGGTAGAAACATGCCTTTTAAGCCCAAGACTCGCTTAAATGTGGTACAGTACTTACTTGTGAGAGTATTTATTCCTGATAGTTTTGAGGTGCTCTTTTGGTGGCTGGCAGATCATGCTGTGGAGCATGTGAACCAGGTGGTACAGATCCTCTAGCTGGTATCCTGCAAAAAGTTATAAATATAAACAATCATTATCAGAAAATAAAGCTAGGCCATAAAACTAATTTTATTACATCTATGACAATTATGATCTCTACAAACTCTTCACATTTAATAAACTTGAGCCCCAAAATTAAGTGAAATAGCCAAACCAGGGTATGGATTATATATAAACCATTACTAACTCACCAGTACTTTGTGATAACCCAAAAGACTTACTCAGTAGAGAATGTTGCTGTTTTATTGTCAAAATATGACAGTAGAAAAGTAATCTTTTATCGTTAAATTCTAAGTCTTGTAATTCATTAATAAGATTGGTCATTGAGGAATTTCAAAATACAGACTGAGAATACTGTTTTCAAGGTAACAATGATTGTGAGGGAACATTGTGCAAAATTGAAGAGGAGTGTGTTTAGTGAGAACACAGTTCAAATGGACAACCGACTTAACATCCCCAAAACCCAAATTAAGTACAGTATAATACTTTGGAAACTAAACGCAAATGAATACTCCCTTAACCCTTAGGCCCCGGGTGACATTCCAGAACGTCCACCTATTTTCCCGCCATTTTTATTATTATTATTATTTTTTAATTATTTTTAGAAGTCGATTTTTTCCTCAACTTATCCCTGGTGGGGTTACTGCCAGCAGCACCCTAACCCAGGACTAATGGGTTAAAAATCTGAACTTTTATAAGACACTTGAAGAGAAAACCAAATGGAGATAATTTTGTATTAATATACATGACAATTCTCTACCACCCTGCATAAAGCAGATATAAGCCAAATTTTAATACATGTAGTGATATATTCACCTGAGTAATACTGTAGTGTGGGGGGCCAAGTGGAGTCTCCTCTTATAATTCTAGTCAGTAAAAGAGCAGCAGCAGCAAGGGCAGAATCTGATGAATCTATCAGTTCATAATCCATGAGACCCATCTCTAGGATGTAGCGAGTGAAGGTGAGGTCCTCCATGCTCACCTTGGAACACTGTGATGTAATGAAAATAGGCTATCAATTACTCTACATGAAGATTAGTCATTGTTCTTAACTTGCCTGATGTTCATACTACTGTATATTAGACTAAAAAAGTCACACGGAAGAATCAAGAGAGAATGTGTAGTCTAAATCAAATTACCAATCATCCAGAGGATCAGATAACAAAAATAATACATCACTAAAATTGACCCACCCTACTGCCTTTGTACATGACATAAGACTAACCTCTATACCACCTAGAACATATTGTCTATCTGTAAAAAGTATCCTGCTTCATTTCAGAAATATACCGACTGCACACGAGTTCAACATGCTACTGTACTGTACTGTATGTATTATGATTTATTTACTATGAATGTCTATTTTCTTTTACCAGTTCCAGTACATCCATAAACTGCACTCTATTACTTATACAAACTCTAAGCACAATAATTTCATTAAACTTAAAACTGGCTATAGTGTACTTAGTTAATTGTGACAAAGATCAGTCACAAGGACATACCCTGGCATATCTCCGGAGGAATCTATAGGAAAGTGGTACTCCCAAGTCAAAGCCAACAGTTTGAAGAATCTTTATCTCCATACAAATGAGTTCCTTCCTCTTGTAGGCATCATCACAGATATACAGGAAGTCGTCAACATAAGGCGGGGTTCTTTCCTGTGAAGTGTCAGTAATTGTATACAGTACAGTATATGTCATTCAAAGACATAAGTTGTACAGTAGCATCCAGATTTACTGCATGATTATACATTGTTATAGCATTATCTCCAAAATCAGATTCTGCACGGATCGCATTAACAGCAACTTACATCAAATTTACAAGCAATGAACAAAGCTGTAGATCCAATTAACTGCAAGGCATCACGCTTAATCACAACTTCTGCCAGGTACAGGTCCACTATCTTCACAGCAAGGTAGAGTGTCTCATGGTTTAGTTCAAATGATTCCTGAGGAAGAAAGTTTATTTTAGAAATTCTGACAATAACCAACAATAAATAACTGGTCATTTTAAAAAATTAACCACATACAGTATATACAGTATAGGCACTGAGTATAAAAAACACGAGAGAGGATTCCTCCTCTATAACCCTTCACCTTCTATAAACATTCCTTTGGTGTCATTTACACTTCAAAGAAATGTTTTTTCCACCTTATTTATGCAATGTATTGATCAACCCTACTTTATTTATATTCACTGAAGTAAAATGTAAGCAAAGCCTCACATATTGAGTGAAACAGTGAATCAAGATACTAGAAGCTTCAATTTGACTTTATTCCTTTTATTCACGAAGTTGATTTGTCAACAAGACTTTACTGTTATACTTCCAGCTTTGTCTCCATGTTATCTAATACTTAAATACTTTCAAAAACAATTCTCTGCTTGTGTTATTCCTCTGGCACACTTCTAGACCTCACCAAGACAGTCCAAATCCTAAGTGGTCTACCTCTTCCCCTTCTTCCCTCAGTGTAATACTCTATCACTTTCACCAACACGTGTTCTGCATATTCATACGACATCATTATAGAGTAATTTGATAAATATTGCTCCCTAGTACTACAATATACATTTGTCTACCACAAATAGTTTCTTGTTTCTGTTGATCAAACACCATGATCTCTGCTACATCATAAAACAAGAAGTCTAAAACAAATTTCATTAACTGGTCAACCTACCTGCACCTCAACCATCCAGTCAACCAAAATAGATCTCATGCTCCTGGATACATCTGGTTGTCGCTCAATGTACCTCCCAATTGTGAATTTACTCTGAAAAAGAATATTAGAATATTACAAAGGAAGTGTTAGGTGTCTGTGTTTGAAACATTTCCATCAAAAATAAGTTGGAAGGTGAAAGAAAAATACCATCTAAAAACAAAACACTTTACAGGGAAGAGAAAAATAATCTTAAAATACTTTATAAATTACTCATTAAACCCAAAACCAGAACATTCAAATTATTTCAAAACCTATAATCTCCACATTACAAAAATATCAATATGTAATTTTAATGATGGAGTTTATTTCCCTGTTCCTGAGATAGAATATACTGTAACTGCAAAAGTAAGGCTTAGAGCAGTGGTCCCCAACCAGTAGTTCACGGGTGGAACCACATTATGGAGCCCACAAAAGTTCACTAGAAAATGGTAAAATATTTGGGATTCTTTGTCAGTGAAAATAATGAAAATACTATGTAATAATTTAATACGACTTTAGTGAGAGGGAGAGATAGGAACTGCCCTTTGTCCCGAGTGTAATTGTTGAAGACCTAGGGTGATCAGGGGCAATACTACAAATACCAGATTCTGCATCTGATATAAGCAAATTTTAAAAAGAATACAGTATAGATAGAATAAAATATGAAAGGACTTAAAGTGTAGTTTGTAGAAAAATGTAAGGGCTGCCTAGTGTCAAGTTTATATGCAATAAACTTTAAAATGATACACTGGCTATGATAGACCAAAATAATTATCCCACAACACAGTGTATTACAGTATAGTATAGGCAGGAAGTGTGGCAAGTGATCCACCTGTGAAATAAAGAAACAAACAGTAAGACAAAAACTAAAAATGACCTATATGATTCGTACCTCCCTTTCTTTGTAGTAATTAAAAATATCATGAGCATAGTTGGACACAGCAAAAGGGTCATTTTCCATCTCCTTGTCATAGTCCTCCACTCCTTCTGGTAACTTAGGTTTGTCTTCCACCAACACCTTGGTTGGAGGTTTGGTTACAACAGGGCTGAGAATAATTAATAAGCTTTTGTAATTGCAGAAAATTTGAAATTAATTTTTATATATGTTTTATACTTCAGTGATTCACATTTGTTAATCAGTGATTGAAAATACACTTACAGTACAGGGTTAATCATTACCTTCTAATTATAGCAGTACTGTACTGTAAACTTCTTTCAAGGTTAGGTTTATAAAATAATGCTTTTAGTACAACCCCAAAGGAAACAAATTTCTTAGTGACGCCTAAAGGTATCAAGCTTCAATTCTGTTATATATTTTCCCAGTGAAAAAATAACAATAAAAAACATGCAACCACTTGCTCAAAATTTTACTGAAAAATAGAACTTGCCAATATGACACAACTTAGGGGTGGCTAAAAAGAGGAGACTCAGTCACACACACCTCATATATAAACCAAATTTATCATTTCAAACTTCAGTCATTTAGATAACTAATAAAATTGCCTAAATAATGTTGAAAAATCAGAGACTAATCCAATATATTTTGCAGAAACAGTCCTCTGGCAACCATCACATGAATTTATCACTAAAATGTGTCAGCCAATGGTCAGCTTTCATAGAGGGATTGATTATAATATCAATACTGTCTTGAACTAAATATTGTACCGTAGTTTCAATTATTAATTTTAATATGAAAAGTACAGTCAACCCTCACTTTACGCGGTCCCACATTCCGCATTTCCACGTTTACGCGGTACCCTGCCGGAACCCGGGATGCTCACATTCCGCGGTGCGTGTACCCCTTTACGCGGAGTGTCCGGCTCGACGCTATTTTTAGATTCGCCCCTCCCGCCTCCGCCTGGGGAAGCCGCGCGGTAAGGTTGCGCAGTGCATGTCTCTGTTGCGTTATCAGTGACATATGACGTATCGGACTGTGATTGGCCATGCATCCCTACCTCCCTCCGCTGCTAGTTGTAATTGGTTTAAAGTAATATGACGTGTCCACCCGGGATAGGGAGGGAGGGAGGAAAGACGACGCTTGACCTAGCCGCGGCAGTTTCATCCCTCCAGGCCACACCGTGTAATCGCGCATCCATTGTTCTGTAAAATGGCTTCCGCCGGACCACCGCCCCCAGAGAGAAACCTTTCCTTGCCTGGACCCAGCCGCCCTAAGCCCAAGAAGACACGACGTTCCTTAAGCTACGAGGTGAAGTACAAGATCATCCAAGAGTTAGAGAAAGGAACAAGACAGATTGATTTGGCGCGCCAGCATGGTGTGAACGAATCTACGATCCGGACGATAAAGAAGGATGTAGCCAAGATAAAGGAGCACATGAAGATCACAAAGTCTACAGGTGCTTCTATGATCAAGTATTTCCACAACCAGGTGCTTCTCAAGACGGAAAAATTACTTGTGAGCTACTTGGTGCGTCAGGCGCGACGGAACATGGCGGTGGACACGCGCTCTGTTAAGGAGTACGCACGTGAACTGTATGCTGCAGTATCACGAAAGATGGGAATTACAGAGCCCAAACCCTTTAATGCTTCCTCTGGGTGGTTACAGAGGTTTAAGATGAGGAACAAGATCACCAATATCAACATTGGTGGTGAAGAAGCTAGTGCTGACCGTGTTACAGCTAGGGAATTTCCTCCGTTTTTACGTGAGATTATGGAGGAAGGACAGTACACCGACGACCAGGTGTTTAACATGGACGAATCTGGTCTTTTTCGGAAAAAGCTACCTTCCAAGACCTCCGTTGTGAAGAATGCCAGCAAGTGTCGGGGCCGGAAGTTGTAGAAGGAGCGCATCACCGTCCTGTTTACCACCAATGCCTCCGGTACCTGTAAGCTCAAGTTATCGGTGATCCACACAGCACGCAAGCCGCACGCCTACAAGAGCAAGGACATGACCAAGCTAAATGTCCACTGGCTGACCGCACGTAAGGCGTGGATGTTCTCTACACTGTCCCTCTCCTGGTTTGATGACTGTTTCGTTCCCGATGTAAAGAAATTCTGTGAGCAACAATGTGCCATTCAAGATTTTGTTGCTGCTGGACAACGCACCAGGACACTCGCCCCTACTGTTAGATCGTCACCCCAACGTAAAAGTGGTCTTCCTTCCTCCCAACACTTCATCTATATTACAGCCCATGGACCAAGAGTTAATCTGTAATGTAAAAGCTGCATTCTCTACGAAAAAATTCAAGCTCCTGAATGACTACACCAACACCAGGGAAGAGTTGCGTAACCCGAGTGACACCAACACCGATAGCAAGAGCGAAGACGACGAGGATCAACAGTTGGCAGAGCAAAAAATACTTTTCAAACAATTCTGGAGAATATTTAACATCAAGAAAGCTGTGGACTTCTTGGTGGAGGCATGGGATCAGCTGTCTGTAGCAACTGTTCTTCATGCATGGAGACATGTGTTGCAAGACATTCTGGCCGTTAGGCAGAGTCAATCTGTGACTGGTGAGGTTCAGACTGTTGCAGTAGCAGTGGACCTTGCCAGAGAAGCTGCGCAGAGTGTTACAGCTGCAGGCTTCTCCGAGACCACCAACGACGACATCCTGGAGGTGATAAGGGATCCTGATGTGACTACCGACGAGATGGTCGATGATGATGACGTCAGTGAAGAGGCAGGTGGTGCGTCATCCCAAGAAGAACACCGCTTATCCCATAGTAATGTTAGGGGTGCCATCGAGTGTATCGAAAAAGTCAAGCTCCTCCTTTCCGACGACCCTGACGCAAACAGGTATGAAATCTTCACTACCCAGCTGTTGCAGACTATGGAGCCCTACATCAAGGTTTATCACGACAACATAAACACCAGTCGTCAGCAAAGCATAACAGAGTTCTTCGCCCGCAACCCACCACAGCCAGCCCAAGCCAGTGATAGTGACAGAGGTAGACACAGTGAAGATGACTGAGGGATTTGTCAGGGAGGCCCTGACAAGTGTGGATGACAGTGATGGTGACTCACCTGAGGGCCAGTAGCCTGCCCTCTGCCTCGGAACCAGCCTCTATCCCCGTATGCCGACCCATTTCTTCTACTAACGTAAGTGTTCAACCTAACCTTTAGTTTTCGTAACCTAACCTTTATTTTTCCTAACTTAACCTTTACTTTTCCTAACCTAACCTCTTCTATATTAATTGTGTGTTCATACCATCATAAAGTTAAGATAAAAATTTTACTACAACATAGTTGTGTGTCGTCAAAAAGTGGAGTTTGGGGGTCGGCCCGGTCTCTATTTCAATTAATCCCATATGTTATGTTGTTCACTTTACGCGTTTCTCACTTTCCGAGGTACCCTGTGGGTTATATTAGCCGCGTAAAGTGAGTGTTGACTGTACAGTATAGTCTGGATTTACGCGGTGCCTTGCCAGAATGAAATGTTTTAATTAAGTGGTAAATTTCATCATTTACGCGGCGAGCGGCTGGAGAGGTCCAGACGAACCTCGCCATTTTTTACTCACGCAGTCCATTCTTGACCATACGCGGGAAGCAGCGCGGTGAGGGATGCGCATTAGGTCGCTCTTACGTTATCGCTGACGTCATTTGACGTATCGGACTGTGATTGGGCCACGCATCCTTACCACCCACGCATTCCCTCCTCCGCTAGCTGTGATTGGTCTAATGTAGCATGATTTCTAGTGATATTCCATAATAGTGTTGCCAGTATCTACCAAATGTTTAGAAAAATGCAATTTAACAAATATGATCTTGCTATCCATTAATACTGGCACAGCACAGTACATGTACCACACAATACTTTTCCATGATGCAGCCAGCCTAGCAAAAAGGTGGTAACATGACTGAATATTTAGGTGCTGGTACAGTACAGTATTGCCTAAAACAAAACCAATAGTTGGATGTACTTTTGTATAGTCTATAAATATTATTTGTGTTAGCATAGCTTCACATGCACAAGTTGTATCCTAAATGAAAGAAATAATTGGGGCTTAAACCGCAGTCTTTACGCTGCTATGATGACAAGAGCCTACAAAGAGATGCGAGCATTGATGTAAAATCTGGTTGTATAGTACAGTATACATAAATACCAGTAACCCATATATACCATTTGTATGTTAAGAAAAATAATGTCCAAAATGTTTGATTAATATTGACTTTAACAGCTATTTAGCATATAAATTATGCATGTCACAAAAAGTGTAATTGGCCACATAATACAGTATGAGATATCAGTGATGTCACCTTTGTGGGTGAGCTATTCTCTGCACTTCTCTTGTATCTAGTGGGGATCAAAGATCCTGTCAGTGGTGCCTCATGATGGTCTTTAGTGTAAAGTCTGTTAAGAAGGATGCAAGCAAGAACTCTGCCAGCTTGTTCTCCCTTGTTCTTATAGATGTCAAGGCTTTGCATGTCCTATGAAAGTCTACCACATACTCACCTCTCAAACAAACATCCCTCACTCATTACTTCCACCTTGACTATGATTATGTACAGTATATTAATAGTACTAACATTTAGTTACAAATATATCATTATTTTCATTACTATTAACCTTGTTCTGAATTACAAATCATCTACACTGCAATAAAAGAACATTTAATAAATGTAGTTTGGGTGGTACAGTATCTACAATTTCCTTTAATATGATTTTTCTCCAGGAGAGTTAGATCAAACAGAGACTGGTATTCACTATCTCGGTTGAGGAACTGCCTGAATATTCACAACAAAGAAAAATATGAACTTACATAGTTTATTTTGCAAGCAGTCTCTAGTTCACAAGCTGCAGGTTACATCCAACCACCAAAACAAGCAGATGTCATAAGCTTCATGCAACATTCAGCCACCACAGACATAAGACACTCTAACTTCCCATATCAGTCAAGCACCACAAACATGCATTACTGGTCATGAAATTCATCCAACATTCATGAACTGTTACAGAAATGATTCCAGTTTCAAATGATATTAAGTAATCATATAGGAAGGTTACATGCTAAAGACAACATCCAACTGATGTAAAAGAAAGGGTAAAGAACGCCCAAGAACCCGCGAAGTAGAAGCACATGCAGAGGTCACAGGTCAGACCACACCCAAGTACTGTACTGGATAAGTGTGAGCCAAATGTTTTAGCAATATTTCAGCACCATGACTAGGACATTCTTCTCATGCCCAAGGAAACAATACAGTACTGTACTTGCAAAACAGAGCAAAGAAGTAAACAATAGGGAATTGTCAAAATTCAGCAACTGTTAAAGTACAGATCCCAGAATTTAGATAACATACAAGCTACAGCTAAGTTTAAAAAGAGTACTATGTTAAAAGTATAAAGCAAGTGTAACTCCATTATAAAAAAGTTGACAACTTTAGTACCGTATATACTCGTGTATAGTTCGAGTTTTTAAGACCAAATTTTTAGGCAAAAAATTGGGGGTCGTCCTATACATGCGTAATAGTTTTGTTAGGTTGAACCCGTGCATGATGGGAAGGGCGAGGAGCAACTTTTAGCTGCAGACATAAAAAATATTTACCATTTACTGCCAGTAAACAATGGAAACGTAAAATATGTACCAATTAGTAATGAAAAGTTGTGCAGTTCCTCCAGCGAATGAAGCTCACCAACTTACAATAGGTTAAATTACCTTACAACGTGCTTTCAGTAGTCTATGTTGAAGTTCTTAGCACAGGCTAACTTATCATATCATATATGGTATCACAGTTCTCATTGATCTACAAAAAATACCGGCAATAAAAACCTTTTCGATATTTCACACTTAATATAATACCCGGTAATCTACTTCAACCTCCTATTGTTTACAACGACGCATGACGCACCACCAGCTGTTGAGTGTAACAGCTAGACGGTACACGTGTTTTTCGAATCGTTTTCAGTTAAAAAAACTGTTACATCACATGTATATTTTACCTTAACTGTGCCTGAATGAATATATTCTCGGAAATAAATAGTAGTTTTGCTGAAACGTGATGTATTTTAATGTAAAATAGGATAAAATACATGAAAACAAAAGACTTTACCTAACCTTCCAATGTTCAAGAGAAGTTTTAATAGTTTTGGTTAAAATATTGTTATATTACAATGGTATTCTATTCATACTGTGCTTGATATAATGCATTCACGGAAATGTAATATTTTTGCTGAAATGACGTATGTTTTACAGTGGAAAGTGGGATAAAATCGTGACGAAAACAATGACTCCCTTTCTTTCGTTCAAAAGATGTTACCGTAATCGCTTTTTGAGTGGTTTTCAGTTAAAAAACTGTTGTATTACAATAATATTCTATCCTAATTGACTTGAATAAATACTACGATACCATATTTCGGAATATTTTCATTAAAATCCATCAAAATCATTTTCCTTGTCATCGTCTGCAGCACCAAACAGCTCCTCCCAGTCCTCTCCTTGAACAGGGCTAGAGGGTACGTGTTTTTCGAATCGTTTTCAGTTAAAAACTATTACATCACACGTATATTTTACCTAAACTGCGCCTGAATGAATATATTCTCGGAAATAAATAGTAGTTTTGCTGAAACGTGATGTGTTTCAATGTAAAATAGGATAAAATACATGACGAAAACAAAACACTTTACCAAAGCTTCCGATGTTCTTGAGATGTTACTCGTTTTTTAATAGTTTTCGGTTAAAATTCTGTTATATTACAATGATATTCTATTCATACTGTGCTTGATATAATGCATTCACGGAAATGTAATATTTTAGCTGAAATTACGTACGTATTACAGTGGAAAGTGGGATAAAATCGTGACGAAAACAAGGACTTTCGCTTTCTTGCGTTCAAAAGATGTTACCGTAATCGCTTTTTGAATTGTTTAGTTAAAAAACTGTTGTATTACAATAATATTCCCTAATTGACTTGAATAAATACTTGAATGGAAATATACAATATTTTTTTTTAAACTACCCGCGTTTCAGTGTAAAGTGTCGTAATAATAAATGGTAAACAATTTGCCTTCGGCACTCGGTGTTTCAGGCACGGCGAGCCTCAGTTTATAGGACGTAGAGCGTTTTTAGTGAAGGTTTTGTTGTTCCATTACCCTAAAAAACGTGGGTCGACCTATAAACGAGGAATATCATAAATTAACGATTTCTTGGTCAAAAAATCAGGGTCGACCTATAAACAAGGGGGGGTTATAGACGAGTATATACGGTATTTCTCAGTTTAAAAGGCATTAGTTGACAGAAACCTGTTAATGATAGAGATAAATGAAGAGTAAATATTTTGACCTTTCCCTTTGTGAAAAGCGAGCAGTTTAGAAACTTACACGCTACTACAGCCTATGTCAGTAGATTGAAGAGAAGCTTTGGATACGCTGTACCTTCCTTCAGAAGCTGTTACATATGCAGCAGAGTCATCTAGATCTGTCTTGTTGGATTCTTGGGAACTGGGAAGAGAATCGCAGAATGACAACTCCTTTGCTTGGTCTACCTTGATGACTGGACCAGGTTCTTTTGTTGTAACCTTCAAGGATAATGTCTGGACTGGGTTTTTAGTGGGTGGCTTGACCACCTTGCGCAGAGACTTTGTAGATCCATTTCGCACCACCCTTCCTTTCTGTGTCGCAACCTTCTTGCCATCAATTATTTTCTTTTCAATTGCCTGTAGTTAGAGTATGATTAAACAATTATAATCAAAATGCCCTTTACAGGGAGCAGCAGATGTAAAATAATTACCAAAATACTTTTATTCTTTACCGACTCTCCCTTTATCCTACTACGTACTGGTTTGTCAGTTGCATATTCCACACTATTCTTCAAAACATTGCCAGGTACAGTATTATTTTCTCACTGTTATCCTATCCTTTCCCAACACTTGTAGCTTCCCTACTATCCCCCCCCCCCCCGAATACTGTACTGTACTCAATGAGGTACACTAATTCTAATTGTTTTCTTACACTCATAAATCTTAGATTATGAAAATGGCAACAGCTTCAAAAATCCAACTTGTGATTGTAATATTTTTCCTACTCATGCTTCTTATACAGTACAGGTATCATTAGTGTGACAGCTGAGCCAACATATAGAATTCCTTTACAAATATAATCTTTGTTTTGCTCATAAATGTTAAAACACCTTTAGATATGTAGAATGATTCATGTATCACAGTACAGGTACTTTATTGTGAATTTGGGTAATGTGAACACGATAGTGAATGCATGTCCGAGTTAGATCTAAACACAGTACATAACACCAAGAGCTTCAAAACAGGAAGAACACCAACATTGCTTCAATTTAAAAGAATATCATATTTTTTTTATGGTTGAGCCTAGGTGTATTTATACAATACAGTACAGTAATACTACACGATATAAGCTTTAAATACTTTCCCCAGAAATATAAGTACAGTACCAATTCTGGTGTATAGTACTGTACAGGCACAGCATTTCCCATGCAGTCATAAAATACCACTTAATCATACAACACTTATCAATATTGTAATATTTTACTTACATTTGTAAGATCTCCAAATGCTGATCGTTTCTTGGTAGCCTTCTCATCATCAGGGGCAGCCTCAGCCTTGCGTTTCAGCCCCAACATTCTGTTTGTAGTGCTACGAAGAAATTTTGATGAATTGTTCTTTCCTGGCACTGGTGGAAGGTTGGAGTTTTCATTCTGAATCTTCAAGCCTGTTCCATTTTTGTTGGCCAGGGATCGAGTTACCAAATCTCGGGTGCTTGGGCGTGAGGCCATCTTACAGCCTACAGGAAAAACACATGCTAAGTGTACTGTACAACACTATTTCTTAAGAATTCTCATTTTTTATTTTTCTTGTAACGTTTTAGGAAAGTATGTAGATCAAGGACACCCAATTGAGCCTCTTTTTACCCTTTCAATACGGGAAAGCCGCTTTTAATATTTTATTTGGCTCATACCAGACGATTTTATTCAGCTCAAGAGGGAACCCCATACAAAAGGGGTTAATAGACTATCTCCATTAACTGTTTCACTATGGGGACAAATCTTTTAACCCCTTTACTCAGAGGAGCCAGTTTGATGACCACACACACTATCTGTGTGTGTATGAGGGAGGATGGATGGTGTGTGAATGCATGCTCCCATAACTGCTGTCACCTCCCTCCCTCACACACAAACACCAAGTGGTCAGTCTCTTATCAAACAAGTAAACAGACCAGACTGGCCACTCAAGAGAAAGAGATAAGAAAACAGATAAATACAATAAGCTCAATACTGACCCCCAACACAAGAGAAAAATATATATACATGTATACCGTACTGTACAGTACTATATGGGACTATGCCTAGTGAGATATTGAAGTGCCTTAGAATAAGACTTGTGTCATATCATAGCAATTTCTACCTCCCAGCTTTTCCTACTGCCATGGAGATTAAAGAAATTATCAGGTGTGTCCTGATGTGATGCTTAGTGCAAGAGGATGTGCCAGGTAAGTATAGTACCTCTAAGTCAAGGGGTTAATAATTTATTTGGCTAACACCAGACGATTTCATTCAGCTCAGAGGGAACCCCATAAACAAAGGTGTTAATGATCTTGCAATAATTTTTCAACAATTTGGTTAGGATATTCAATTCATCTTTTGTTATTAATTGCTTAGCCCATGGTACTGTACTGTACACCTAAGACTTACTTCCTAACCCAAATATGTTATGAGAAATACAGCATATGAAATTTTTAAAGAAAAAAATTTTCCTGAGAAAGTCATTGACTCAACAAATGTCAAAATGTTTAGTAGATTGAGTAAAGTATGGAGCAAATACTGTGGTTCAATTAAAACGCAACAAATTTTATTTAACTTTTATGAGTCCCTGACTTACAAACGTCCAATTTACGAACGCCCACCAATATGAACAGGGTTAAACTTGAAATTGACAGTATTTTATTTACCCGAGGACTTATTATTTACTTTAATTAATGTATTTTGTCATTCAATTTCTTCTTTTCTCTTATATTAAGTGATTTTAGATGTATATAAGGACTTAGGCTATGATATAGTCGGATTTTAAACACTGTTCAATAGGAACATTAGGCACATAACATAATAATAATAATAATTAACGGTTTATTGAAAAAGTTCTGCAGCCCGAAGGCTGAAAATATACATTGGACATAAATGACTTATTACATACATTGGTGGTTTAACAAAAGCCTTCATTAGAGAAAGGTAAAGGAACATACAGTGAACATTCAGATTAATGTAGGTGTTGAACAGCAAACACGTAGTGTAGTAACTCCCTCCCAGATGGTGTTAGGAGGGACCTCACGTGGTGTAGTAGTTCCCTCACAGATGGTGTTATGAGGGGCCTCACGTGGTGTAGTAATTCCCTCACAGATGGTGTTAGGAGGGGCCTCACGTGGTGTAGTAATTCCCTCACAGATGATGTTATGCGGGGCCTCACGTGGTGTAGTAATTCCCTCACAGATGGTGTTATGAGGGACCTGACATGGTGTAGTAATTCCCTCACAGATGGTGTTATGAGGGGCCTCACGTGGTGTAGTAACTCCTTCACATATGGTGTTATGAGGGACCTGACATGGTGTAGTAATTCCCTCACAGATGGTGTTATGAGGGACCTGACGTGGTGTAGTAATTCCCTCACAGATGGTGTTATGAGGGGCCTCACGTGGTGTAGTAATTCCCTCACAGATGGTGTTATGCGGGGCCTCACGTGGTGTAGTAACTCCTTCACATATGGTGTTATGCGGGGCCTCACGTGGTGCAGTAATTCCCTCACAGATGGTGTTATATGAGTGAGGTGTGGTCCCAGGCCTTCCTATCGTAGACGGATTAACACATCGCTGGTTGTTGGGTCTCACGGGCCGTTATCACTGGGTACCTGGGACCTCACTGTGTGAAGGTTAACTTAGGTGCGACTGTTACTGTTGAGTTGTTCTCACTGACTTAAGCACTGTTCACCACTGTTCACCTCTATTTAACACTGGTTCCATTCCTTTCCTAAATGAAATAGTAACTTCTGGCGAGAACTTGTTGATATTCCGGTGGGGAGGAGGGTTCAGGGGAGGGGGTTGGTATGGGCCAACTTAACAGTTGACCTGGCTGCTCCGAGAGGAGCGCCAGGTACGTCTTGACCCTTCGGTGGTCAAGGATGTAGTGTAACATAACATGTGTTCCGACTTACGTACATTTCCGACTTAATAATGTCCTCAGGAACAGAAGCCGTTCGTAACTTGGGGACCCCCTGTACAGTACAATACAGTGCAAAACTACACATCACAATGAATTACTAAATTGTTAGAATCAAATGTACATGCACGCACACCTACCTCTTAATATAAATACTGTAACATGAATAACGGATCAATGGCACAACACATAAATAAGATTAAATTTCCAATACATGGGCATGGTGCTTCCCATACATCACATGTAATTTTGTATGTCAATATTTTGCAGCTAGCAGTGTGATATAATGGTTAATACTGGTGTATGGCCTGGGATTCAGAGCATCTACAAATCAGCTTAAGGATACTTGAATGATATCTACAAATAGCTACAGTCAGGGTAGTATGGTAGTGAAGGAAACACTACTGAGAGATGGAGCTTTATTATGTTTCATCACAAGACGAATTGTAGTCTTGTGGCGAAACATCAGGAATAAAGCTCCATCTCTTCATGGTGTTTCCTTCACACTGTTGGTAAGTACAGTACTTGACATGTACTGGCTCCAGAATGTATCTGTACCTGCATCAGTGTTGGACAATTCTGGTCTTGAGTGAGCTCACACTTGGTGCTGTTACATTTTCTGGCAGATTTTTCGAAGAGTTTACAATTCTCACTCAGAAAAGTTTGCCCTGACAATTTTCAGAACTTGTGGCTTCATCAACCTTGAGCCGAGATCCCTAGTGGGGCAGGCGGTATGAATACTCAACTGAGTAATACCCTCTGAGATGATATCGCATTAAATAACATAAGAATACCCCGAAGACAAAGAATACTAACACTGGTATTTATTCATGCTCTAAAAATAACCATGTAATAGATTAGCATGCAAGCCAACTGTTTTACAAATTAAATGATTTTCAGAAATGTAGGATTTTAGAGAATCAGTTTGTACATAAAAATTTAATTTTTTTAGCTTGAGTGAGGACATGTTCAAACTGGATCCTGTGATGAGAGCCTTGGTGGTCAGGTTTCGTCTGGATAATGTGCTACCTGATTTGATCAGAGGTGACCGCCATGGCGAAGGTTCAGGAGGGGATGTGGGTGATGCAACATCATGTGTATTGTATATAAGGAGCTTGTGTATTGATGAATCAATACAAGAAGCCAAAACACTGAGGACAGACATGCAAGACAATTGGGACCAAGTAAAGGTGGCGAGGCTTTAGCCTCCAACATCCATACCTCCTGAGAAGCTAAACATCTTTGCCCTGAAGAGTGTCTTCACCTCTTCAGGGATAGAAGGGGTAACCAAGGTTGTCCGCAGGCTTGAGTATTGGCCCCATGGTTACTTTTGGTGACTGGGGACAAGCAGGACAACCAAAAGACTTTAAAGTCATCAATGACGTCCCCATTCAAGTGGATGTTAATTTTGATGACAACTTGGTGTGGAGAGTTATCTCCCATGCTGAGATAGAACAAATGGAGAATATAGAACTAGAGGAGTTTGGAAATATTAGAGTTGAACAAAAATTAACAAGACCAGACAGGGAATCTACCTCCACCATGGTCAAATTCTTTCATAAACTCCCTGACAAGATTACACTGGGATGGGACAACGTCCAAGTGAAACCCTACACTCCACGATTGACCAGATGCTACAAGTGTCAGTGGTTTGGTCACCCAGTCAAAAAGTGCAGGGCCCCATAGGACGTGTGCTCCATGTGTGTATCTTCTTGACACCAACATAATAACTGCAAGACTGAGGGAAAAAAATGTGCAACATGTGGCGGTCCTCACTCATCCTCTGACAGGGAGTGTCTCAAATGGAGGTAAAGTGTAGGATTGCCAAGGTGAAGCACATCAAGAGGCTAACCTACAGAGATTTGCTCCTCCAAGTGAGTAATTCAAGCAAGAATGAAGAACACCCAGAACCAGAAAACTGTGAACAAGAACAAGATCAAGTGCAAGATGAAGGAAGATGGAAGATACAGAAAAAACAAAAAAAACAAAATGAAAAATTTACAAGACTATGGCCATTATAACCATAGCTGTTGATGGTCAGAAAATCAAGATGCATGTGCCAGTCCTTATCTGAAACTCCATTGAGAAGTTTGGAATAAACATTTTTGCCTGCCATTGTGGGTTCCTTCTCATAATTAATGCATAATCAATAACAGAAACATGGCATTTTTATTAAGTTTTGATTCACAATGATTCCACAACGGTCACTTTCTGACCTAATAGTCACCTGAGGTTGACTTTGACCGTCACAGTGAGTTCATGTATACTAATATCAAACATACCACTCACAAAATGGTATTATGTAAGGTTACATAAGGTAGTTCTCCAACTCAGGATCTAAGGCTCCTCTATGCTGGACTCCACAGTCCTGTGCGGGTCTGTGGTGCCATCAAGTATATCTGCTTTGTAGTCGTCATATAGTATTGCAGGTTCCTCCCATGACTTATCTAATCTATTCTTAAAAGTATTTATGGCTGGTGATGTAACAAATTCCTCGGAGAAGCTGTTCAGATTTACTGCCCTTAGTGCCAAAGATGCTTTTCTTTTTGTTGTCTTTGCTTCTTTTAGGCAAAGTTTCAGACTGTGTCCTCTTCGGCCTGTACGCTCTACAGTCTCTCTCTCCAAAGCTGAACCTCATTGCAAAGATCATCATAATATCCATGCATCATTTTATAAATTTTGATCATATCATCTCTTAACAGCCTGTAGTATTATCTCATTTGTTGCCACCAACTGAATCTTGAGAATTTTATCTTTGCAATGCAATAGTTTCGACAATTCTAAGAACACTTTTCTTGTATGACGTTTCCTTCGCAGATGACCAATAATATGCTGGAGGTACAGGGGTAGGTTAGGTTAGGTCATCTGTGAGAGAAATGTCATAGAAGTGCCTGAGAATTGTTGAAAATATTGATTGCAAAGATAAAATTCCCAAGATTCAGTTGGTGGTAACAAATGCAATTTCACCAGCAAAACCAAGGTGGTGGAAATGTGAGAAAAGGTCTAGTGGTCGCTGCCATGGCAGTAAGACGACAAACTTTGTTTTTTACTCTACGTTGTTTAAGATATTTAATAATATGTTGTTGTGGTATTATTTTACTTTAGGACATAGTGCGCCCCAAAGTTATAAGCTACTGAAACATTTAGATCTCCCTATTCTGAGCATTCTGAACCCCATATATACCAGGCAGAAATGGATAATAGCGACACAATTTAATTCAATTCATTTTACGTAGTTTTCAGTCTTTGAGGAGATTTATCGACGCCTGCACAATAGACTGACATCATCCAGTCGTGACCAATGATGTACTGATATCATCACGCAATTTTTTTTTGACCTATCACATTTGATTATTCAAAGGAAGCAGCCTGGGTAATTTCATTGACCAGTCTCACAATGGCCGTGGTGGAGGTTGGTTGTCATTTGTGCTCCTACGATTATTTTAAGTTTAATGCTAAGTTTTATGAGAAAGACGATCATTCTATCCAATTCTTACGTATCTCTGGTCCTTCCACTTCTAACTAAGGTATTGTACTTTCGGACATGGTGCGCCCCAAAGTTTTTAACTACCGAAACATTTAGGGGTCAAGTCAGGTTTTTTTTACTACTGAAACAGCTAGGGGTTAGGTTAGATGACTCGTTTTCTCCCCCACCCAGAAACCTCAATTTCCCAGGCTCTCACCCCATTATTGTTGGCGGGGGAGGTGTGCAAAAAAGATCAATTTCCGCCAAAGATGAAGGTCAGATTCGTAATAATTTACCGTTGTTTTTACCCATAATGCCATGATACAGTGTGTTGTGAACTGGAAGTCATGTTCAGTATTAATAACCAACCGCCATACACGGCATTGGGTTTTATTACTTGTTAATGATATTTAAGGAAAATTTCTAAAATTTCAAAACAAAATTCGTGACTTTCTTCTGTTACTCTTTTTTTTACCTTTGACTATATTTCCGTTCACCCAAAATCATAGCCTCCCCCCCCCTCACACTATCCCCAGTCCACCCCTGTACTGACATGGTCTCTGTACACCCTATACCTGCATTGTCTACACTCATGCTCAACTCTATACCTGCATAGTTTATAAACATGCATATCCAACTGTAAACCTGTAGGACTATGTTACTGAATAATTATTAGTAGAAGTACAACAGCTGGTGGCATAATCACTAAAGATCACAAGTAATTAAAAACGCATAATTAGGATCTAAGTAGTTGCGATTAGTCACATTTGGAATAAACCTTAAAATAACGTTAAAAATCATAAAGTAAATCCACCGAATTATAGTTATTAATGAACTATCAATGACCAGAGATTCAAAACCACACCTTTACCTAACACTAAATCGACCATTAACCTCCATATTTACACCCCCCCCCCCTCCCCATTATTATTTCTAGGATATATCAAACATAAATGAGTATACGAGTGAAATGTTCTAATATATGACCATGAGCCAGAGCCCAGCTGCCTCACCCACGGTAAACAAATACCCCCAGAGTTAGCTCGGTCACACACGTCTAACTTTAACTATTTTTTACAGAACAGATAAACATTTATGTGTTATCTATGAGTTAAAAGTAATACACTATACCTTATACGTTTGGCCACCCTTGTCAAGTCCTAGTGTAATGCTTCACGATTGATATTTTTGGTAAATATTAAAAACCTCCAGATTACTCTTCTTCAAATTTGGTGACGCTGGTACAATGTAGAAGCTCATTGGTCGAGCGCTGTTGCCGTCGACCAATGAGAACGCGCGGTTGCCATGATGCCTTCCACTTTCAAAAATGCGGAGTGAGAAGTTCTCTTTTATATTAAGGATATTTAATGGTTTTTGCTAGTAATATTAACTTATATTCATAAATGATAGTTTCAGTTTAATTGAATGATAAAAATATATATTTAGTAACAAATAATAACTACATTGCAATAGTTAAATGATCAACATCGTGACAATGGACATTTAAATATGAATACAAGTCCGTTTATTAAATGCCACAAGTGACGGTTGCAAGATAACTCAAGATCATTAATAAAGAATTAATCTGTTGACACTATTACACCTCACGTTTCTATAATAGTCACAACTTATGTTCTCCTTAAACAGTTGGAAACATAAAAATTATTCTCCTGTCATTAAGCGTAGTAAAAAGACTATTGCAAAATATGAACAATATTGCACTTGTTAAATGCGCCAATTTACTTGCAATAATATAAATAAAATAAGATAATTGGGTATTATATATGCGTAAATTTACTTGCAATAATAGAAATCATCAAATTATTAAAAGTTTTTAATATAATTGGGTATTATATAACAATCATGCTCCTTTTAATCGAGATTGTGTCCATCTTCCGGTTGAACCTTTAGAGCAATATGAACCGAGCACACGAGCCGATTAGTGGCGGGAATTAACACAAAATGTAACCACTAATTTGTTTTCTTGTTTTTAGAGTTAACCATTTCTCTACATCGAATTATATTTTTGTAGATTAAATGTTACTGATTAGTTCCCCCAAAAGGGACCCCAAGAAAGGTAATTAAGCTTATAATAATGTAATGACTTTCCTGAGCTTTCCTTAGTAAAAGCCTTGAGCTGCTTACCTACAGTATGTGTCAGCTTTTACTTTTTACTTTTAATCACTGATCTGCTCGTTAGTCGGTTGGGCGATCGGTCACATCTCTGTTACGTACCTTTGGCAAGTACTGGGCATGTATCTGAACCTGCTCCAGTGTTGGTCCAGTCTTGAAACAGCTCACACTCGGGGGTCAAAGGAAAATCTGTTAAGATTAACGCATGTCGTACCATAAGTAAAGAAGCATACTACGTGTCCGAACGGGACGAAGAAGCAGCATTAACGGAGACCAAATGTGAAAAGGACCTGGGTGTGATATTGACAACGAACTAAAGTTTCCGGACCATTGTGAAAAGGTGAATCAAGTGAATAAGCTAGTGGGTCTTAAGAACATAAGAATGGAGGAAACTGCAGCGGGACCATTGGCCCATACTGGGCAGTCCCATTTACACCCAACCCCCTTCTAAGAAGGTCGTTCAGATATAATCAGATACCTATAGACCTACCCTCGTAACACTATTCACACAGGTGGTAGACAAAGAAGAACATAAGAACATAAGAAAATAAGGAGTCTGCAATAGGCCGGTTGGCTTGTGCATAGCAGCTCCTGTCGAGAGTTACTACCACTCTCTATCATCCATGAATCTATCTAGCCTCCTTTTAAAACTTTCCAGCGTTCCAACACTTACTACAAAGTTGCTAAGTTTGTTCCACTCGTCCACCACCCTATTTGTGAACCAGTTCCTTCCTATCTCCCTCCTAAATCTAAACTTATCCAACTTAAATCCGTTGCTCCGAGTCCTATCCTGCTCGGATATTATAAGAACCTTATCTATATCCCCTTTATTGATTCCTTTCACCCACCTAAATACTTCAATCACATCTCCCCGCACTCTTCGTCTTTCTAGGGAATACAAGTTTAGTTTTTTTAATCTATCCTGATATGGAAGGTTTCTAAGTCCCGGAATCATTTTCTCCATTCTTCGCTGCACCGACTCTAGTGAATTGATATCCATTCTATAATAAGTGCACCAGAACTGAACAGTATAATCGAGGTGCGGCCTGACTAGCGCAAGATATAGTTGCAATAAGACCTCTGCACTCTTATTTCTTACACTTCTAGATATAAAACCCAATACTCTGCCTTATTTCGAACATTAACGCACTGTTTTCTAGGCCGTAGGTCCGGGCTTACAAGTACCCCTAAGTCTCTTTCACAAGTCGACTTCTCTAGGTTGCTGTTGTTAAGGCTGTGTACATTGACAGTATTTGTTCTTCCAATATTAAGTACGCTGCACTTGCTGGTGTTGAATTTCATTTGCCATTTTCTGGCCACTCCTGCAGTTTATTTAAATCCTCCTATAGTGCATTTGCATCCTGCCCTGAATTAATCTGCCGCCCTATTTTGGTGTCACCCTACGAATTTTAACCTATTTTAATGTAACTTTACTTTTCAATGATGACTAAAGGTGACGAGAAGTTCAGTTTATTGAGACGCAACGGTACAGCCTCTCCCAAGGAAGTTATCAGGCAGCTCTGGCGTCCTAGGCTCTGTCGTCGTCATAGTCCAGTCCACTGTAAGCTCAATAGTTATCCTCCTTGATCATCCTCGCATTGCTCCGCCCCCAAGGTCACGTGGAACGGTTGTGATTGGTCGACTCGTGTTTATCTTGCCTTAACAGAAAATGAACCAAAAGAATTGAGACCTCAGCGTGGTACAATAATACATAATATTAATTCTTTAATTATCCACGAAATCCTGTCCTGCTTTAAAGCTCGAAGAGAGTTTAAAATACTTACACTGTACTGTACAATAGAAAAGAATGGACAAGCATAATTATAATTACTTGTACTTTTATCCTCTTCACCATTGATTGGCTCGTTAGCCGCTTGGGCGATCGGCCTCGTCTCTGTTACGCACTATTGGCAAGTACTGGGCATGTACCGGCTCTTGAATGTACCTGAACCTACTCCAGTGTTGGTCAAGTCTGGTACTGAAAGAGCTCGCACTCGGTGCCGTCACAACACTCTCTGGTAGACTGTTCCAAGAGTTCACAACCCTCACTCCGAAAAAGTTTGCCCTCACAGTTTTCTGGACTTGCAGCTTCTTCAATCTTGAGCTGTGACCCCTTGTGGGGCGAGCGTCCGCCAGCTCCAAGTAAGGACACTCGACTGAGTAGTGCCCCTTGAGATGCTTATACACCTCAATTATGTCTCCCCTTGCCCGTCTGTCGTATAGGCTAGGCAAGTTCAGGCGCTCCAATCTCTCAGGGTAGCTGAGGTGCCGAAGTGCAGGCACCAGTCTGGTGGCCCTCCTTTTGACATTTTCAACCAACTGACAGTCCCTAGCATAACTCCGGGGACCAGACAGGGTGACAGCACTCCAGATGGGGAAGCACTTTGCTCTTGAAGAACAGTTACGAGAAACGGCCGTCTAGATATCTGAACGACCTTCTTATAAAATCCAATAATTTATTACCTTCTCGCAATGGCCCGAGAACTTCAGCTCATTGTCAACATGCACACCTAGGTCCTTCTCACATTCAGTTTCAAATAGTGCAGTTTCTTCATCCCGTTGGGACATATGATACGCCTCCTTACCGTTGGTACGCTCCAGGTGCATCCTCTTACACTTTGTGACATTGAATCTCAGCAGCCATTTATTCGACCATTCTTGGAGCTCACAGAGTTTCTTCTGCAGCTCTTCACAGTCTGCTTGGTTCTTGATTTCCCGAAATAACTTGGCGTCATCGGCAAACATTTGTATGGAGGAGTGTACAACGTCAGGCATGTCATTTATGAAACAAACAAACAACAGCAGGCCAATACACTGCCCGTAGTACCCCGCTTGTGACAGGTGCGGATGATGATTTTGTGCCATTAATCACCACACACACTGCTTGCGGTCATGTAGAAAGTCTTCTATCAACGCTAGGACATTTCCCCGGATTCCGTCACTTCCAGTTTGATTTTCAGCCTTTCGTGGGGTACACTGTCGAAAGCCTTGGCAAAATCAAAGTAAATTTGTGGATATTACCATCCCGTTCCAGAATATGGGTCCAAATATCCAATACCTCGAGCAATTGTGTTAAACAGGAGCGCTCCGGCATAAAACCGTGGTGGCAATCCTTTACAAGATTGTTTCGTAGTAGATGTTCCATCGCGGCATCTCTGATAATACTCTCAAGTACTTTACATAATATGCTGGTCAGACTCAACGGTCTATAGTTGTTCGTGGAGTGACGATCGCCTTTCTTGAAGATAGGACTCACATAAGCTACTTTCCATTCAATGGGGACCTTTTGTTCATCCAGGCATTTACAAAACAGGATCTTCAGGGGCTCTGCAAGCTCGTTGCACAACTCTCTTATCACTCTAGGATGTACCATTGTAGTGGATTCCTCCCCTACAAACGCCGTTTGTCGCTGACTAGCCGATCCTCGAATTCCCCAGTGTATGCCTCGTGGTCTAGGTCAACCAGCGCCGCCTTACATGACTGAGGTCAACTATTAAGCCACGCCTACCTCCGCTATATAAGACCTCACCTCGTGGTGACCGCTCTCTCTTTCTACCCACAGCCACCAGCAAGCAACACAACCTCCTCCTCCGCTCCTGCCTGGCGGCTCCCGCTCCAGCCGGCGACCATGGCGACCAACCAGCTCTCTCTACTCAACGCTTGTAACCATGCTGCCTTCCCAGCACCAAGCTGCATTGTACATCCAATACAATATGTATACAGAGAGCACATTGTGGGTTTCCTTTCTCCATCCCATCCTGAGTGTGAACCTCTATCTCGAAACCCCACACCATATCAGGGCCGGGACTCTTATGGACCTTTAGCTTTGACAGTTTAATTCTAATACCCTCTTCTGTGAACACAATGAAGGTCAGTGCTGTGTCGAACCGAAAGTCTCAGTTTGGCTCCTATATAATGAAGGGAAAAGTACAGTACAGTGTAAGATGGTGTATTTCAAGGCCTTAAAGAGTTAAGTGTTTGTGTTTCCTGTCTAAGAAATGTTATGATTGAATGTACGGCGACATGTGACTGACACGAAAATAATTAAACAGAAAAGGTCATGAGGAATGAGTTATACCATTTGAGTCGAAGCCGATGTAGAATGACTGACAGTTTATTTATTAAGGGCGGCAGATTAATTCAGGGCAGGATGCAAATGCACTACAGGAGGATTTAAATAAACTGCAGGAGTGGTCTGTAAAATGGCAAATGAAATTCAACACCAGCAAGTGCAGTGTACATAATATTGGAAGAACAAATACTGTCAATGTATACAGCCTTAACAACATCAACCTAGAGAAGTCGACTTGTGAAAGAGACTTAGAGGTACTTGTAAGCCCGGAACTGCGGCCTAGAAAACAGTGCGTTAATGTTCGAAATAAGGCAAACAAAGTATTAGGTTTTATATCTAGAAGTATAAGTAATAAGAGTGCGGAGGTCTTATTGCAACTATATCTTGTGCTAGTCAGGCCGCACCTCGATTATACTGTTCAGTTCTGGTGCTCTTATTATAGAATGGATATCAATTCACTGGAGTCGGTGCAGCGAGGGATGGCGAAAATGATTCCGGGACTTAGAAACCTTCCATATCAAGATAGATTAAAGAAACTAAACTTGCATTTCCTAGAAAGACGAAGAGTGCGGGGAGATGTGATAGAAGTATTTAAGTGGGTGAAAGGAATCAATAAAGGAGATATAGATAAAGTTCTTATAATATCCGAGCAGGATAGGACTCGTGGCAACGGATTTAAGTTGGATAAGTTTAGGTTTAGTAAGGAGATAGGAAGGAACTGGTTCACAAATGGGGTGGTAGAAGAGTGGAACAAGCTTAGCAACTTTGTAGTAAGTGTTGGAACGCTGGAAAGTCTTAAAATGAGGCTAGATAGATTCATGGATGATAGAGAGTGGTAGTAACTCTCGATAGGAGCTGCAATGCACAGGCCAACCGGGCTATTGCAGACTCCTTATTTTCTTATGTTCTTATGACCCTCACACTTTTTTGTGCACGGTACCAGTAGCAGATTGATTCTATTTACGCTGTCAGGTTATTGGGGAGTGGTCCACTGAAGTTAACCTGAGAAATATCATGCTACCAGTTTATGATGTGACCTCCAACTGTCAGATTGTCTCAGGTAAAGCATGCTGATTACCAGTTCTTGTCTAGCATAGATACCTACAGTCGCACGGGAAAGGTTCGTAAATAAGTCATACCCATCAATATTAAAGAATATATGAATAACAGTATTTCAGTTCAGGATAATATGTGAACAACAATGAAAGTTTGATTGCTCGATTCTGCAGTTAGGCTTTTGTTATGTCTTGGACTATCGGGGCTTGGTTGTGTGATGCAACTCCTCGATCTTCAGGTGAACTTCGGAGATTTACACATCCCTGGCAGGTTTGATAGAAAATACCTAAACAGACCAACGGCAGTTTCACAGTCCCCAAAAAACTATCTCTCGAAAATTAAATAATTGGAAGACCTTGCCTAGCTTATACTACAGACGGGCAAGGGAAGACCTAACTGAGGTGTATAAGCATCTCAAAGGGGTCACAGCTCAAGGTTGAAGAAGCCGCAAGCCCAGAAAACTATGAGGGGTAACTTTTCCGGAGTGAATTCCTGGAACAATTTGCCAGAGAGTGTTGTGACAGCACCCAGTGTGAACTCTTTCAAGACCAGACTTGACCAACACTGGAGTCAGAACTTACCAACAGTGCGTAACAGAGACGTGATCGATCGCCCAAGCGGCTAACGAGCCTATCGGTGGTGAAGAGGATAAAACAAGCATGATATTTCATAGAGTACAAGGAGTACTATGCATTACAGTACCACTGACAGTTCCAGTACGTTAGAGTAAAATTACTATATCGGCAGAACATTGCTGTGTACAGATAAGGGGGATAGATCACTATCCTCTAACTACCGCCCAATCAGTCTAACATCAATAGTAGGCAAATTACTGGAAACAATCATTTCAAACTCTATTCGAAATCACCTGGAGAAGCACGGATTGATCAATGATTCCCAGCATGGCTTCACAAGCGGACGTTCTTGCCTAACTAATCTATTAACATTCTTTTCATCAGTTTTCGAATAGGTGGACGAGGGGCACAATTATGATGTGGTATATCTCGGCTTTAGCAAAGCCTTCGACAGAGTCCCCCACGAAAGACTAATTCGAAAGGTAGAAGCTCATGGCATCAAAGGTGACATCCTTAAATGGATTAGGGCGTGGTTACAGGACAGGAAACAGAGAGTGAGCATTAACAGCACTAAGTCCCATTGGAGCAACGTCACAAGTGGAGTTCCCCAAGGCTCAGTACTTGGACCATTATTATTTATTATATACATAAACGACATAGATATCGGCATTGACAGCAACATAAGTAAATTTGCTGATGACGCTAAAATAGGACGTGTTATCAAATCTGACGAGGACTCGGCAAAACTACAGGAAGATCTAAACAAATTTTTCGAATGGTCTGAAAAATGGCAGATGAAATTCAACGTCGACAAATGTAAAGTACTTAGTATAGGAGATGTAAACAGGGAAACCAGATACCAGATGAACAACGATGCCATAGAGAAATCCGACTGCGAGAGAGATTTAGGAGTAATGATAAGTAGGAACCTTAAGCCAAGTAAACAATGTGTTTTTGCTCGTAACAAGGCTAATAAAGTACTTGGGTTCATACAAAGGAGTGTTAGTTACAAGACTAGCGAGGTCATCCTAAAACTGTATCTTGCTCTTGTGAGACCACACCTGGATTACGCAGTTCAGTTCTGGTCACCGTATTACAGAATGGATATAGTAGAATCCTTGGAAAGAATTCAGAGGAGAATGACAAGACTAATCCCGGGCATTAGGAACCTTGAGTATAGAGACAGGTTAAAGCATCTTAATTTGCACTCCCTTGAGAGACGTAGAGCGAGGGGCGACCTGATAGAGGTGTATAAGTGGAAGGCAGGGCTAAACAAAGGGGACATTACAACGGTACTCAAACTATCCAACCAGGAGCGAACTCGTAACAATGGTTTTAAACTAGACAAATTTAGATTTAGGCGTGAAATAGGTAAACACTGGTTTGGAAACAGAGTAGTGGATGAATGGAACAAGTTACCAAATATCATCATTAACTCGAATACGCTGAATTGCTTCAAACATAGGTTGGATGCTCATATGAGCAATAGGGGTTGGGTGTAAACGGGACTGCCCAGTATGGGCCAATAGGCCCGCTGCAGTTTCCTCCATTCTTATGTTCTTATGTTATGTTCTTAACTACAGCGTTACATATTTTCTTATGAAACTAAACGTGTGTACAAAATTTTATAAGCAATTCTTGTAACTTGCCTATGGTGCAGATGGATAGTGTTCAATTAAAGGTTCTTTATAGAATTGGGTACTCCCCAATGGCAATAGATCTAACATAAGACCCCGCGGTGAAATACAACTTTGGCGAGTCAGAAACAATGAGGTAATAATCCCCTGCGTGATGGGTAGCACAACACATTTATCAGGTACAGTGGTTATTGACGTCACGTGGTGTCTGATAGTAGAGACAAGAGATAGCAGTATTAAAGCGTGGTAACTATTGGGCAATTGGTAATACACCGTTTGCTTTGTTCTCGGTAATTATTTTTCAAATTCTCCATCGTTTTTAGCGAAATAAAAGGGAATTTCCAATCTTAACGTTTCCATGGTTCCTCAAACTCCTCTCTGCATTTCTAATTGAAAGTTGTTAGATATGATGTTTACAATATACTGTAGAACATGAGAGCATAGGATGTGAGCATAGTGTAAAATAAAAGCTATAACTGCATTGTGTTGGCCTTCAAATGTGCTTCCTATTTATTGCAGTTGCATTGTCTGTTGCATGTTTGTTTCATACTATATATATTATTAGGATCATAGTAATTTTTATCACTAAATTTGTAAATATATATAGATAGTAATATAATTATATATTTACCATAATCTAATCTTTCGAAAGATGTATTGCTTTTAGTCACTGTAAAGACTATAGTTATTTAATGCTACAAAAACAATAAATTCGTAAAGTAAATATTTTTTACATTAATCATATAATTTTTAACTGAAATATTTATTACTGATAGTAAAATATAAGAAATGATAAATGATTACGGGTAGTTTTAAAATATTAGACCCTCATTCAATGTTTTGACAGAACAGCCTTGCCAAGCTACAAGGGAAACGCTTTCAGTAGAAATTTGTATATTATTGAACGTATATTGTAAGGTGAGACACTCTTTTGTCTTGTTTATCCCGTTTTTACATTTGGCACGAAGTATCTGAAAGGTTCTTGTTATCTCTTGGTAACTGTGGAGATAGTCAAGACATGAGGAACTGATTTGTTGTTCAGCTTATCTAACTTCCTGTGTGAACAAATACTGTATGATATTATCGTGTTATATTTTATTACTGCCGGTCTCTCTAACTACCCAGAATATTGTAATAGGTTAAGATTATTCCAATTGTTTGATGTTTGGTGAAGATCTGAAGGTTGGGATGATAGACAAGGTTGTGGGTCTGGAGAGGAGCTGAGGTGTCTGTGTCATGGATCTGTTAGTCTCGTGTGAGGAAGTGGCCTTATCACCATGATTTCGACTCCAACAGAGAAATAAGCATCTCGCAATTAATCTGATTGGTTTATTCACAACAAAATGCTTGTTGCACTCTGGCATATGTAAAGTGCATGCTGTTTATAATGTTGGACACAGATCTATGGTATCCTGTGCCACACCAGAAGTAGGTTGAGCAGTTTTGGTAAAGATTCGTTTTATGCCCAACAGGAATTCAATTTTGTAAATGTAGTGGATATTTTGCCGTGTCCGGCTAAGTTCTAACGAACGCTATTTTATTGTGAGTGATTGGCTAAGTACTTTCTGTTTAATATGACGAGGGGTCCGCCCTCCACCTAGGAAGGTAGGTAAGGTTAGGTAGGTTTCTTTGGTTGGTGAGGTCAGGTTCTATTAGGCTTTAAGAACATAAGAAAATAAGGAGTCTGCAATAGGCTGGTTGGCCTGTGCATAGCAGCTCCTGTCGAGAGTTACTACCACTCTATCATCCATGAATCTATCTAGCCTCCTTTTAAAACTTTCCAGCGTTCCAACACTTACTACAAAGTTGCTAAGCTTGTTCCACTCGTCCACCACCCCATTTGTGATCCAGTTCCTTCCTATCTCCCTCCTAAACCTAAACTTATCCAACTTAAATCCATTGCTACGAGTCCTTTCCTGCTCGGATATTATAAGAACTTTATCTACATCTCCTCTATTGATTCCTTTCACCCACTTAAATACTTCTATCACATCTCCCCGCACTCTTCGTCTTTCTAGGGAATGCAAGTTTAGTTTCTTTAATCTATCTTGATATGGAAGGTTTCTAAGTAAATGTCGCCTCTCTTATAATATGAACATCTGTGGAAAAAATGAACATTATTGAACAACTCCTTCTGGTGGTAGTGGTGTTCTCAGACTTTACTATATTTTTAACCTTTATACAAATTAGATAAGGTTTTCAAAGGTTTGTTTGGTGTTCTTTTTTGTCTTTTACCCAACATTTCCCCTCTACTGCCCTCTTACAACAACCAATACTGTTGGTAATTGGGGAGGTCTTTTTGGTTAAAATACTCGTAAAATATAAATTCGTGCCGGAAACATAATAGACTATTTATTTATTTTTTTTGCTTTCTCCCTACATAAATAGAAATATGAAATTCCATGTTTGACCTAAAACGAATCTTTAACTCTATTTTTGTTAGTAGTTCCCTGCTTGTTCATCAGTAATGGACGATCAGCCATTCGGAGCTCACTCTGGTAAAATAGCTTTAGTAGGAACTTAGCTAGTTATGGCAAAATATCCACTGCCTTTTCTAAAACATTTGTGATTGTCTTTCATTGTGAATTGAATGAATATGACCTTTATTATTGGTGCTAATCATACTAGTGAGGTACAACCATGATTTACATAAAATGGACAGGGCTTTGAAGTTGACGGTGAAGTGGGGTTAAAATAAAATGTGGGTATAGGTATGGCAGCCTTACGCCAAAAATTGCACTGGATGTAGGTATGGCAGTCATATTGATGGTCTGTGTTGTTAACAGTTAGGTTAGGCGAGGCTAGTCAGAAAGAAGACCATCATGGTAACTTATCATTGTGTAGTCTGCCCACCACTCTTGCACATTGAGCTGACGTACCAATAGACTTTGACGTTTGGCATACGGCTGCCATACCTATATCCTGTGTAAAAACTAAATAAAGATGATGAACTAATATAGAACCTAACTTTTCCGGTAAAATTTTAGTTTTGGTCATCCTGTATTTAGATATCCAAACTAACCATATCTAACCAACCAAACCTAACCTAATCTAATGTAACCTAACTGATTCCCTGTATTACTGAAACTAAAATAATACCATTTTTCCTATAAAAAACTTCCCATATTTAACTGATGGCAAAGGAGTAAGTGATTCTCTTCTTGGTTTTTTTTTGAGAGTTTTTGATGTTTTGGTCACAAGGGAGCCATAACATGAATGAACTCTCCTAAATAGATAATGCGAAGGTCACATGAAACGTATTTGAATATACAGTTACAGTACTATCCTACAAAAATTGGTTTAGCACATTTAAAGTGTCAGTATTGTTGTCTTGGTCGTGTCCAAATCATATCTACTAAATGCAAACACGATTCGCAGTGTACGAAACCCAGTTTACAGAATCATTGTATGCGCGTCCATCGGATATGTAAGGTAAGAGTTTTGTTGAAATGGGTTATAATATTGGTTAGGTTAGGTTGTGATCTCAAAGACTCGTATTTTATTTTATTTTTAACCCTACAGTTTCCTCATCTTCAAAGTCCTGCCCACTTTGGAATGATGCATTGTAATAGTGTAACAGGGTTCATATCTCCATAAATAAGTATTTGATAATTCACGATGTCTTCTGGTATTGTACCTAACCCACAAATTATCCTAACACAGTGCATATATGTGAAAGGGTCCACCAAATTTCTTCTTCATGACAAAAAGTTATAATTCCACCAAATTTTTTTTTATATTCGAAAGGTTAGAAATAGTTTTCCATAGAATTTTCCTACAGTGGTTCATTAGTATTCATAATCACACCTATTGTTGTAAACTACTGTATTACAGTTTGGTTGGTGGGAAGTGTTTGTCAAGAGTTGAAGCTCAGAGATGGTGCCATAACAAGAACACAAATTATTAAAATTCTAATTCTTCTGCCTATTTTGGGAAATTGAGGTAAAAAAAATATACATACAGTACAGTACAGTATATTTTTAAGAATTTTTTTTAAAGTTGCTGGTTAATGCAGGACCATTCCCAAGTATTAATTGTATCTCTCTCTCTCTCTCTCTTTATATGCAATAGTCACTTAATTCAGAAATCAAATGGTAGTACTTTAGGATATTTGTGCAGGTGAACTACCTATGGTATTTTTCAATAGTTTTCTAATGAAGGCAACTTATCACATATTTGCAAATAATGGCAAGGGATGGCATTTTTTTGCCAGGAGTTCTTATTATGAATATTGTAATGGTCTTCCATCCACCATCTCTGGGCAACATAACTTCTGGCTTTTGATCTGTTGACAAACACTTACCAACAACTGAATATACTAAGCTTTCCAGCAACCTCTCCATACCCAACCTAACATAAAATAAAATACTTCCATCCTAGGATAAGAAAGTTAGGCTGGTTTAAGGAAAGTAAAAATTTTTCTCTCGAGAAATAACCTTAGATTATCGGGTTAGGTTTGTTTGGTTTGTGTTTCATAGTGTTATAACTGAATGGTTTAGTGCCATCCTGATCCAACTTTTCCTGACATGACAATGGTTCAATATTTACCATTATAGGATATGTTACTATCCAGTACTCACCCAGTAGGCTCACATTCTTTGTCTTTTTTGTCCCTTCAGTTTTGTTTTCCGGGCATTTAACATATCAATAGATTCTCTCAAAAAATAAAGTGGCACACCTTTTTTTTGGTTCTATACTGAATTATGGTGTAGTGGAGGTTTTAAATATTTGGCTGTACTTTTTCAATTACAGTGTACTGGGTAGATGCTCCTCTATAATGTGTTCAGTATTTAGTAGAGTAAATTTGGACTTATGAATGAGCTGCAGGAACATGACTCACTTGTTAATAGACAAGCACCTGTAATAATTAAAGTTGTGCAGTCTATCTATTTATATGTCAGGCTGAGTTGATTTAGTTGTACTTTAATGCAGCTTACTGTGTTAACAAGTGTATTTTCAATTTTATGACTCAACAGGTACTCAAAAAATAGGCTCCTGGTGGAAAGGACGCAATGGGAGACTGCAGTGACCTTGACCGGCAGATTGAACAGTTGCGGCGGTGTGAGGTCATCAAAGAAGCAGAGGTTAAAGCTCTCTGTGCTAAGGCAAGAGAAATACTAGTAGAGGAAAGCAACGTACAAAGAGTTGACTCGCCCGTCACAGTAAGTACAGTACATACAGTGCAAAGTTTTCACTTGTCATTATTTTACACATTGTTGATAGTTTCTGAATGTCACTGAGTTTCTAATTTGTTAAATTTTGTCATTAACTGCAAATACTTGAATGTTTCAGGTATGTGGAGATATTCATGGGCAGTTTTATGACCTGAAAGAATTGTTTAAGGTCGGAGGAGATGTACCAGACACTAACTATCTCTTTATGGGAGATTTTGTTGACAGAGGTTTCTATAGTGTAGAGACTTTTCTGCTTCTTTTAGCATTAAAGGTAAGGAAAGGAGGTGATTTTTTTTTTTTCATTCATGTACAGTGCTGTAATTTCACATTTACTGAGTCTTCTCAAGTTCATCTAATTACTGTATAGAAGTTCAGACTCTTCTATTTGTTTCATATACTTTGTTGACTCTATGTTTCTATCTTAAATGTTTATTATCTTCATTAGCCATGATGAAAGTGGCTCCTGAAATTTCTTCAGACATTTTTAGCTCACCTAATTAGATTATATTATTTATTCTGCATGGTAAATGAGATTTTCAGCAAGGGATTGGAGGTTTAAACTCTATACTGTAGCTGTATAATAAGCCTGTTTAATATAGGTTGAAGAGAGGATACTGGAAAACAAATTGTCTCACGTATCAAATTATATGGGGGTTATAACCACACATTACTTGGATTTCAGTTTGCTTTAAAGGGTTACTGTATATGATATGATTACATAATTTTTGCTCTTTGTGTGGAGCAATTTTATGTTTTGGTATCTACTAAACCTTCTAAGTAAGATGGAGTCCTCAGGGGTAATGTGATCCACAACTTCCCCTAGAATGAAATCAGTCCTGGAGGTATACATAGTACTGTAGTTATCTATGTATAGTACTTGTTGGATTAGGTGACACCAGTGTATGTATATTTTGATTCATTGTTGGGACTAAAATATACATGTTTAAATGATCATTAAATTCTCCAAGTACATTAAGTTGTTCTCCACAATGACAGTCTGAGACATTATCTTTAAGTAGTTAATGAAACACTGTGTTATTTATTGTTTTCAAGTACAATACAGTAAAACCCCCATAATTCTTATTCCCCTTATTTGAAATCACTCATAATTCGTAATGTTTTGCTGTTACAAAATATATGTTACAAATTTTGTAATACATGTACAGTTTGGTAAAATTTGGAATTATGAGAGACATTTACGAATATGTATGACGCACAAGTCGTCATGGGATACGACAGCCAGCCTCAGTGTAAACAAGTACTGTACAGTAAGTCCTCTCCTAACATCATCCCGCTTAACGTTGTTTCGGTACTGTCACTAAACTTTAAAAGAGACCAAAAATTCCTTTAACGTCCCAGTGATCGGATACTACATCGTTTTGCGCCGTCAGGGACTACTTTCTACTGCGCATCACCCGCTCTTGTCTGGCTGCTCTACGCTGTCTTGGCTTGGCGCTCTGCCCTCACTCGCGGAATGTCACAGCCTCCCCAAGCGATGCCAAGCTAGTCTTTGTTTCTACTTCACATCATTCGTGTATGCTTTAGTGCTTTTGCTCTAAAACTGTACTCTAACCATTCGAAATGGCTTCCAAGCACCCATCAAGTGCTACTGATGCTAGTGTAGTGAAGAGGCAACGTAAGACCATTACCCTGGCTACGAAAATGGATGTATTAGCCTGTTTTGAAAAAGGGGAACGTGCTGTGGACGAAGCCGCTGTGCTTGGTCTAACTCCCACAACGGTGTGTACTATCCGGACCAACTCTGACAAGATCAAGATTAGTGCTGGAAGTGGTTCTTCTTTGAGTGCAACTTAGACAACTCGTACTAGAAGCACTGATAGAAAAGGTGGAAAAGATGCTGGCAATGTGGATGGACGACCAGAATAAACGCAATGCCTTTGTGAGTCTTATGGTTATCCAGCATATGGCCAGATCCTTGTTTGACGACTTGAAGGCAGACGAGGGTGAAGGATCGAAGGAAGAGACCTTTACGCCCAGCCAAGGATGGTTTCAACAATTTAAGCGTCGTTATAGCTTCCATAATATTAAGATGACTGGTGAAGCTACCAGTTCAGTTACGGTTGCTGCCGAGATATTCCCGCCAGAATTCAAATGGATTATCCAGGAAGTCTTCAATGTGGATGAGACTGGTTTCTTTTGGAGGAGGATGCCTGAGAGGACCTATATCTTCAAGGAGGAGAAAAGTGCGCCAGGTTTTAAAGCGGCAAAAGACCGCTTGACGCTACTGCTTGGCGCGAACGCTGCCGGTGACTTCAAGCTGAAGCCTATGCTGATTTCTCGCCCTGCTAACCCACGGGTCCTGAAAGGTTACTCTAAGGATCACCTTCCTGTGATCTACAAGGCAAACAAAAAGGCATGGATAACCGGCGCCATATTTAGCCAGGGGTTAAACGTGTACACCATCCCTGCACTGAAGGAATACTGTGCCAAGGAGAACCTTGACTTCAAAGTTCTTCTGATCGTTGACAATGCTCCAGCTCATCCTCCCAATCTCAGCAACTTGCATGACAGTGTAAAAGTTGTATTCCTGCCTCCCAACACGACAGCACTGATGCAGCCTATGGACCAAGGCATCATCGCCGCATTCAAGGCGTATTATTTATGCCGTACCATGGCCCAGCTGCTCAAGGCTACAGACAGATATAATAAAACTACGATTTGAGAATATTGACGCGGCTTCAACATTCTTCATGCAATTGACAACATTGGCAAGGCATGGGAAGAGGTTTCAGAAAGTTGCCTGAATGGTGTGTGGCGCAAACTGAGGCCCAAGTGCGTCAACAGTTTTACGGGACTCACGGGCTGAGTCCCAGCAGTGAATAGGGATATCCCCAGCTTGGCTAGACAGGCAGGCTTTGATGAGCTGGAATCAGAGGATATTGAGGATGTCCTGGCATCCCATACAGAAGAGCTCACCAACGAGGATTTGCAACAACTAACAGAACACAGTTCCGTTGAAGACGAAGACGATGAAGAACCACCTCAACGAAAGCTAACTACCAAGAGGATGGCAGAAGCGTTCAACATGATCCAGTAAGGAATGCAAATCCTTGCAGATGATGACCCAAACAGAGAACGTAGATCAAATATTCAATGCAGCATTGATGGCAATCTTGGTTGTTAAACGGAGATGTATAAGGAGAAGAAGAGTAGCACCAAGCAGTAAACACTGGATTCATTTTTTTCGTCGTGGGACGGCAGAAGCACCAGGAGCTTCTTCACAACAGCTGGCAGCCGGGGAGGAGCAAACAACAACGGAAGAGGAGCAAGCAGTGGCGGAGGAACCCCAGTCAGCGCAGGAGGAGGAGGCGGCAGCCGCAGAGTCTCAGTGACTCGCCTCCCTCCTCCACTGCACTTCCCACCAGACACACGCTCTACCACTTCCGCCCATCGGTGAGTACCAATACAAACTGAGTAGTTGTATATGTATGCACTATTTTCTATAGAAATGGCAATGATTTTCTGTATATGTAATGTATTTCATGGGGCAAACGGAGGCTGGAGAACGTAACTCCCATATTTTATCCATTTCTTATGGAAAAAATTGATCCGCTTAACGTTGTTTCGTATAACGTTGCGTTTTCAGGAACATAACCCCGACGTTAAGCGAGGACTTACTGTATATGTGGGTCAGTCATGGAGGGGAGAGCATGTCTATGGTCTACCTCGCAAGCTTTTCCACTTGTTTTTCCATCGTTGCCCAGTGTTTGAGTCGTTATGTCTAATAACCTTAAATTTGGTACTGTACTTAGAAACATTTAAATTTTGATTGGGGCAGACAACGGAGAAGTACAGTATCGTTGTTTTGTTTGTTTTCCCTCAGGCTTTGGTGTCCCTCATAATTTGTAAGAGCTAGAGCCTCTATTATTTTGAGTTATGGGGTTTACTACTTGTACAATGAAATGTTCATTTATGTATTTTGTCCTTTATATCTACTCTTCCATTCTGAAGACTGGATATAAATCCCTGGTGCCTTTACTTGAGTACTGTACAGCATTCAAAACAAGGTCCTCCCTTTAATGCTCACCACCTGAATATGTCCAGTGGCCACCAAAATTTTTGTGTTAAAAGAGTCTAATTTGCCTCTTTTAAGTGCACCTTATTTTTAGTTCTTGAGGTGGACTCCTTAGGACTATGAATCTGTTTGTTGTACTGTACAGTTGTACTAACAGTATAGCATGAATGGATTGAAGAGCCACATCTCAAAATTTGGCTGATGAATTTTTCTGAAATTTTAGGGATAAATTCCTTTAGTACTGTACAAAAAGTATGCATTTGAAGGTGTCAGGGACTGAATCATTTAAAATTTTTATCATATTTTGACATTTGTATCATAAGAGAAATTGGCAGAAATTATATTGGTTGTAATTTTTAAAACTTTGTGACGATTTTTTCTGAAATCCATAGTTATCAAAAATATATGCTTGTGAAGATTAATGGTTGAGATTATTTTACTTTATGTATCTAGTGGCTCCCATTACTAGTACAGTACAGTAGAAAAATACATTAGGGGAACGAAGACTGTGATAGATTCACTCATTGTTCCTGATAGTGTTGCCCAGGGCTCTTTTGAAGGCCATTAGTCTTCTGACTGCCATGGCTTCTGCTGGGAGTTTGTTCCAGAGATGTTAGTGTGTTTCTCTCATTCAGAATTTTTAATGTTTGTTCTATTGTGTCATTGTTGAGAATTTTTGATAATTTTTTATATTTTTTCAGACACATCTGGAAAGTTTGTTTGTGAAAATGTTAGGGGTTACTACCACCAATGGTGCTTATAGTTAATTTGTGGAGGAAGTGATTAATTGCTCTTTTATTTTAATAATTTTAGTTACTGTATTTCATGGCATATAACATGCACTTTTAATTAATTAACCCAGTAAGTGTCCACCGATTCTGGTAAAAGGCCCCTCCCCCCCCCCCAACACACACACACCAAAAAAATCACGTGAATGGTGTATTTTGTTGTCAAAAGACTGAAAATTTGCATTGTTTTGCACTCTAGGCATTTAAACCTCCCACTATGCATCAATGTACAGTACAGTATGTGCTCTCATCTCAGGGAATTTCCCAAGGCCTCTTAGGCAAGTGTGCCAAATATGAATGTAAAATGATTTTTCTGTATTTTGCATTCATAAATATTTTATTTCTTTCCTCATTACTCAGACTCATGGAAAACTATGTAATAAATAAAAATTATAAGGTTTTACAAAATTATTTTGCCATGATGAATGACATGTTACAGCAACAATGGGCCTCAGCTGTCTGGCTACTCTTGACTGAACATAGACACTGCTATATTTTTTCTTTCAATAAATTGATTTATGTAAACACTTGATAAAAAGAGAGCATGATAATGGTAATACCTCTAGCCCCTACACGCCACCACTCTACCTCACGTCACCAAAACAATACAGTACCATGTTCTTTTTAAGTTAGATAAGAAAGAAATGTTGCAATGCAAAGACACTTGAATAAATGTTGTTAGGATCTCTTAAGCTATGTAATGTGGCATTTTAGAGAGACTGTCAAGGTGACAGTGAACAGGGAGGAATAAATATGAGATAGGCAGGGAGGTCAGGCACAGGTCACTCGTAGGCTGGGTGAGAGGGGATTGACAGGCTGTGGTGTGGTAGGCCTACACTCAGCTGTCCCTCTCACACTCACACCTCCAATCCCCACCCAGGCACTTAGGACAGTTGTCATTACAGTAGACCCTTTTTCACACAATCTCATGTCACTGAAACAATACAATTTTCTTTGTGAGATATGAAATAAATATGTAGTGTGTGTGTGTGTGTGTGTTAAAGAGACAGTGAACGAGGGAGGGGTAAATATGGGATAAGGTGGGGAGCCCCTTCCTCCCATCATAAAGGGAATAAACTTTCTTTGTATGTTAAGAGGGGGGCGAGTGAGGAATTTTATTCGTTCTGAGCTGTCTCCTGTGTGTAGTGAAACTGTTGACAATATTTTTTGTCCAGCAACCAAATGGCAATATACATTATTTAAAGAAAACAATGGCTACAGGAGGAAAACACACACACTTTTTTTTTTTTTTTAAATACTATATTCCGGACCATAAATACGGTACTGTACGTACTGTACTTGATTTTATTTTAGTTTATTTATTTATTTATTTATTTTCATTATAGTGGCACTCATAGAACTTACGTGAGCCTTTAATTCTTTTATGGGTTTTCATGATTTTTTTCATGACTTTCAAACCCCATTGAACCTTCAGCCTTTCCCTTCAGTATCCTTTATTACACTTATCAGCAACCTCCAGCTCTCTCTAAGCCTTTTGTACCACCTGTCATTCCAGCCATAATCTCTTGATACTGTAATAACAACTTAATGCATTGTGAACTTTGTTCTGCCAACTAACATTTTTTATCATTTTAGGTACGATATCCTGACAGAATAACATTGATCAGAGGTAATCACGAATCGAGACAGATCACTCAAGTTTACGGCTTTTATGATGAATGTCTAAGAAAATATGGTTCTATCACAGTTTGGCGGTATTGCACAGAAATTTTTGATTACCTCTCCTTATCAGCTATTATTGACGGAAAGGTGAGTACTCAAAGCAAAGTGTGCAGACTAGACTAAGTGTGAGATTCTTTCAGCATTTCTGTATTTTAATGGCAAGTCTCTGCTTCTGGTTCTATATCTCCAACCTTTTTATTGTCAAGTTGTCTCTTAGACTGGATGTGTTAAGAATGGAGTAATGGTTGACTGGTAGGTAGACAAGTACTGTAGGTGTTGTGCATCCAGGTTATATACTGTGTACATCAGGATACATTGGAGAGCTTAATGATCAACATGATGTATGAAAGAGCTTGGTGAAGAGTATGATGTTATACTACATGCAGGATGTAGAGCCCCATGTTGGCCATGTATTAGATGCCACTTTTTGTAGTACTGTATGTGTACACTTGACTTGCAGCAAAGGTGAATGTGTTATGTCAGAGAAGTTTAAACATTTTAATATTAAAGGATTTGACCTACAGGCATGGGATTACCGTTTTGCTTTCGTATACAGTATTGTCATTTTTTAAGTGTGAGAAGGCATCATGAACTTAAGTTATGTGTAAGATGTAAAGGTAAAATACTTTGAAGGACACTAAAAAATGTAAGATTTTTAGAGTATTATCACTTGCCTATTTATAGTTCATCATCTCATGCTTCTCATTGAGGAGCTTCTAATGGGTTTTGTCTGAAATGTGAAGAAATTGCCCTTGTTTATTGTGAGATCTAATTTTTTTTTATTTTATTACTAGCCATTTTGAACCTTGGCACCATTGCTGTTTGGTGTATGTTACCAGCCACACTACAGAATCATCCATACAAACCTGGAATCCTGTCACAGAATAGGTTAAATAGGCTAGGTGCATCACTTCTCCCTTCAGTGTCTAACTGTTAATGGAATTGAGAACATGTAAAAATTATATTAAAAGGTGTTTACTTAATTTCCACTGTACTTCCCCATGCAGTTTTACTGTATTAACAAGAATTCACACATGAATATCCTTTTATGTACAAGATTTATGGTGTTAAAAAATGTTTTGTAGGGACAATTGGGTTTTAATGTCAGAATCTGGTAAACTATACTATAGCACATATTGATAAGTTACATTTTTTTACCTCTGTATTTTTGTTCTCATGGATGGCATATTTATTTAGTTATTTTTATATTCAACAGATATTTTGTGTACATGGTGGTTTATCCCCGAGTATCCAAACCCTAGACCAAATTCGTACCATTGATCGAAAACAAGAAGTACCCCACGACGGACCTATGTGTGATCTGTTATGGTCTGATCCTGAAGGTAAAGTTAATGATAGGATTAGTGTTGTTGTTTTCCTTTACCATTTTTGTTTTAAGTTGTACAGTACAGTACTAGTATACTCATGCATCTGCTTCTCGTCCTTTATGTTTGAGTACTTTTTAAGCTGCCTCCTCCCTTAACACGGGTTTGCTCTACACAGCATTTTATGGGTACGCAACTCCCATATTAAGAGAGGGGGGGCAGTGTTATGTAGAAGTCTATTATGTGTTTTTTAGGCAATTAAATTGTTTATTGCAGACACACAAATCAGGTCTCAGCCATTTGAAGTATGGAAAAAAAAAAAAATATATATATATATATATATATATATATATATATATATATATATATATATATATATACACACACACACATAGTGACCTCTCGGTTAACTAACTCAATCCCCAGAAGGTTTCGTTAACTCAAAACCATTGTTTCAATTCAATGGTTTTGGGTAATTGGTTCCAGCTCAACGAAAATTTCTTAAATTAAACAAAAAATGGTAGAAAAGTTCACTTACTTTGAGGTGTGTGGGTGAATGTTCCTGGATGATGATGATGGGATTTAGAATGATGTGGAGGAGAAGGAAGAAACAGGTTGCATTAGGTAAGAAGTCACCCCATGGTTATTTCACCATAAAAATTTTAGCTCTCTTGGTAATTCAAGATTATTTTCTTTTAAATCAACACTGCACTGCATTATATATTGGGTCAATGTGTAAAATATATTTCAAAATGACCAATAATTTGCTTGGAAACACAGAAAAGCATTTAGTTGAAGAGAGTCTGCCAAGATACAGCCATCTCCAGTGAAAACAGAGAGAGATTAACGCCGTTTGCTAAAGTTAAGAGGCTGATGCCACGAGATTAAACTAGTCACTTTACTCTTTAATTATGTTAAATAATTGTTAAAGTCGACTAAAAATTGAATATTAAACTTTTAAATTATTGAATAGTATAAACTTCTCTTGATATTTATTAAAATAGTATGAATTTGCTTCTCCCAGAACCTATTAATGCATTAAGGACTGATACTAAAGGTTGTTCGTCAGTGTTTTTTCTAAAATGATGTTGAGATGAATGGTAAGAAAATTCATAATCCTAATTGAAGATCTCCTTATGGAAGTAAAATGTTAACCTAGGCGTTTAAACGAGGTCACTATATATATATATATATATATATATATATATATATATATATATATATATATATATATATATATATATATATATATATATATATATATATATATATATATATATATATATATATATATATATATATATATATATATATATATACACACACAGTATTATCTCTCGCCTAATGCTGGGTTTCAATTTAACGCGTATCATATACGCGGGTGCCTCGCCCAGAGCCAACTTTCACTTAACACGGATTTTTCCACATATACGTGAGTAGTCTGCCCAGACGCTTATTTTTGATTTGCCCCACCTCCACCCTCTGCCTGACTGCCTGTTTTAGCTCATAAAATTCATACAATTGCCTGCCAGAATATATAATTTACATTGCTGGAATTTTATAATTTGTGATTATTTTGAATATAAACATCATATATTTTGTATTAGACATACAAATTTTAGATAAAAATTTTCTCTAGAGTAAATTATGTTATCTTTTGTGCAAAAATATATGACATTTATGATTCAAAATATTCCTAAAGGGTCTTACATGAATCCAGTAATGTCAATTATATTATCCTAACTTTAGTTTGAGGTATTACGGCTAGCAAAAAGCAAGTATTCTGGGTTTCCTGTCACATTCTCTGGGACGGTTGGTGGGGGTGGGGGAGGGAGGGACCCATCGAATACCCAGCTACCCCGTGAAGGAATATATATTTTTTATTAACCGAAGATATTGTTTTTAGCTCATAAAATTCATACAAATTACCTGCCTGAATATAATTGCACGTTGGGAATTTTACACTTGATGATTATTTTGAATATAAACATCATATATTTGCATTAGACATGTATAAATTTTAGATAAAATTTTTCTCAGAGTAACTATGTTATCTTTTGTGCAAAATATATGACATTTATATTCAAAAATATTCCTGGTCTTGCTGCTGAATCCAGCAATGTCAATTATATTATCCTAACTTTAATCTGGAGGTATTATTTACTGATTAAATGTTAAAACTCTTTTGAAGGAGAGGATTGGTGGGAGTGTGGGGAGGGTTGGGACTGACCGCCGGTTGGAAGAGGGGGAGGCAAGTAATTTTGATTGATTGTGATAGTGTCTGAAGATTATTTTTTTATTAACTGAAGATATTTGTTTTAGCTCATAAAAATTACACAAATTAATTCAAGTCGAATATAATTTACATTGCTGGAATTTTATACTTGAGGATTATTTTGAATAGAGGAAATGATCATATATTTTGTATTAAACATACAAATTTTAGATAGTAATTTTTCTCTAGGTAACTATGTTATCTTTTGTGCAAAATATATGACATTTATATTCAAATATTCCTGGTCTTACAAGGAATCCGGCAATGTCAATTGTATTATCCTAACTTTAGTTTGAGTAGTATTATTTATTAAAATTTAGTGGTTTTTCCAAAATTTCTCAGAGAGGAAGAGCCGGGCAGTGAAAAGAGAGGGGGAGGGAGTTGAGTTCCATTATTTGAATGGACATTAACTTACGACTGTATTTCTTTATTTCTTAAGTATTAATTGTGTGCATGTACCATCATAAAATTAAGATGTTATTTTACTACAACATAGGTATGTGCCTTCAAAAAGTGGAGTTTGGGGTCGGGTCGGTTATTGGAATTAATCCTATGTTCTGTTGTTCACTTAAGGATTTCACTTAACACGGGACCCTCTGGGTTCTATTGACCGCTATGGGGGGTACAACTGAATATAGATAGATAGATAGATATATATATATATATATATATAGATATATATATATATATATATATATATAGCATATATATATATATATATATATATATATATATATATATATTATTATTATTGCCAAGTTGCTCCTTACCTCAACAGTAGCATATCAAAGACTAAAATACTCACATTATCAAGTCTATGGCTTTTGTACTGGGCACTCCACTGCTAAACATTCATTCCACACATTCACTCCACCACTCAATAGTTTGTAATGACGACGTCGCTGTAGTAACTCTTGATATATACTGTACCCGATCTCTGGGGTATTGACTGAGTTTGGTTCTGTTATGTGCTCACAGAATTGTCTTCCCACTGCCTTTCCTAGTCCCTTAAATTTCTTCTTTTTTATATGGTGTCCGAGTACACTTAGTTCTGGATAGTCTTTATCTGGTGTCCGAGTACACTTAGTTCTGGATAGTCTTTATCTGCCACTTTATCAATGCCAGAGTTCCTCAGGGTTTCATACTAGCACCAACTATCTATCTTGTTACACATTAATGATCTTCTTTCAGTGACAAACAACTCTATTCATGCCTATATTCACTCCTATGCAGATAATTCAACCCTCCATACATCCATCGCTTTGACTGACCCAGTTTCACGAGGTGAAATTTTGAATACCTGGCAACAGATATCCTCATCTAAACTGGAAGACCTCACACACACACACACATAGTTAAGTGGGGTGCATCCAACTTGATTTCCTTGAGTGCTTCTTAAACAAGATGCATAATATTGGTAACTGGCATGATATTGTGCAATTCACCATAAATTTTGACTTCACCATCATCACACAGCATAAAGATTTTAGGCATCGCCCTTACTTCTTATTACGATGACATATTTCATCAGAGATTTTAGCCAGAGCTGTTGGAATGGAGTTTGGGCTTGCATTCAGACATTTAAGCAAGTTGTGCACTCTCAGATGGAATACTGGTGTCAGCTGTGGAAGTGATGTTGAGGCAGTTTGCCCCATCTATTGTGCAGGAAAAACAAACTTCAAAACAATTGGCATTACCAGAATATTTTCCATAACATTTGCAAGGATTTCCAGTCAGTGTTATGACAAGCTACTCTACATAGTATCACCAGCACACCCAATAAGGGTATCTGGGAGGAGCCATGACCTTGCTGTTGAAATTCCATTCTGTGGAGCCTCTACCTACCAAAACTCACTTATACCCCGAACTAACTCTGTGTGGAACTCTTATGTCTGACAGTTTTGCTTACCATATACTATATAACCTTAATCAGTTAAAGTTATCCTGCTTTAGAATTCAGCTATCTTTGGAAATAGATTTACAACAACACTTATCTGATCTCATATAGCTTTTTACTTTTTAAAGAAAATCACTCTCCACAACATTGGAGGCCAGCTAAACTGTACTGTATATGACTAATATTTCAGATGGCAAGGCATGTTTTGTAAAGATTCACAATTAAAGTTTGTTCTAAATTTGCATCATCTCTTGAAATGAAATAATTACTTTATAAATTGCTGACTAACTATTTTTAATGCCTTTTTTTCTTTTATTCATGTGAAAGGCAGTTAGCATGCAGTGAGTGGCTTTATTAAAGGTGGCATGATATATCCTGAAAATTATGTTGTTCCCACATCTTGATCAAATACAGTATATCTAGTAGAACTGAGCATACATTAACTGAGAATCTCATAAAAGTCTTGTGATATGATGCTTTTGAGCAGTACTGTATCTGCCTCCTACTATGTAAGCTCCAAAATGTGCTCTATTTTGGGGGGAAGTGGACATTGTTGAAAGATTTACCAGAACTATTTTTGTTGATGAACATTGCCTTAATCTGTATAGGTGTGACATTGTAGACATGACAGAGAAGTCGGGTGTTCAGTCTGTCACTATACTGTTAGTAAAGCAAGGTTGTTTATTTTCATCCAGAATTTTTATGAATGCAACTTTTTATGAAAATCTTGTTTAATATCAAAAGATTCAAAAGAAAGTATAGTACAACTATTTACTAATAACTTTCCTAAACTATCAGTTACCACCAAGAAATAAGGCAGTTAACCTCCATGTGCACTCTCAGGATGGAAGTCAAAGAAATTACATTATTGTGGAACTAAACTCTTTTAACTTTAGTTAAGACATGAGAAAGTAAGAGATATTATCTGAAAGATTAAGTGTTAAACTTTTATTTCTGGCAGATACACAAGGTTGGGGTGTGAGTCCAAGAGGCGCTGGTTACCTCTTTGGTTCTGATGTTGTAGCGCAGTTCAACGACACAAATGGCATTGACATGATTTGCCGTGCACATCAGTTAGTTATGGAAGGTTACAAGTGGCATTTTAACAACACAGTTTTAACTGTGTGGTCTGCACCAAATTATTGCTACAGGTGAGTTAAATCTTCAAACTGGATAACAAGGCACTACAGTACTGTATAGTTTATTTTGCTGACAATGGAGTTTTTGGCAGTTTATTAAAAATCATTTACTACTAAATATAAATTATTTGTGTGGGGAAGAGAATGTGTTTCATAATAATATTATTGATTGTATGTTGCTGTAATAATACATATACTCGGTGTACAGGTGCTCCTCTACTTCAGAACGGTCAACTTACAAACTTTTAGAGATACAAACATCATCACTGAGGGGGGTTACCTGCCAGAACAGGTGTTTAATTTGGATGAGACGATTATTTTGAAGAAAATTCCAGATAAAACAAACATTACCTAAGAGGAGAAGAGTGAGCCAGGTTTTAAGGCTGTATTAAAGGGTATAGCTGTACTAAATATCGATAATATTTTCATTTTTTACAATATGTTGGTATCTACAAGAGTAAAGCTGGACTTACAAACAATTGGACTCACAAACAAGCCTCAGGAACGTAACAAGTTCGTAAGTAGAGGAGCACCTGTACTTTTCTGTATTTATAATTAGAGTTTTTTCATTTCCCAGTATCAGCAGAGTGTACTGTGTTTGTTTGACAGGAGAGTACTGTAAAATGGGTATGAATAGAAAGTGGGGGTTAAAAGAATTTAAACACATGAATAGCACTGTGGATACAAAAGGAGGAATTGAAGATGAAAGTTAAAAAGAATACAGTATGTGTTGGGAATGAGTATTTCTTGTACCTCAGGGCCGTTAAATTTTGCTGCCAGGATGGTAACTGTTTTCCCCTTGAGGTAGTCCAAGGGCTAATGAATCAACCTGTTTCAGTACAATTTACCGCACAAATAGAAATTACAGCAGGCATTATATAACATACTGTACTACGGTATATGAGTTTCCCTACTTTTTACATCCAAGACAGCTTGGCTATATATGTAAACATTTTATAAATGTGTTAAGTATTATTTCTTTTCTACAGTAATTTGTTTTCTAATACTGGTTTATGTGTACCAACAGCAAACCTTATTGTTCCATAATTATGAATGAAAAGAATACATGACTAAAAAGTTGTCATGAAGTATGCAGTACAGGTTGTACCTCTAGTCCGGCAACCTCGGGACCTGACCGGTGCCGGACCATGGAAATTCACTCTTTTCCTGGATAGATAGTGACTTGTGTTTATGCTTGGAAGCACTAGCACCACTTTCTCTGCATCCTCTGCATCATGGTCTCTTTGAAGACATATTGAAGGGTTAAATGTCGTATAGTAGTTTCTCAAAATTTGCGAGTTTTTAATTCAACGTATTTTATTGGAACACAAAAAAATAAAATAAAAATTTCGACGGGTTTCAACAGCCCGCCAACGTGCAGACGACGTGCATAATCGTGTAAACAGCGTCATTTCTCTTATGTACAAAAGATTCTTTATTGTTTATTACTGAATGTCTTTTTTATTGAATTAATGTTTGTGTGCAAAATGAGCAATACAATTCATTAATAATACGTAGAATATTAAAACACACGAGGAAATGACACAGCATTGTTTTCGTTGATTACAAAACCAGTGACTGACTGATTCTACATATAAAACTGAAGAAAATAAGACCTTGGTTGTAGCTGTAGTAAAATTAATATGGTTTTTTTAAGTAATGTTATTTAATGTTAATAAATGGAACAATAGAAGTAGCTCACGATAATGGTAAAGAAAAAAGAGAGATCGCGTATGTAAGTGCGCACACGTGAAAACATATCGTCATTACTTTACATAAGAATATGAAAGCAACACTTATTTACTGTTCATATATATTTTAATTAATGCTTCTGAATTTGTTTTTATTGAATTAATGTACGTGTGTGCAAAATTAACAATACAATTTATTAATAATACGTGGAATATTAGAGGAGACGAGATGGCTGCCGGCATTGTTTATGTTAAAGCTTACAAAACCAGTGACTGATTGGTTCTACTGTACATATAAAACTGAAGAAAATAAGACCCTGAGTTTAGCTGTAGTAAAATTAATGTAAAGAATGAATATGGTTGCTTGAAGTACCTGTAATGTTATTTAATGTTAATAAATGGAACAATATAAGTAGTTAACCATTAATGGTAAAAAAAAAAGTGAGACTGCGCTTATGTAAGTGCGCACATGTGAAAACATATCTTCATTACTCTACATAAGAATATGAAAGCAACACTTATTTACTGCTCATATATATTGATGGGTTAAATGTTGTACTCTGTATAGACAAGCAGAGAGAGAGAGAGAGAGAGAGCAGCCGAACTGCCGGATGTAAACAATCCTTAATTTCCCGCGGCTTTGTTGTTGTTTTTTTTTTACGGGGATTAGCCCACCCGGGCATAGGTCACCGACCCACATTGGGGTCTGAGGGGCAAAAATTTAATACTCCTGTAACAATAATAATAATTCAGATAAGTAATAAAAAAAAAGAAAAAAAAAATGCTGCTTATCTACCTATTGGACAAACTAAAATCGTTCCGGACCACGGGAATTTCCGGACCACAGAATGCCGGACTAGAGAGGTACAACCTGTATAGTGTAGTCTGGATTTACTCGGATTTTGTTTACGCGTTTGGTCATTTACGCGGTGCCTTGCCAAAATGAAATGTTTTAATTGCGCGGTAAATTTCATCATTTACGTGGGAAGCAGCGCGGATAGGGTGCGCACAAGGTCGCCCAGTCATCAAAACATTACCGAGTTCTTCACCCGCCACCCACCACAGCCGACCCAAGTCAGTGATAGTGAGGATATGGACTTTGAGGGGTTTGACAAGGAGGCCCTGCTAGCCTCTGTGGTGGATGGTGATACAAGTGATACAGGTGAGGGCCAATAATCTGCCCTCTGCCTCGGAACCAACCCCCCATCCCCGTGTGCCCAGCCATCTTTTCTACTAACGTAAGTGTTAAAAAACCTAATACAGTGGCCCCTCGGTTAACGAACTCAATCCGTTCCAGAAGGTCGTTCGTTAACCGAAACCATTGTTTCAATGGGTTTTTGGGTAATTGGTTCCAGCTCACCGAAAATTTCCTAAATTCAACAAAAATGGTAGAAAAGTTCACTTACTTTGAGGTGTGTATGTAGAAGGCTCCTGGATGATGATGATGATGATGGGATTTAGAATGGGGGTGGAGGAGAAGGAAGAAGAGAAGGCATTGGGGTGGAAGAGAAGTCACCCCATGGTGCCATTTCACCCATAAAATTTTAGCTCTCTGGTTTAATTCAAGATTATTTTCTTTAAATCAACGCTGCACTGCATTATATATTGTCAATATATAAAATATATTTCAAAATGACCAATAATTTGCTTGGAAACAGAAAAAAAGCGTTTAGTTGAAGAGAGTCTCAAGCAAGATGTTACCTCCAGTGAAAACAGAGAGAGACTGACGCCTGTTTGCTGTGTAAAGAGGCTGGATGCCGCGCATTAAACTAGTCACTTTACCTTCAATTTTGTTCAATAATTGTTAAAATGACTAAAAAATTGAATATTAAACTTTTAAAATTATTGAATAGTATAAACTTCTTGATATTTACAAAAATAGTAAGGAATTTAAGCCCTAGAACCGATTAATGTATTGGCAGACTGATACTAAAGCTGGTTGCCCTGTCAGTGCAAGCGAAAACATGTTGAGGTCGGTTCGTAAGAAGTTCGTTAAGCGAATTTTTTTTCGTTAACCGAATTGAAGATCCTTATGGAAGGCAGTTCGTTAATCGAAATTACGTTAACCGAGGTGTTCGTTAAACGAGGGGTCACTGTATTATTGATATTTCTCTTAAATGTTAATTGTGTGTGCATACCATCATAAAATTATGATGTTATTTTTACTACAAGGTACGTATTGTGTCGGAAAAAGTAGAGTTTGGGAGTCAGCCCAGTCTCTATTTCAATTAATCCCATATGTTCTGTTATTTCGTTTTACGCAGACCTCCACAGGTTCAATTGACCGTGTAAATGCAGACTATACTGTATTAGAGATTTTGAGAGTGAAATATTGTTTTGAGTTATTAGATTTACCTAGACTAAAATATTGTGATATCTCCATTAGCGGAACTATTAATGCAGAGCACTTCTGGGAATGAGAGATTCCGGGTAATGCGACAACTTTCTCAAAGATGGGAAACTGGGTACCGGGAAATTTTCTCAGAAGTTCCAGAAATTGCGCATTACAGTACAGTATATTGTCATCTCTCGAACCCGGGAAAAAAAAATCCCAAGAATTTTTTTGGGTACTGGAATTTTCCAGAATGATGCCTTATTTTATGTCAAAGCCGGAAAATAAATCCCCCCATCCCCGGAATTTTCCATGTACTGGAACATTTTTCTTGGAATTTCCGGAAAATTTGCCCGATGCAATTGTTGATTCCTGAAGGCCTTTAACTCTGAACAGAAAATCTAAAAATTCTAGCACCACTGTTTCCGACATTGTGATTGGAGTCGTTAACCTGATAAATTGTTGAAAAAGTTTCCAAGCTTTCTTGTATTGCATAGAAGTTTGGGGTCTATGACCTGCTATCACTTGGTTAACTATATTGAAATTACCCAGCAATCAATTTAACCGTCTTTTGAGAAACTCCAAGCATGAAGTGCCAAGGATATCTCGAACTGAGGGTGCAGTACCTGTTCTAGACATCCTTGTTGCAATTGTAGTGGATGTGGGCACCATTCCAACAGATCCAGACACCACGGTTGTAGGATCCAATATGGTGCAATTAAGAGGACTTGTCCTTGGAAGGATCTGAGTTTGTGAACCACTTTGGGCAACATTTTCACAGGTGGGAACAGATAGATTGAATTCCAACTGTTCCAATCTATGAGTAGAGCATTTCCTAAAAGATTCGATCGTTCCAGAGATGTATAAGTTGGCATCTTGTGATTGTTTTGTGAGGCAAAGAGATCTATTTGTGGAGTCCCAAACCTCCTCACTAGACTCTTGAACTTTGATATCTTAAGGGACCATTCTGTTTCTGTTGATACTGGCCTGAGACGGGATAACGCATCTGCCCAATTGTTTTGTACTCCCGGCATGTGAGTTGCTTTGAGGTAAAGTGTTTGTGTTTCACAAACTTTAGAATTTTTTTTTTTTTTTTAATATTTTTTTTTCTAGAAGGGGCGAAGATCTGTTTGAGCCTTGATGATTGAGACAAAACACTGCCACTCTGTTGTCCATGGCAAACAATCATCATGGTTTTGAAATTTATGTTTGCCCAAAAAAGAATAGGACTATTGGTAATTCTTTTATGTTTATGTGTTTGTCCCAAAGGGAGTTGCTCCACTTCCCTTGACGGAACTCTCCTTTTGAGGAATGGTATCTCCATCCTATTTTGGACGCGTCCTTACAAACGACCAAGACTGTTTGAGGGGGAACCCATTGAGATGAACCGATTAGATTGTCCAAATTTGTCCACCATGACAGATGATTCTTGATCTGAATAGGGAGAGAAGAAGCAACATTTCTGTTTCTGTGAAGCAATTTCGACCCCAGATGAGTTAGTCGCTTCTTCCTTAATGTGCCCAAAGGAACTACAATACTATGGTGGCAAAATTCAGCAGACCCAGTATATTTTTTTTTTTCAATCGTGCCAAGAAACCTCTTGCTTTACACAGAAGGCTTCTACTTTGTTTATCACATCTGTTACTTTTGCTTCTGGTAGACTGGCTGACTGCTGATTGGTGTCCCAATGGAGACCTAACCGATCCAATTTCTGACATGGTATAGTACTAGTGTACTTTGGGCCGCCCTTTGACAATCTTCGAAAGAGTTTCCCACTATCAGCCAATTGTCTAGATAAGCAAAAGTTCTTATGCCCTCTGGGTCCTGGGTGAAACTACTACTATTGAATTCACATCCTCAACTGATGGACATTTCCTAGCATGTAGTGTATGAGCTGAACTTTCCAGTCCTTGTAGTTCCTCACTCAACACTAGTTCCCCAGGGACAGTTCCATTGTCTCCTCCATCATCTCGCAGTCCAGACAACTGTCCTTCATCCTCCAGTTGCACATCACTCATCTAAACTAGGTGGAACACTATGAGTCACATTGTATCATAATAAGACAAGGGCGATAACATTTTGTCCAAAACATAATCAATATGACTCGTAACTGTGATATTTTAGTAAGTTATTTCATTTCATATCTCTTAATGTTATATAAGTCACCAGTGTGACAATCATAAACAACTAACTCACTATATCATACACCTCTCCCTTCTCTTATCTCAATTATCCCTCAGCTCAATGAACTTTGTTTCTTAATCAAACTAACTTCATTTGGAGCATTTATATTTTGAGGGATCACCAAGTTCTCTATTTGTTGCCAATCAGGGTGCACAGACATCATCGCTTCAATTAATTAGCTTGAGCGATAATGCCTGAGTGATGATGATAATAATAATAGTAATAAAATTAATGGAAATATATATAATAAATAACAATTATAATAAAAGAAAATAATGATCATAAAATTAATGAAAATATTTCAAAATAAATAATTATAATGATAAAAATATAAATTTATAAAAAATTATAAATAAAAATAATGCCCCCTGTAATAATAAAGAGCCATAAATAAATAAAAAAAAATTAAAATATCAATAGTGAGAAATGATATATGTATGTTGTGTAAGAGAAACAATTGAGACCCTGCAATTGTGTGTAAATGAGGCAGAAAGACAGATCAGCAACCTGGGACTTGGTCACAATTTTTGTGATGCCATATGGCAGTAGAGTCTACCATTAGACAACACATTATGCTTCAAATATCTTCCCAGGCGGTAGTACCTCCCTGTTTGATAGCTGCCTACTACCTACAGGAGGGGATGTAACAACAGTGACAGTCTAACTTGGCAATGTGCCAAGTCCACCTACTGTACTGTACACACTCATGCTCTTAATTTTTCTTATTTTAGTTAAATATTATATTTTCTTAATGTCTAAGCCACATTAGAGTTTTGTAATGATTATTCCACAACTTTTATAGTTTCATTACATGTAACAGTGGCAACATGCCGTCTCCATGGATATTATTCCTCATTATCCCTGGTTTAGTGACAATTTTGCTTAACATTAGGATTTCAGGAACACAACCCCATCATTAAACGAGGGATGCCTGTATTGGAAATTGGATACAGTCTGGCCCCGACTTACAAAGGCCTGCCGATACGAATGGGGTTAAACATTTTTCAATAAGTACACTATGCACATAGCATGTGTTTTGACTTGCGTACATTTTTTACTTAAGAGTGTCCTCAGGAACGGAACCCATTTGTAACCCGGGGACCCCCTGTATACTGTACAGTAGTTGGTAAATTGATCAGGTGTAAGATAAGAACATGGTTGTCATCAGTTTATAACTAATATTGTATATTTCACCCCCTATAACTTAGTAGGCACTGTTTTGGAAACTTTTAACACATAAACAGGCATTAAAGAATTTATCACCTTGAGGCCTTCATACACAAATATGCGTATGAACATGTAGTGATAAATTTTGTGAAAAGTTGTGTATCATCGGATAGATACACACATTGTCACTTTCATATATCTGCCTGCTTATGTGCACTCACCACTGCATCCATCAGTATTGCCACGTCAAGGAAATATTTTTCATTCTAAAGAAATTTTGATATCCTTGGGAAACACCATTATGCATTGAAATACTATTTTTTATTTTTTTTTCTCAACTGTTCTTCTATAACTATTTAGCCCAAAACCTGTAAGGATTACCAAGGAACAAATTTTGTGTTCTTAGCACATATAATAATGCTGGTATAATGTCATAAAACAATTGCATACTGGTATTTTTTTCTCAAACACATTTTCATATGAAAAACCTTATTTTATCTAACATGCACGGGTATAGTGTGTGTCGAACCTGAGCGGCCCACTACCGAGAGACGTGGAAAGTTGCAATGGATCAATGTATTTTCTGTAAGCCAAATCCAAATTACAGTCGGCCCTTAACATATGCGGGGGTTAGGTAACAGAGATACCCGTGAATGTTAAGAATCCGCGTATTTTTGCTGCCCAAAAAACACCCCTGGCCCCTCATGTCTTTATTTACCGTACATACCTGTGTGTAGTTCGAGTTTTTAAGACCTAATTTTTTGGCCAAAAATTGGGGGTCGACCTCTAAACGGGTAATAGTTTCGTTAGGTTGAAAAATATTTACCAGTAACTACCAGTAAACAATGGAAACTATGCACCACCAGCTGTGAGTGTCGGTACAGTTGCCAGGTCAGATCTCTTGCGTCATCATAGCAAGCCCAAAGTAGCCAAATGCATGGTATGGTAGCACAGGACGATGTAAAACATAAAGTATTCATTTTTTAAAGTTTATTTATAGATACATAAATTTTTGTTCATTACATTTGAAACATCAATCTTTGTTAATTAAATTTTAAACAAAAGAAAACTACAATACCGTATTTCTAAATACCGGGTATTTTCATTAAAATATTACATCACAAGTATATTTTACCTTAACTGTGACTGAATGAATTTATTCTCAGAAATAAATATGGAAATGTAATTTTTTTTTTTGAAATGACGTACGTATTACAGTGGAAAGTGGGATAAAATCATGACGAAAACAATGACTTTTGCTTTCTTTCGTTGTTCAAAAGATTTTACCGTAATCACTTTTCAAATGGTTTTCAGTTAAAAAACTGTTGTATTACAATAATATTCTATCCTAATTCACTTGAATAAATACTATGATACCTGAACCATATTTCTGAATATTTTCATTAAAATCCATCAAAATCATTTTCCTAGTCATCGTCTTCAGCACCAAACAGCTTCTCCCAGTCCTCTCCTTGAATAGGGTTAGAGGGTACGTGTTTTTCGAATCGTTTTCAGTTAAAAAACTGTTACATCACACGTATATTTTCCCTAAACTGCGCCTGAATGAATATATTCTCAGAAATAAATAGTAGTTTTGCTGAAACGTGATGTATTTCAATGTAAGATAGGATAAAAGACATGACGAAAACAAAAGACTACCTAACCTTCCGATGTTCAAGAGATGTTACTCGATTTTTAATAGTATTCGGTTAAAATACTGTTATATTACAATGATATTCTATTCATACTGTGCTTGATATAATACATTCACGGAAATGTAATATTTTTGCTGAAGTGACGTACGTATTACAGTGGAAAGTGGGATAAAATCGTGACGAAAACAATGACTTTCGCTTTTTCGTTCAAAAGATGTTACCGTAATCGCTTTTCGAATGGTTTTCAGTTAAAAAACTGTTACATCACAAGTGAATTAGGATAGAATATTATTGTAATACAACAGTTTTTTAACTGAAAACCATTCGAAAAGCGATTACGGTAACATCTTTTGAACGAAAGAAAGCGAAAGTCATTGTTTTCGTCACTTTCCACTGTAATACGTGCGTCATTTCAGCAAAAATATTACATTTCCATATTCTCAGAAATAAATAGTAGTTTTGCTGAAACGTAATGCATTTCAATGTAAATTAGGATAAACTACATGAAAACAAAAGACTTTACCTAACCTTCCGATGTTCAAAATATGTTACTCGTTTTTTTAATAAGTTTTCGGTTAAAATACTCTTATATTAGTGATATTCTATTCATACTGTGCTTGATATAATACATTCACAGAAATGTAATATTTTTGCAACTACAATGCTGATGTCAACACAAGCGTGGTTACTGCGAGACTGACTGACTGACTGATGGAGCGCGGGAACGTTGGGTGGCGCGGGCGATGTGTGTGTGTGTGTGTGTTTGTGGTGTGCAGTGTGTGGTATCGTGCGCGATTTGAATAATGTATATTCCTCCAGCGGCAATCCGCGTATTTGCAAATCCTTGTAAGTTAAACCCGCGTATGTTAAGGGCCGACTGTATTTATTTAGCCAATTAATATAAACATTGCATTTTCTTTCAAAGATGTGGGAATGTAGCAGCTATTCTGGAACTGGATGAAAATTTGAAGCGTGACTTCACCATCTTTGAGGCGGCACCACAAGAGAGTAGAGGCATCCCAGCCAAGAAACCTCAAGCAGACTATTTCCTTTAGGCTGTCATTAAATATTTCAGTTTTGTATAGTTCCCCCCTTTTTTTTTTTTTTTTCCGTGGGTCAATGTGTGGTCTTTGTAACCCAAGTTATACTTTGGCTCTTTTATTGTTGGGTGCTAAAGAACAATAAGATTCCCAGCATACACCAGATAACTTACATGGGCTCAAGGAACCAAAATTCAGATAATTGGATTTTGTTTTATTTCATGATGTATTGTGTACGTATTGTAAAATATTAATTGAAATATAAATGTTCCATTAACATTCCTTGGATTTTGGTTAATTGTGTCAAAGTCTGATACATGTATTGGTGTGTTTATATCAGCCAGCCGGGGTCCTCCTCTCTAGAAAAAACAACAAAACCTCATATGTCTCAATACGTGAGTGGTCATTCTTTGAAGAACATTACAGTATAAGGATTCCCCAATATCTTCTTCACTGCCATAAATTTATTTTTTAATCATCTAAAGTTATTGACATCTGATTTATTAAGTTTTATCTTGTATCATAATTTTTTTTTATTAAATCACAGAAGATAATGGTCTACCACCCTATGGGGAAACTGTGGAAAGCAGAATTCTTTTTAACATATTTTGAAATAACTAAATATGTCAATGTGGTTTTGCCTCTTGTGTTTAATAATAGGGTGCAAATATGATCATTTCAAAACTAGCTGACAAATTCTGTGCCTCACATTTGAATGATTGAATATTTGGACCTTAGGCTTGAATAAGCCTGGTTAGATGGTAACAATTTTTATAGAAATGCTACATTTACCTGTACTTCAGTCTATAGAAATGTGAAATTTTTTAAACTTCATGTCAGACTGTTGTTTCCCATTTCAGCTGTTTGATGCGGTTTTAAATTTCTGACTGGTGACAGTAGGGGACATGAATCTTGCTTACACTGTAACTCCTTGGGTAAAGTAACTTGCTGGACAAGTAATGTGGATATTATTGTTGTCTTTAGTTATTAGCAGCAGGTTCAGATGTCTAGTATGTTTTGCTTCCAATATAGAACATTCTTATAGTACATGAAGTGTGAAATGAAGTTAATGGAAGTGGTGTCCAAGGACCAAATCTTTATTGACCTCATGGGAACATATAAAAGTTCCTTGTATGTGAACCGTATGGTTATATGGGAATATTATCTGCTGTAATCACTTCATGATTAAACTTCACCTGTAAATGAAGCATAGCTCATTGTTCATCCTGATCAATACCCATCATTTAGTCAACAGTGTCCTGTGTAAAAACCCTCAAGTGGGGAAGCACTTACAACTGAACCATTCCAGTGTTTGGAAATGGTAAAGTTTTGTCCTTAAGAAAAAAAACTGCTGAAACACTAATTTGGAAGAAAAGTCTGAATCAAGAATGAAATTTAATCAAACAAAAATAATTTCAAATGTGCTGCCATTCATGATGGATGTCCATGATAATGTATGAAGAACTTGCTTGATAGCATAAAGTTTGGTCAAGATATCACCTGATCACTATTATCTCCTATAGGTGTTAAAAGCCTTACCTAAGGTGTGGTTATTGATATCCCATTTTTTGGTAACCCTACAATATTCTCTTTTAATAAACATATTCTTGTTAATATTTTAAACACTGGATTTTAGAATACAACTTTTATTGTTGGTATTAGTAAATACTTAAGTTGACAATGGGTATATATCCTTTCAAGATGAAAATCAACATAGTTATTAAGGTAAAGCCAAGCTAATTGAAGGTAATCCTGTTTTTCTCAGTCAAAAGAAGACAAAGAAAGGTTTTAGCAGAAAATCATTTCCTCGTACAGTTGTAATTTTATAATAAATCAAAAATATTCAAGTAGGATCATATTCAAATCTTAATTTTTAATTTATCTGCCCAATGTGTATACTGATACAATAATGAAAGGGGTACTGCTAAATTTGTTGTAGATGTTCATGCATTCTGTTGGGATTTCATATACAGTATTTAAAGCTTTTATTTTACAATTGTTGGTGAAAAGATGCCATCCTTGTCTATACTGTATAGTACAGTACTATCAATTGGTGTCAGGTTTCTTTTATGTGTGTGTACATGCATACATGCTTGTGTGTATCTGAAAGTGGCGTAAGATAAGTAAGGATTTTTTCCAACTTATCTACTTTGGTGTTCATAGTAGCAGAGCATAATTTGTTTCTTTAGCTTTTAGAAGTATGGAAAAAATTCTACTTTAATTTTTACTTTAAATCCCAAGCATATTCTTCATTACATGTAATAAGTGACTCCCACATACTGCTGTGGTGCTACAGTGTAATGTGTATTATTATTATATGGTCAAGAAATATGGATGGCAATCATGTAATATAAAATAGTGATTAAAGCACAAAGGGTTAAATTTTTTGAACATGTAAACAGAAAACCAGTATGTAGAGTAAAGATTAATTTAATTGTAAGTTTAGAGATATTTGGTAAGCATTATTATCTTTATATTAGATTTTCTCAAGTCTGTTGTGTTAATCTTGTCCAGGAAGGTCTAGATTGATGGGAGAGAAATGTCAAAACTAGGAGATTGGGATGAGACGACTCTTTGCTGAGTTTTTTTTAATAGATTTCCAGTTTTTATTGCACTCATAGTGTACAATGTGTTGAAGTTCTGAAGTATGAAAATCGGCAGAAAAAGGCATGTAGGGTGTGGGTTGTAAAAGACAAAATATGAGGTTATTGCTGATGATGGTTCAGTTGTGGGATCTTCTCTAATGCCATAGGAAGAGCCATTACACCACTTGCCCCATCTCTCTGACTGGTGTCCAGGGTCTATGAACCTTGGTCATCCTCCAATATGACCCAGTATTTGGATGTTATGTACTGTACAAAGGAAGTGAATGCTCACATGCCCCAATTATGAAAAGCCTATTGGCTGTCTCATTACAAAGAATATGAGATGGACTGTACATATTTGCAAGTTGTTAGTTTTCAGCATGTATCAAACTTAGTGGAGTTCTTGAAAATGTGAGAAACAAGATTATATATGCCATTGTTTCATAATATGGGCTCCTGTGCATTTTCAAATTCTCAGACTCGAACGATTATATCAACCAAGATCCGTGCATTTCTCAAGATGCATATTATTTAACTCTGTATGATTAGTAAATCAAGGTCAGTTTCCTTGTGAAAGTTAAGTATATTCTCTTACAGGAGTCGTCAATATTTGCATTGTGTAGAATGAATAAACATTTATTTTCCTTGAGGATATCATTTAAATACCTCTAATATACCTGATATTGTAGAAAATTATCTTGGAATAGGATGCCTTGTTACCGGGTAACTAGAATTTTCCCAATTTTGTGGTAAACTTGTACAGAAATCTATCAGTGGTTGAAGGGCACGACTGGCTGTTGCTGTTTTTATGTGACTCCCAAGTGCTGTATTCAGTACATATTTATTTATAACATGGAATTAATTTTGTAGTTTTGATCACTGATCATTTCTGAAAAATAGCAAAAGCAAGTGAGTGTATGTAGTTTTGAGCAATAGTCGTGTGACACATTCTCCCCGCATATCCACTCTGACAATAACCGTTGAATCTACAATACATGGGGAGGTGTTTACACTGATCTAGTAACTCCTAATATTGGTTGATAAGTGCTGTATGGTGGAGAATGGGTTCCATCTCTCACCTGCAGACTGAACTACAATATACAGGAAGTGTTGCATGACTTGTTGTGACTGTACAGTACAGTATCTGTGTGTACATGTTTTTTCTGTACATATAGTACACTATATCTTGGTGTGCATGTGTCTTGTAGGTTATTTTGAATGCCTAGCACAGTATCTTTCCCCTACCCAGAGAGAGGTTTAGACTCCCCCTTTTTATCAGAAAATTGCAATACATGTACTGTACTTTTTTCTTTAATGCAGTATTGTACTCGGGCATTATTGTACAGTGATCCCTCGGTTAACGAGTTACCTTCTATAAGATTCTTAACTTCGGTTAACGAGCAATCCCTCGATTAACGAATTTTTTACGAGCCAACCTCAACATGTTTTTGCTTGCATTTGGCGGTCCACCAGCTGTAGTATTAGTCCGCCAATACAGTAATCAGTTTTAGGGCTTAAATTCCTTACTATTTTAGTAAATATCAAGAAGTTTATACTATTCAATAATTTTAAAAGTTTAATAAAAATTTTTTGTGATTTTAACAATTATTGAACATAATTGAAGGTAAGGAAACTAGTTTCATGCTCGCCATCCAGCATGGCAGCACAGCAAACAGGCGCCAGTCTCTCTATCTTTTCAGTGGAGGTAACATCTTGCTTGAGACACTCTTAACCTAAACGCTTTTTTTCTGTGTTTGCAAGCAAATTATTGGTCATTTTGGAATTTATTTTACATATTGACAATATATAATGCAGTGCAGTGTTGATTTAAAGAAAATAATATGGAATTACACCAAGAGAACTAAAATTTTATGGGTGAAATGGCGCCATGGGGTGACTTCTCTTCTCCCTTCTCCTCCACCCCCATTCTAATTCCCATCATCATCATCCAGGAGCCTTCTACATACACACCTCAAAGTAAGTGTACTTTTCTACATTTTTTGTTGAATTTAGGCAATTTTCGGTGAGCTGGAACCAATTACCCAAAAACCCATTGAAAATGGAATCGGTTAACTAGTTTTCGGTTAACGAGCAACATGCTGGAACGGATTGTCCTTGTTAACCGAGGGACCACTGTATAGTAAATATTAATTACTGTTGACCTCAGAATATCTCTTAAAATCAAGCGCACATGGCTTCAAAATGGTCTCAAAATGCCCATGATATCGGCCAGATTTCCCCAACCCAAAATTCTGGGGGCTTACAGCACCCTCCCAAACCCCCCAGCTGGGTGGGCTCGCTGTGTTCACCATTATTCCTCCACCCACAACTTCTTGGACCCCCATCCCCACTTTTGATTTTCCTGGGTCCATCACTGCTATCTCTTGTACATTGTATCTTAATACAATTACATCAAATTTTTTATGTGAATATCTTGGGGAATATGCAATATATAATCACTGCACTGTACGACATAATATTTCACAGAAATTTGTGATTTGGTTGATGAGGCTGCATCTAGAAATAAAGATTTGGCTATATTATCATTCACCATCAGTCAATACAGTATATGTAAGAATTGGCTTTAGATATAATTGAGAATCAGTAATTAAGAATACAGCACAGTATTGTACTGTACCAAGTTTGATAAGATGTTTAAATCTAATTAGAAACCATCTGTACAGTAATACGCCGATTTACACGGTTCCCTTTTCTGCGTTTCCACATTTACACGGTACCCCGCCAGAACAAGAATTCCCACTTTACGCGGTGCATCTACTCATATACGCGGAGAGCGGCTGGCGGTCCTGCCGCGCAGTCATTTTTGGATTCAAACCTCCTGCCATGCTTGGGCCTTCGGCGCGAGTAGGTTGCGCAGTGGATGCCTCTGTTGCGTTATCGCTGACGTCATATAACGTATCGGACTGTGATTGGGCCACGCATCCTTACCTCCCTCCGCCGCTAGCTGTGATTGGTGTAACGTAATATGACGTGCCTTCCCGTAGGCGGGTAGAAGGCGCTTGACCTAGCCACGTCAGTTACATCCCTCCCGGCCACACCGTGTATACAGGTATCTATTGTTCCATAAGAATGGCTGCTGCCGGACAACCTTGCATTACCTGGACCCAGCCGCCCTTAGCCAAAGAAAATACGACGTGCCCTAAGTTACGAGGTGAAGTACAGTATAATACAAGATTTAGAAAAAGGAACGACAGGTTGATCTCGCGCGCCAGCATGGTGTTAACGAATCTACGATCAGGACGATCAAGAAGGATGCAGCCAAGATAAAAGAGCACATGAACATCACAAAGTCTACAGGTGCTTCAATGATCAAGCATTGCCAGAACAAGGTGCTTCTCAAGACAGAAAATTTTCTTGTGTGCTACTTGATTCGTCAGGCAAGACGGAACATGGCGGTCGACATGCGGTCAGTTCAGGAGTACGCACGTGAACTGTACGCAGCAGTGTCACGTAAGATGGGAATTGCAAAGCCCAAACCCTTCAATGCTTCCTCTGGGTGGCTGCACAGGTTTAAGAAGAGGAACAAGATCACCAACATTAACATTGGTGGTGAAAAAGCGAGTGCTGACCGTGTTGCAGCTAGGGATTTTCCTCCGTTCTGACGTGCGATTATGGAGGAAGGACAGTACACCGACGACCAGGTGTTCAACATGGACGAATCCGGTCTGTTTTGGAAAAAGCTACCTTCCAAAACCTTCGTTGTCCAGTCTACCAGCAAGTGTCGGGGCCGGGAGTTGCAGAAGGAGCGCATCACCGTTCTGTTTACCACCAATGCCTCTGGTTCCTGTAAACTCAAGTTATCGGTAATCCACACAGCCCGCAAGTCACACTCCTACAAGAACATGGACATGACCAAGCTAAATGTCCACTGGCTGACCGCACGTAAGGCGTGAATGTTCTCTGCTCTGTCCCTCTCCTGGTTTGATGACTGTTTCGTTCCCGACGTGAAGAAATTCTGTGAGCAACAGAATGTTCCATTCAAGATTTTGTTGCTGCTTGACAACGCACCAGGACACTTTCCCCTACTGTTAGATCGTCACCCCAACGTAAAAGTGGTCTTCCTTCCTCCCAACACTATGTTGCTTCACTCTGTAAAAGAGAGAGAGTGAAGCAACATTGCGGCGAAGAGAAAGGGAAGAGAGATTGTCGACTAAAGGAGGAGAGTTAATAAGACGAAATGCCTTTGATTCCACCCTATCTAATAGTTGGACAGAAGAAGAGCCACCCCAGATATGAGAGCAGTACTCCAAGTTAGGACGAATGAATCCCTTATATACTTGGAGCAACTGCTCAGGAGTGAAGTAGCTGCAGCATCTGTACAGCATTCCCAACTTTCGGGAGGCAGCTTTAGTTATACTAAGGATGTGTGATTTCTAGGACATATTGGAGGAAATGGTGAGGCCTAACATATTTATTTCAGAATTTGGGAGGATGATAGCGTCCTGAAATGTAATTGGTGGGAGATCGTCTAATTTACAAAGTGTAATTGGTAAATATTGAGTTTTATTACAATTGAAATTAACCAAGTTTGTACTGTAGTGGATTTCTCCCCTACAACTGCGTATCCGCATTCCAATGCGACAGTATCCTAGCAACCAGCGAGCTGCTCAGGGGGCGGGGGGTCACCAGCTGCTACATCTTCCCTAGCAACGGAGTCAAGAAAGCAGCGAGTTCCCATGGGTTTACTTCCGGCTGCTGTGTATATAAGCTCGCAGTCTCTCCATTGAGATTCATTCTACCCTACGTTCCTGAACACGCAGCATCTCCTCTAACGAAGCTCCTGCACAGATACCTCAAGCACGCTACTCACGCTACTCACTGAACGTGTCTTCTGAGCAAGCTTCTCGCCACACGGCATCTCCAGCACCAGACTGTCTTTCATATAATATATTTTATATAAGAAAACCACCACCTTAGAGTTTCCATCAATCCCATCCTGAGTGCTAGACAACATAACATTACGAAACCCTACAATTGGTGACCCTCGGAAAAACGCACTCACACAGGATGGAGGAGGAACGGATCTCTCTACCGACTTTCAACCACAACGTCGAGGACTGGTTAGATCATGTGGAAGCAATCCTCGTCGGCTCACAAGCTACTGACGAGCAAAAGTACGGTGCCCTGCTCTCCTCCTTGCCCACGGAAGTCGCTACGCATGTATCACGGACTACTTCCAACCCTCCAATTCACCACCCTGCGGGACGCCTTAAAAACGCATTACCGACGGACCCGCCCCAGCCTCCTGCAGAACCTATTTTCAATCTCCCTTGGAAACTCAACTCCGGGACTTCTCTGGGAGGAGATGTGTAGGCTGAACTCCCGGCACGCAGACAGACTTCGCAAACCTATCCTGCGCCAGCTTCACGCACAAAAGCTCCCCACATAAGTACGTACCGCCCTGTCCGCAGTAGTTCACTCGACGACACCTGAACTTTACGCAACCGCGGCAGATAGAATATTCAACGAATGCACGGCTGCGTGCTTGGCGGCCGCGCACAACCCAACGACCACACCAGTATTTACTTCCGAACTTGTAAGCCGGGTCAACACCCCTCAGCCGAGCATTACCTTGTAGTGGATTCCTCCCCTACAAACACTTTTGTCGCTGAGTAGCCGACCC